AGATTTCCCAAGCTATTCAAATTGATTTTCTAATTAGAACTACTTAACTTACGAAAAGAAATACTGATATTAATTAACTTTAAGGAACAATATAGCACTTGAGGCAATATTTGGTCACTCAGAATAAATTCAAACACGTAGGTTCGAAGCTTTAAATATACGCCTATGAATAAACTACCTAGATCACTGTCTTCAGGTTTACAGTAACGTTAAACGTGTGTAACTGTTTTACTGGCATCAATTTTGAGCAATCCTAAAAGTCACTATTATGAGTGATTATCTAATGGAATTTGGTTACATTTAAAACCATTGGATCTGTGCTTCGTTCTCTAATACCTAGGAAAGAATGTTTGTCGAATCACCCACAATACTTATGGTTGGTTCTCTTCTAGAACTGAAACTGGACACTGACTGTATTATCCTGAATCACTTTGACCCATACATCAATCTCAACAAAAGCATACATTTTCCCATGGTAGGTGAAAACATTTTATGAATCATCTTCACAAAAAGCCAAACCCATATGTTCATTCTCATGATTAGTGCACTTAATTTACGAATTAAAACCATAGACAATCAAACGTTTCACATCATGCTACCAGTCAACTTACAAGAAACGATTGTGTGAACAAACCTTAAGATGTCTACACCGGTTATAAATCTTATTTTTCGCAAACATGTTACTAAATAGTGTAAACTAGTGCACTACAAGAAGCTTTCGCCTTAAAAAGTAATCATTACTCTCTCTGTTACTTTTATTCGAAGGAAACCATCTTACGCAAAAATTATAAGGAAATTTATTGTTTAGCCTGTGGTAAAAAAATATGTCCTGACTGAATTCATGCAACAAAGCAATAAAAACACCTTCTGTAATGCTAATAAGAAAATTTTTATTACTTTTCTCCATCGAGTCGTCAGGATTTATTGGCGCTTATTTACTGCTGGTTTTAATTCCGTTGTAAAGTGAGATGTAGCTACAAAATGTTCAACTGTAGATACAAGAAAAGAAAATCACGTAAGTATGCCTGCCCCAGTAGAACAAAATATCAAATATTATTTCATGATGATGACCGAAGCTGAAAGAAAATGTAGGTTGCATCAAGCTCCGAACAAAACGCCTTCAAATTACCAAGTGAGTGTACCACCAACTAAGTTGTGAAACACAACTGCCAAGCAGGTTTCAATTTTAATTCACCCAACGAGTGCTTCCGTTTGTTACATGGAGATAAGCAGACATCCATTATTTTGCTGACTAACAGTAGATTAGTTGCTTCTGCATTCCAGTTCAACTGAATTTTCACATACAGGTATCCCTTAATTAAATAATAGACTTATAAGACACTCATTAGTCAAAGTAAAATCAAGACCTGATTTGTGGTTGTCATATAAATTGTCCAGCATTTTAACGGATGAGTACACAGTAGCCTCTGATTCCCATCCCTACATATGGTGACCAGCCTGTCTAATTAACAGGCATCACTGAACTTCGTATATGTATGTGAAAGAATACTTCAATGAAGCTTAAGGTTTTCGTGGAAAACAGTTTTGCAAATATCATCAAGATATGATTGGATAGAATCGAACAAGAAGAATGCGCGCCGCTTCATTACTCCACTTGTGCCTTTCCATCAAGATGCAATAGCGAAGAATTCTATAGAAGTACTGATCCTAACTATCTACAATGAAATCACTCAGGAATGTTTCCTTTTACATAGAAGATAGATTACTATTCACCCTTAGGTAAAACTAGGTAAGCAGATAAGGTTATCTTGAATATAAAACCTTATTAAATTTCCGTTTATTCTAAACCACGTCTAAGTCATACAAAAGCTGGAGTGCGAAAAAGAGATAGAACAGCTTCCCATCCCACTTCCGATTATAATCAGTGTTACTCAAAATGCCAAGCCTTCAAAAAGAATCCTTCAGTCCTAAACGATGATGAATGAGTGGAGCATTTTAGTGTTGAATCGCACTACATATTACAAAAACTGAAGGCCTAGCTTGCATAACACTCTGGAAAATAGTATCTGGAAACCAACGATAAGGTAGCTGAATTATTCATTTGTAATCCCCCTCCACCTACATATAAGCATACATCTGACTGATATGTAGAAAATTAGATAATTGCAAGGTAGTTCCGATTACAGATGAAGTCAACCTGAGGCGAAAAATACCTCGGTACACGTACACATTCATTGGAACCATGCCACCACTACCATAAGTTCATCTCATCGTCGATTCATACACTTTTATTGTTATTCCATTTCACTCTCTAAATCCCACTAACCTTATTTTCTTAGCCATTACAAATCCTCAGAACTTTCCAAACTTACTTTATGCAGCCCTTCTCAATATGCTGAATGCATTCGTCTCCCACTTTCTTTTTATCCAAGTTCAACTCCAGCATATTAGTCTGGTCTTTTCATACATTGACAAACTTACTGCTAGTTCTTGTATATTTATTCACTCAATTCGTGTGTCTTCATTTACATCACACTAATGTTATCCTTTCCTCAACTTGTTTTTCTATCAAACTGATTCAAGTATGCAAACATTTTGCCTAAACTGATGTTGAAACTGTTTTAGTCTGTAAGAAACTGATGAGCGAACTCAAAGTACGGTGGATTCATACTATTCTGCTAAAACCATCGTTCTCGCTTTCTTATTGAAATTAAGGGCAGGAAATGTAAGATATTTTCAAAGTACTCATCATGTAATGTGGTATATCGACCAGTATCATACTACTGCTGCTACAGAAAATCCAGTCAACTACAAGAGGTCTGATCTGTAATCAGAACTTCGGGACCTGTCCTCGGTCTAGTAACTAGTGGATATATATTCCAGAATGAGAAATATACCATAAACTATAATATAATTCTCTTCAACAAAATGTCAGTCTTGACCTACTAAATTATCATGCAGAAACATTTTATAAGTCATTTAAATAAGTTTACTCAGTGAATTTTCGAATCCACACTTATAAAAAGGAACGTTACGTATCGCCAATCCTATTTCGATATGAAAAGCTCTTGCTGATCTCACTTAATGATATATATTGTTTGTTGATTTGAGTATTCAGAAATCATTGACACTCATCGCTAGTGCTCGCTGGACATATCAACGTCTGACGATCAGGTTGTGGTTGTCCTTTAGGGATCAAACTCGTCAGTGGTCGGATTAACACCAGAGATAAATTTTCCTTACCACCTCAAAAACTAACAGAAAACTTGAGGGAACAACTGATACCTAGAATCGAGGCAACTGCTAGATGCCAGGATTTTAAACAAGTTTGCAATATACCATGGTGTTGCATCATTTAGCTTTGTGACCAAGTTGCTAACTTAATCGGTAGACTTCATTTTGTGTATCAAGCTGAACGTTTGAAAGGTTTTTAGTGCTCAATAAAAGTAACAACTAGTCCAACTGTGAAATTCCACCATGATTCACTTTTAAATCGGAAAATGATCGTTTAATTGTTGACTATAAACTGAGAAAATCAAATACGAAAAAGCAGTCACGTTTCACGTCATGATGGTGCATTAGTCAGATCTTCGGCCAGGATCAAGTCCATAAACACAAATACTTCTAACACCACCCGAAAACTACCGTACCCGTCGACCTAAAGGTAACATTCGACTCCATCAAGCGAGAAGAAGTGTTGAAGTGTTTAACTGTTAATAGAAGTTAGAGCGTGTGTATTACGCATCCAGAGGCTGTCTGCCCAAAATCACCCGAATGCATGAGGGTTCAGAACGAGTTATCATCTGAGGTGACAACTAATAATGTCCATCACAGACATTCACCATCACTATTCTTGACTAAATTTATTTTAGATGTGCTCACACAAGTAGCTCTGATTACCTCTGACGCCTAAGAGATTAAGCTGCTACATTTGAGAACACCTCATCAACACAGAGTAGGGAGATAAAATAGTCCCATTAGGCAAAGATTTGTACAAGATACATGGTCTTCAGTACACTTTACTCAAGAAATGTACCTTATTTATTTAGTTGGTTGCTTACAAAATCTCAGCAAAACGTAAAAGCCTCCATTGGTTTTCGTCAACTTATATTTCATGTGAAATAAAGGAAGTATCTGACTACCTATCAAAATGTAAACATACTGAGCACTAATATAGGTGTAAAACTTAGGCACTGTGGTAGAATTTAATTCCATATAAGATTTGTTTATTTGATTTATAACAAACAGTGATAGAGTATTATTAACTTGATGACGTTTTGAGCATAAATTATTGCTCATAATCATATCACTAGTCCATTCCGTTCCACTCTAAGACTGCGATGCATAGTCTCTAAAGAAAGATGACATAAGAAGTCTATAAATCCACGAACACAGCTGTCTTTTTAGTACTGCTTATGTGGTGGAGCCATAAAGTAAGCAGTGTACAGATTAAACGGAAAATGCAACCCAAACCAGTCAGTGGCTTAGTTTGCAACCTTCACCAACAAAAGTGGCCTACATATGCACCACTCACTCTGAGTCCCCACCTACTCCGGCATAGACTATTAATTAAAAAAGATTTCATTCCCAAATGACCAACAGCATTCAAAAAAAGACGCGTTAACAGTACACGAGGCCAATAACTTAACCAGAATCACAAAGACTACCTCAATAGAGTCCTCGAGCTGTTAGAAATCATTAGTGATATAACCAGGAACCAGTTACAGTAAGACAGTTGCAGCACTCAAAATTTCATTTACCTTATTATTACTTTTTAAAATCCTTCTTTGTTTTGATATACATCTATTTCCACTTATTTCCTGTTTCTGAAATGAACGACAGTACTCTAACAACTGATTCTGAGAGGCTCTGTATTAGCATATCTATCCATTTGTCTACATAAGTACGCTTATTCAGAAACCTGGATACAGTACTAATGTATCGGTAACTAAAGCCACCAGCTGTTTAGAAAGATATAGACATCAGTCATGTAACACACCCAATACCTTGAATTATCTGTGGACATACTAGAATAGTAGTAAAAGCATTAGATACGTATTAATTCAAACACTTTAAAGACGAAAATAGGTTTGTGCATAGAGAATAAGTAAAAATGTATAAAGACAGGTCAACCAGCAGGAACTCTATGACAAACACAGGAGTATCACCAGTGATTTATACAGTGGGGAAGTCAACATTTCTTCATCGTCATTACATGTACACGATTTCAAATACTTGAAGCACACACACACTACAGTGTACAGCACAGAGCTAATGAACACGGGAATTGAGTACGCCAATTGGAGAGTTTACAAATGATGTTTTATGTACAAGTGGGACATTCGGAATCGGATTGTCTTCCATAACTTTTAAACTGCTTGTCATTTCCGTGATAAGTCGTTGCATCTCTCGAATACCATTATGACGTTGAGTTAAATACTGCTTAGAGGAAAATAGAAAAAAGGACAAGTTATTAGAGTCATAACAAGTATGAAACAATCATGCAAGTTGAGAATTTGAATTATTGCGCTTTTAGTGTGATGAAGAAAAGCCGATAAAATCTATGGCATAAAAGTCGAAAAAAATCAAATTCTCTTTCGTACAAATACGATTGTGGCAAGGTGCATACTTAAGTTGCCAATAAAGTAAACAGTTCTAAAGTATTAACCGATGGTATCCGACATGTTGGCATGTAAGCTTTATGTAGCGTGACTGACATTATTGGTCAATATTCCATTCAAATAGTGTATGAAATGAGTAATTTTCATAGTAATTTTAATTAATCTCTTCATTTACTGCAGTATTTTTAATCTAGAGTCCCACATTAAGCCTACATAACATCCCAGATGTCGGTGGTGAAAGTATACGGTTAAGAATGAAGACGAAATGAAGAGAACAAGGTATGGTTAAAGTGAGGTTAACAATACTTAAGTAGAAAATGAGTTTTGCTAATAGTTATAATATGTAGAATCTCTCACTGTTATCTTGACTATTATTAAGAATAGCACATCTTTTTTATCGATATCACGCACGCAGGAATCCCAATCCATTGTTTGTGTCGTACTGAAGGACATAGGCAAATGGGTCACAGTCCTTAGACAACTCTCTTCTTTTGCATAGACGCAAGTCTCTTCCTAAAATTTTCAGTTTTTCAAATGCTACCTCAAAGTGTGAACGTAATGAGTTTATAGTAGAGAACTAGTATATTTCAGATTAACCTGATATATCAAAGTGGATAAAGTCTACATCGCTAAAATTACCCAAACATCTATATGAAACGCCCTAGTTTGGGAAAATATCGGTTGAAACTCAACGCACAGTATTTAAGTTACAAATTAGTCTCTGAAAAAGTGAGTCCTAGAAAAACGATTTCTGAAAGAAGAGAGAGGATTATCGCGTATATATTGCATATTTTCGAAAAATGTAAATTCATATTTTACTAAATTTCTTCTTACTAAGTGGAGTACTAACATACAAGATCTTGCTAGCATGACCGAGTAACTCAGCAATATGTTCAATCTTTGTTTTATACGTTGTCCTAATTTTATAAGAAACCCCTATTTATAAAATCCATAATGTGACTTGACGCAGCATATTGCTTCTCATACAATCGGTACTTTCATCATTCGTTAATAATTCAACAAAATATATGAAAATTGTGAACATTCGTAACAATTTTCATTAACATTACAGTGAATGCATGAATATAAATAAAATAATCCATTAGTAAGTAAACGGTGATGTCCTATGAAGAATGATGATCAACACAGAATAGTCATCACAAGAAAAAGACACAAATGAACAAGACTAAGATGAAATGATCCCTAAAACAACTTTAAGAAAAATGCATACACACATGTGTATTACCTGATGAACAGAGTGGCTTTATATTGTATGGTTTAATGCAGCAGGAAAGGACCCCTAAGCATTATACCTTCATATTATTTTTGATATCCATAGGGTAGAGAAACAAGTTTTTATTAAGTTAGGCAAAATAACAAGTCAAACGGTCTAAGAAAAACCAATTGTAATGCAGAAGTCTGCACACTTTGCAAGTAAACTCTACTTGTAACCAGCTTGCGTAACTTCACAGAACTTTTAATATACGATAGTGATTTTCAGGTCATCTCAACACTGATTAAGGAATTTTTCCTGTAAAAAAGTTCTGTTCGTTTCTTCGACTACAAACAGATAACGATTTCATAGAAAAAGAAATAAAGTCTAGACTGTATTCATCACAAACTGACATTATTTAGAGAACCACTAAAAACTTGGGAGCACCGAACTAGTTTCGTTCTACTGTGTGACTCAGTAGTGCGCACCTACGACCCCGCAAGAGACTGAGGCCAGGACCGTAAGGTTTCATGGCTAGCACATTGCTATTCAACCACTTGGTTGTAATCCAATGATCCACACTTTCCTACTTCTGTGAATTTGCGATTCAACGCGACCATTATGCAATGTCATCAGTAAGTATTTGTCTTCACACGACTTTTTTAATAAGACACTTAGGGAAATCCAGTCCTCTGTTTTGACGTGTACGCCGTACTACAATTTTTCCAGGGTATCTGGTAACATTAACGTGTTTTTAGAGAATATGGTTAGCGACTGAGCATACCATGATAATTAAAAAAAAACCACTAAACCTCAAGACAACCTACGAAGAGATTACATTTCATCTTGTCGACTATATGACTTAGAATTCGGTCATTTCTACACAGTTGAAAACATGAAAAAGAATCTGAAACAAGCCAAACTTATTCCGTAAAGGTGTATTTGCAACCACTATGAATACATTATTCATTGAGATTGCAATAATATCCAACCGACTTGAGGAATCGATATGTAAGCTGCTTCTCTCCTCAAATTCTTTTTGTCTTGTTCCATCATGTTTCAACATTACGGGTGATAGTATTAGATCACTTGGAAATTTTCTAACCCCTCAGCTCTAGATTACTGCGTTGACAGTTCCTGTTAGTCCTACATATTATTGCAGTTTCATGAACCAAACTTCATTGGGAAGAAATCTTTTAACCAAGTCTGCCTCTTTAACGCCTACATGTTGTACGTCAGTTATATAAGTTTTTTACAGTTCACCCGTTGCCATCTTTTAAGACAGAAGTTTGATCAACATGTTGTCTTCGCTTGTTGATTAAAAACTAGGATAATTCAATCACTTCTTAAAGTTTAAAGATACTCCTCCATACTTGAACTACATACAACCCACTTATGTATGGCATAACACTACTAAGAAACGTTAGTTCTAAAAGGATCGGTCATTACACTGTAATCGAAGTGAATTTTCGGTTTTTCAATGATGTTATAATTGTGTGCTTTATACAGCACCAGTGTAATGTGATTGGCAACAGGTTTTAGAATTCAGTGAGTAGACGACTTTGATTCCAGACTTCCTATATTTATGAGCGAAAAACTTATTTCTTCATCTCAAGTTGCGATTTCAGTCGTCCACCAACGCGATTAGCTATGCTGACAACAAAGATTAGTTGGTGTGCTAAGCAACATAGTGATGAAATAAAAGAACTTGAAAATTGGAAAACATAGAATTTTACAGAGCTGTATGTACATACAGCTTGCTGATAAGTGGAGGAGATTAAGAAAGTTGGGTATAATGCTTCACACTGAGAAGATCATTAAACAAATTAAAAATACATAATATTATAAACTTCGGGCTCAAACTTTCACCTGATAGAGTTGAATAAGTTGAGCATTGGGTAAATGATAAAATCCCAGTGGGATTTTACAAATATATTTCATCTATAAATTTGGCAGCTGCTTCAACACTACGGCTTTAGTGCCACAAACCTTTATCAACCTCACTCAACGGCTATATGCCATATGATGCTACATGCTATATGTCAAGTGATTCACAATCGAAAGCTCAGTGACGTCTTCGAAGTGAAGTGAAGACAGGAGTAAGATAAGGTTGCCGTCTACTATAGCCAATCATCTTCCTGATTGTGGACAACTGGATCATGCAGCAAACTGTGAGGAGTGAGAAGAGGGGCACACACTGGCTGTACCGATGAAAAGACACCAGAAAAAGAGTTGAATTTCGCCAACGATGATGATTTATATCTAATGTAGCACAAACTCGAAGATCTACAGACAAAAGCCAACAAGTTGACAGAAGACACAGGGCAGCAAAGACGGGACTTCTTTCTGGTGAACGTAGAAAAGACAGTGGGAATGAAGATACTGAACCAACAACAACAACAACAAGCACCGATCACTATCAACCGGAGAAACCTAGAGGAAGTTGTCTCTTTCACCTACCTACCTAGGCAAAGCGGCATCGTTTCAACTACAGGTGGCGGTGGCGGCACAGATGAGGATGTCAAAGCAGCCAGGATCGGAAACAGACTAAGACAGGCTTTCGTTAATCTGAAATCAGTGTGCAGATCTACTGCACTCAGCATAAAGCGTGAACTAGATCCGGATTTTCAACACCAACAACACGTCAAGTCCGTGCTTCCATGTATTGGTTGAGAGACTTATCGCGTCACGAAAAGCATCTCCAACAAACTACAGATATACATCACATCAATAGCTGCCGCCTACGCTAGCTCACTCGATACTGACACTAAAGATCAGATGGCCAGAATAGTAAGAATAAGCAAGGAGGAACTCTGGTTGGCTGGCTGGCTGGCAACGAACCAACCAACAACCCATCATCCAACAAATATGCAGAAGAAAGTCGAGATGGACTGGATTGGATTGGACATATACTGAGAAGACGGTTTGGGTACATCACGCACTAGGTCAGGTCAGGTCAGGCCAGGCCAGGCCCTCGAGTGGAATCCAAAGGGGAAACGACGAGTTGGGTGTCCCAGCTGAGGGTGACATGAAGGAGATGGTGTGAGGAAGAAATGAAAGGTGGTGGGCTGGGAGTGGTGGAGCCAGGTTGAAAAGACTGTAGAGAAGAGAGTGCAACGGAGACGTGCTACTGAAGCCCTACGTTCCACTAGGAACCCAAGGGACAAATAATAAATAATATAATATAAGTAACATAATAGTTTTATCTAATAATGAAAATCAACAAGTCACTTACTTCTTTTAGTTCACTTATAGAATCAGAATCTAAGCTCCATGATGAATATCCATCTCCTGACTCTAATGAATGAACACTCTTAAAGACTGAACCAATGTTTTCTTTTTCTCGCTTGTTAAAATCAGATGAACTACGAAGTGTAGTTAACGCTTCTTGAAATCTGATACGTAAACCTCGTGGAGCAGTAAGTTCGGACCAAATTCTTTCAAGTTCACATCGCATTCCTTCTTCGTCTGCGCTTACAGTGAATCCACATCGTCTATGCACCTCTTGATGCTTTAAAACCTTAAAATTAGGCATATTTGAATTTTTCAGTACAAATACTGTAGAGATTAACACTCACTTATTATACAATGTGCTAAGAGTATACTACTTACTTTATAAAGAAGATATCAATTAAGACTAGAAAACAATAGTAAACACAACCCTGTAAATATTAAACAATGGATAAATTATTCCACGTCAAAGTTACCAACTACAAGTAGTATATGCTATTTATAAAATCGCCGTCAATATTTTAGATTTTTCTAGTGTCTTTTTCGGAACAGCTATTTACTTTCTTTAAAATACCTGGATTTACTAATTTTACGCAAAACACCTTCAAGCTTTGACTAACGTGTGATTATATCGTCTGAAATTGAACTAACTCAATTCAATACATTAGTAATGATTTACTAAAGCACATAGCTATGGAAATACATGCTAGTATACGAACCAGCTAATTAGCATTTATGACCGATGGCCCTGCATACCAACTGTACAATACAAATAATCGGTTGAAAAGGAAAGGTTACAATTAACATATAAGGTCACGCTAAGAGAAAACAAATCCTGTAAACAAAGTTACACCTCATAATTTAAAGTATCACTCGAATTTAGTTTGAATAGTTACGCTTATTTGAAGACTATTTTTCAAAACAGTATGATTATTTTGAACTTTTGTATTTTTGGGGCCGGATGGTCGAAGGGAAACGACAAATGAACCAACACCGCCGGCCCGGCAGACCGTGGGGTATGGTGGAGTGTGTTATTTTGGGGGCCGACCTTTCCTAACCCCCCTCTCCTTCCACTGAGAAGGCAGCATCAGCATGGTACTGCTGGTCATCCTTACTGCTGTCATACCCCATCCAGCTAGCAGCAGTACGAACTCGCCCTCAGATCCCCATCATAGTGTAGCAATTTACACTACAACGTTAACTGCTTTTCGCCTAACCACTATCCAATAGACCTTTCTGGTATGGTAGGACCTCGAGGAAACAAGCGTTTCACCAGCATAGCTTGTTGGGTTATTGTGATATGCAAACCCGACCACCACGTTAAGGTAGCAGCTGTCGGTTGGGCTGTGGCAACTCGGACCGTTACGCAGTAATGCTTGACCCTATGTTGATATTGATGATGATGATTTTTCAAGACAACTCCTACTTACCAGCCTAAATATGCTGTATCACTACACTTTCAATCACTAATTATTCTGTAGACTATCATTTTGACTATCTGAGATAGTCGTGGTTTAGTAGACTAGTAATTATACTGAGTAATAATTGAAGGTGAAATGAAAATTTGGACTGATGTCGGATTCGAACCAGCAACCACCGGGTTCCTGGCCCGGTGCTCTACCAACTGAGCTACGAAGCCCGACTGCTGACCAGGTTTTTATTTTCCTTCAGTCACCAAGGGTTTTGCCTGACTACCATGTGAAGTTGTAGACACTAATTTTTGTTTAAAAATATGTGAAAATTTTACCACTACAAAATAATAATATCAATTATTAAGTTGTTTTTTTAAAAAGAAAGCTAACTCACTTTCAGAACCCTATGGCTTAGCTCGATTTGTTTACGTTTCAATTGAATAAGCCTTTGTGACATACCCAACTGACCAGTACGCAATTTAGATACCAATTCAGTGATATGCTGGAAAAAAAACATAATAACACGGTATACATAAGTGTGAAGGTAGAACAATTAAAATGAGGTGATTACAAGTGTACTCACCTGGAAGTATTGTAAAGCAATAAAATATGCACCAACTAAGGTTTAAAGAGAAGTACTTAAATCACGGCTGACACATATTTTAGAGATGCATGGAACAAATAGAGGAGTTCATTAGTCACTGATAACCTAAAACTTTCAGTTACTTATTTCAGTAACGAATAATATGCACATTGTTTTGAAAAGTAAAATTACCTCACTTAACTCGTAGACAAAGAATGAAAATTAATTGAGTGAAACATCCCACCTAGTGATGTGAACGACTAGGCACTGAATCAATAAACCAGTAAGTTTTTGAAGCTAAATAAGAAGTGTTATTGCTAGTATCATACCGTCGTTTGAAGCGATCCGTCCCGAGTTCGAATACCGGTGGGGACAAAACCACTCACTGGGAGGCAGACATATCCAGCTGACAAGTCTCAAATACGAAGAAGTGCGCATCCTGGATTCCACTGCTAGCCACTATCTATCATTACTAAAAACGTTTATTCTATTTAAAGCATGTATTCGAACAAGTTTAATATAGATGTTTTTTATACTTCCAGTCGGTAAGGTAAAAGAAATAATCTCTAAAAACAGGTTGAAAACCAAGTTGAATTCAGTGTATCGATGTACCAAACTTTGAGAAACATTGCTTGTTGAAGTTTGTTAGAAAAAGTTCTCCACTGCCTTATGAAAAATCTACGAGTTCGACCCCCTTGGTCAACACTTCACTCACGATTAGGTAGATACATAAGTTGCTAAAGTAAGTCAATGACCACCTTCACAGAGAATAGTGTAGTCAACATAACAATCTTCGGTTCATATTTTTCAACTTTTTGATCTCTTCTTAATGATTATTAAAAACTAGTAAAGTTACAAATCATTCTGATAGCATCAAGTATAATCTATTTAATTTGAACAAAAATATGTACAACCCGACCATTGATGATGGAATATAATAACTCAAAATTGTCGGCAGTGGTTTACTAGGACCTGCTTTCTAGCAAAACCTGAGATTTGTCAGACTTTATACTGTAATATTCAAGCAAAACTGTGCTTGAGAACAAAAGCGTAATCGAGTAACTACTCAATAGGCTTTTTCCACCAGTGCGTAACCTAATCTGACTTTTGATCGCCCATATCACTTTCGTTTCTCTCTGTGGAAAACAAGACACTACCTTTTTAAATTGTTCAGAGAATCACAGCAAGATAAGAAAATCAACATCTTTTCAAAGACCTGGAAGAGTTAGGACCATGTTGCTTTATATCTCGATGTTTCCATCAAAGTTTCTGGATAATAGAAAAACGTGTCATCACTTTACATCGCTCCAGAATCACGCATTGATGGTACCCTTCCTTTTGCTGACAAATGAATAAATAATTTAAGGAATAAAAACCATTACAAATTAGAACCAAGATGAACTGACAGTAAAATAATACAGGTCTAAACAAACAATGAAAGAAAAGATAATAAAAAGAGAGATTTACCTTGATCATACTGTTCTGTTGTTCGCCGTAAGCAAGTTGATCACACTTACGTCTTTTTAAATCAGAAAAACCAATAAACGGGACAGGAATCATACGATCTGGATGAGGATTGTCCAGACAAGCCTAGATTTGATTTTCAACCACATCAATCAAAAAGACATGAGAAAATACTTAATTCCTAGGTTTAGAAATACGATATATATTTACAAATATTTATACATTATAGACTACATAAAAGATCTCTATTAAGATAGCCACGTTTACATCATATCCTGGTCATGAAACCAACACTGTGAAAAAAGTAATGGTACCATTTGGATGCTAAGAAATTGGCAGATCTGAGGATGAATTCAAATCTCTGATGCGTATTTTGGGAGTTGAATCTTTAGATAAATAAGCCATAGCACCATATCAATAACAATGGTATTCGAACAGTTATTTCTTTAATGGTATCGTCAGTTAGAAAAAGATGCAGAATGTTTACAGCACTTTTGAAATGAGAGAAATTCAAAATTACGCAATTCAGATTCAATAAAAAAGAGCACAATACCATTTACAATTCCATCCTAAACTTTCATATAAAAAATAAGAGATTATAAACATCCGAGCCATAGTTGTTACGAATGTCCTGAAAGAAGTTGAGCACTGAATCAGGTTGATTCATCATATAGGTAAGTTTTAATATAATCCCAGGGTGTTTAGAAAATCGAAAACAAGATTTTTTCTGATTTTCTAAACATGTTATGTTCATATTAAAACTTATATAAAAATTAAGAGATATTTACTCAACGTTATTGATTTGAAAGTGTAATACAAATTGTGTTTGCACTTACTCCAGAATTCCCTAATTCGAAATGTAGACAAAAACGATATATCTTACTATTCTTAAACAATACTACTGACAAATAAAATTGTCTGCTGAAGAAAAAGGTCATAACAACTTCACTTTTTATTATCCCCAATAACCTTTCAACATTGAGACTCCAATCACCATCAACGGGAGAAACTTAAAGGAAGTAACCTCCTTCAACTATCTAGGCAGCACTGTTTCCACTATGGGCAGCGGCGTCACAGACGAGGACGTCAAAGTCAGGATCAGAAAAGCAAGACAGGCGTTCATTAGCCTGAAACCAGTGTGGAGATCTTCTGCACTCAGCATGTGGAACAAGAGCCGGATTTTCAACACCAACGTCAAGTCAGTGCTTCTGTATGGTTCGGAGACTTGGCGCGTTACGAAAGGCATTTCCAACAAACTACAGACATTCATCAACAACTGCCGCCTACGCTGACTCGATACTGAAGATCAGTTGAGATGGCCAGAAATAATACTCAACAAGGAACTCTGGCTGGCATGGGCATGCACTGAGAAGGCCGACTGGGGACATCATGTGCCAGGACAGTCACTCGAGTGGAATCCCCATGGGAAGCGACGAGTTGGGCGTCGGTGCCGAGGGTGACATGGAGGAGATCGTGCGAGGAAGAAATGAGAGCTTCTGGGCTGTCGTGGAGCCAGGTTCAAAAGGTTTCAGAGAACAGAGTTCACTGGAGACGTGCTACTGAAGCCCTATGTTCCACTAGGAACCCAAGGGACTAATAATAATAATAATAATAATAATAATAATAATAATAATTGAGACCCAAACAACACATTTTAAAATTGTCGATAAATTATTTCGCTTTTATGATCTAAAATTTGTGGTAAGTCATACTTTATGCACTGTCAAATAAATACCAGTCTTACTACATTCAAATATCAAGTTACAGTTGTACTGTACTGGGTCATTCAAGTCAATGAACACCTTATTTTAAAAGCCATGAGTAAGTTTATCTCCCAGATCAACAGGTGCATTTAATACATGGAATAATCCTAATATCATTATTCAGCGATTGGAAGCAGACGATACAAACCATGGATCAACTTTCAGAGGATACTTTAGATTTGCTCCCCAAGCGCCCTAATGTGGCCGAGGGTGAGGTAATCCCGGCCATCCTTTTAAAATGTTCTAACATAGCGGGTAGGGAAGACCATAAAAGCAAGAGGACAAAAACGAGCATTTGAAGATACAATCGGATTAGTGTACACCTAAAGTAAATCTAGGGGAATTGGAAAACTCTGATTCCAAAACAGTGGTGCACACAGGCTCGACCATCCAAAACGGAGGAATGGCGTTTGAATCCATCTTGATTACCGGCAACCATAGGAACGCAGCACATCACGTTGCTTTTCTGCCTTGTGGATTAAACTTCAAGTCAAAGCCTCCAGGAGTGGACCCTAAAAATAATCACCTAGATCGGCTTGGGTAATCAGCTAATACCACAAATCTACATACAATTTATGTATCAACATTAAGATTAACTTATCAAATCTTTCTGCAAGAATCAAAATCCACAGTGTAACCAATGATTTGCTCAATTGTTCCTTTTATTCCTGTACTACCGTTATTTTTGCTGATCAACTATGCTGTCATTCCGTTACCACTTTTTAGTCTAATTTTAGATGCATCTTTGATTCATTCAGCTGCTTGTCACTAACTAAAATCGTCGGCAGTGCATTGGATTAAGTCACCAAATAGTTGCTTCCAAAAAGCTGTCTTTCATTGCAATATTTAATACAACTATTCTGAAACCGTGTGAACCGTTTAGGCTAACCATCTTCAATGTTCAAACCTTGATGCAGATTGGACAACAGAAAGGCTTGGCCAAGGCTTCAGAAAGCCTCACTATTGATGTATGCCGTGTCACCAAGGCCGGCGTACCAGATGCCAATGTAATGATTCAAATAACCAACCCATCTATCATTTTAAGCAGTGTATATGCCGTTCGCTTATCCAGAGACTGTGTGGCACCAGCAGTCGACCTTACTAGTGCTGCTGTCCCACCTAGAGCCAAAACTGAACCAGTCAACTGGACTTTCACCAACAGTCGTCAGTGTGCTGTTAGGCTAAAAGGTTCGACTGGAGTAAGAAGCAGCTGACAACCGAGTGAACTTCCTTACCAAGTGCACTCGGTAGATATAGAGGTGCTAGCTGGGAACTTGAATGCAAAGCCCCACAGGAAAGCAGTTTAGACGTTTAGTGCAGATTATTCGGTTTCAAATAAGATGATGGAGAACGTATTCTTCATTACTATAAGTGTAAAACTTGATCACTGTGGTAGGATTTAATTCCATATTATATTTGTATACTTGATTTATAACACACAGTGAAACAGTATTACTTACTCAATGCCGTTTCCAGCATAAATCATTTATATGATCATGAGCAATAATTAATGCTCAAAACGTCATCAGGTAAATAATACTGTATCACTGTGTTACAAATCTAATATGGGACGTATTCTCCAGCTTTGCGCATATCATAACTTATTTCTAGCCGGCACAAACTTCCAGCACAGCCATCGCCACTGTACTACCTGGTGTCCTCCCTACACCACTCAAGGCTGGGCTCAAGTAGGTCATATTAGAATCAACTAGCGATGATGTGAGCGTATTCAGGACCGCCGCTCCTTATGCAGCATATGTCTGAACTATGATTGCGCTTCAGTGTGTGTTAAGTTCATCTTACGCTTCAGTGGTCATTAAAATCGCCATCCGAAACTAGTCGACTCAAGCAAACTGGTTCCACCTAGCATTACAACTAAATACAGAACCAGGCTAGATTCCAATCTAATTGTCAAATTTCCAGAGTATAGATGAGCGCTGGTTGTATTCACAAGACGCCATGGAAATGGCGAGTAAAGCTGCTTGTAGCATTGAAGAACGTCCCGCTAATAAACACTAGGTTTCTACAAACTCCTAGCACCTTCTTGACTCTCATTGGTGTATTCCAGCAGGTAACGTGTACAACAGTATGTGTTCCTTACGTGACAGACCAAACAATATTTGCGTAAGGAGCGTTAGGCCTAGGTGTAAGGACGTGCAAATGAGACGGAAGCAGCAGCTGCATTTGGTAATATTAGAAAGCTGTTCTAGTTCATCTGGGTCACAAGCACCAAGAATCCTGTTGTCAGTGAAACGGTTTGTGAACCAGGTGGTACGCCGATTGTTAACTTTCATAGACACCTGAGACACTGGGTGGAGCATTTTTAAGTAACAGTCCAGCTCCCTTACTACTCCACCAACACTATCCTCACGGTCTTGTAATCCATGGTCAGTTACCACAGACCCCCCTAACGCAGTGAAGGTCCGTGAGGAAGTAGGCCATAAAGCACTCAGGTCAGACAACTTACTTCCGGCTCTTCTTAAGGATGAAGGTGACGCTGCAGTCAGAGAACTGGTTATGTTGTTTGAAAACTTATGACAGACTGAGTGTCTCACCACTCTGAAGTACACCTATTGTTGTACCCATTTTTAAAAATAGTATACTTGATGTGTGTGGTAATCACTAGGATATCAATCCGTTAACACCAGTAAAGCCTAAAATATTGATAGCTATCATACTTCGCAGGTTGTGAAAAATACATGAAAAACCAACCCACGAAGAGAAGACCAGGCATCGTTTGGAGCGTGAATGCACTGACCACGTTCTCACCCTCTATCAGATGTTCGAACACCGTTACATGTGCTGCAGACCTATGGTCATTGCATTACTCGATATTAGGGCTGCCTTCGATTAGCCTGAAAGTGTTGTACTCTTGATTTTTTTTCTTAAAGAGGAGTGTACATGAGAAGCTTGTTAACATCTTCAAAGTTACGCACTTTAAAACCTCAGGATTACAATCACCTATCTCCGTCGTTTCAAACCAATAAAGTTGCTTGACTTATCTGTTCCTGTTTAACTTTGCTGTCGATGACATTCTCGAGACGGGGCTGAAGGAAATGCATGGTGGCGGTGGTGTAGACCTGTTACTAGGACGAACTTTCCGATCTAGGGTAAGTAGATGATATCATCTTACTGTGCAACAACATGCAAGCTACTCAAATAACACTCAATCACTTGGTGATCAGTATCCGTAAAAGCGGTACGCGCTTTGCACAATAGAAGTGCAACCTGCTTCCACACACCCTTAGCGGTGAATCGCTAGTTGTCAAGAAGTTTCTGTGCCTGGATAGTTGGGTGGGTGCTGGCGAAGGTGAGACGGATGGGATTTCCAGTCGTAATTCGAGAGGCAGAGTGACATTCTAATCTGAACTACTTTTGACATTGTCACAGCGTCGGTCTACGTGTAACAGATCGAGTGTATGACGCATCGGTATGCGGTTTTTCCCTACACGTGTGAAACCTGGCACTTCCAAGCTGAGGAGGTCCGATGACTTCTTCATCAGTCACCGTTGTTTCCACAGGATTGCTCACATTCAGTGGAAAGACCACATCAGTTTCTGATGTTTGATAGTGCACTTTTGTGTGTGGTGGAGACTGTCATTTATTGAGTGTGGTCATCTCGAGACACAAGCTGCGGTGGCTTGGACATGTGTTAAGAATGTCGTTCCGGTGGCTCGCACACCACTCACTGTTCGCTTATCCTAGTTGGAAGAGGCAAAGAGGTAGTGACTGCATGATGTGGTACCCTAGGATGAATGACAATTATGTTCGACTAACATTTCTAGGTGCCTCTTGACTCATTGCGAGGGGTTCGAGAGGACCATGCAGCTTGATGGCTTGATACAATGGCAAACATGGTCTAGAATTGAAATCAGTAGCGATCATACTGCAGTTTTCTTCTTTCTTTAATCTCCGAAAAGTAAAAGGAAAGTATTGAATGCTTCTTCGTACGTATTCGTGAGGTTGATCTTTTAATAAAAGACTTCTGCTTTTGTTTTCATTCTCTCTTTCGTTTCCTGTGTTTTCGTAATTTCGCCTTACTACTTTGTATAATCCATTTCTTAGCCCCCATGTTGCACCAAGTATTTATCCAAGTAATAAAATAATGTGACTACATCTGAATATTTAACCACTTATAAGTGATAACCGTGTGGAAGTTTAGTATAAATAAGCTCATTACCGCTATCACTAGCTATCAAAAAGAAGTGTAATAAAGTAAAAACCTCTCTAAAAATTCAAGTATGCTTCATATTTACCTGCTGCCATATAAGTCTGTCAAACCCAGCAGGCGGATTCTCATTATAAGCAATTATCTGTGCTGCAGAAGGAGATATTTCTGGAATTAGACGGTTTACACATAAATGTGACTGAATTTGTGGTGCAATCGATGGACTTGACAAATATTTTACAAGTTCGCTGGCGGATATATTTGTCGTTGGACCTAAGTAAGGGGATAAGAAAAGAACACAGCAAACAAACGCTTTCTGAATGGTTGAATGGAAACATATATTTAGTAGAAAAAAAGAGAAAAACACACCTCTTACTAGCGTATAAACAAAATATTACATTTGATTAAAATACGAACAAAAGTTGCAAACTAGAAATGGTTTGTTCAGGGATTTTTCATGTACCTATACACAGAAAAGTAGTGATTACAGACGACAATTTGTGAATCCACTTCCTGGATTTTCCAGGTTCACTGCAATGCACACTATATGACACTATAATAACCATGCTTATTGTAGATAGTTATTGCATTGCTTTTAACAGTAACTAAACTAATTCTACACTATTTTTAGCTGGTAAAAGATACATTAACCTAGTAAAGGAAAGACTTCCACAAACTAATTTGTCTTCGAAGATATCATCCTTAAAAGTTGTAATCACACTTGAATATAGTTCTCACTTAATGGTGGAAATGTCAGAGTAGTCATGAAAATAAAATTCTTAGCAGACTGTAAACCAGGAAACCATATAGCAATGAGAGTTACATAAATATTCAAAATCTTGATAGCATAAATAAGTAAGAAAAAATGAGCTAACGACTGTTAGTCGTGAAGAGAATGATATGTTAGTATCTGTTTTTAAAACCTCTGCGACAACAAAATTGAAATAATAACAAGAATAAACTTTTTTTTAAAAACTGGAAAGTTTTAAAATCAAAACAATGAGTAGAGATAGAAGGTGGAAAAAGTTTGCCTAAATACGTAGTTCCGATCCTCATTTTTTGCACCACAACAGTCTCAGTAGTGCAAAACAAACGTTTTCTCGTACACTACGGAAGGTTTTACTCTACTTCTTGGACTATATTACTATATTGTCAATCGCCATTAGAGCAAAATGATATATGAAATATAGAACCCGAAATAATGATTAGGAATATTTAAGTTAAATTGATCAGATCACTATGATTGTATTTTAGCAAACATGTTATGTACAGAATTCGTACAGCTGGAAATGAACGATACTAGCCCACCAAGACAAACAACTAAAGCCCGTTAACACAACCCTACTCTATGACGTTAATTTATTATTATTATTATTATTATTATTATTATTATTATTATTATTATTTTACTACTATTATTATTAAAAAACAAACATGGTTGGACAACAGAGCCAAAAAATGGGCCACATAAAATAACATAACACTATTTTGAAGACAAAGAGAAGGGAAGGCGATAAAAAGAAAAACAATAAGAATAAAATGAATAGGACGCCAATCAAGCAGGATATATTCAAAATAAAACATTCATTACTTTTTAGAACCAGAAGATAGAAAGAAGCTACAGCATGACTGCTACTGGTCTCCATTCTGAGCCATATCTGATAACGTCTCAACCCACTGAGTTGCGTGATCTCTCTTGGACCCCTTCTACGGAGTCCAGATGCACTAACGAATGTCAACCCGATACAACTATCCTTCATCCCACGGCACCACGTCACACACTGAACACTCTTCTGCTTCTTCCATCCAGTCCAAAGGCCAGAAAACAATGAACGGTGTGGAAGCCGTTAGGACGATATGCGTAACATATATCCAAGCCACCGAAGCCGGTGTTTCCAGATGACTTCACCACTTATTGAATGACCATCTCCACCATGCCCAAACACGTTGTCTTACCTCAGAATTACTTACGTGGTATTGCCACTGGATACGAGCAATTCTACGGAGACAACGATGATCGAAGATACAGAGTCGTCACATATCCTTAGCTCAGAGAGGCCAGTTTTCAAAGGCGTAGAGCAGAAGCGCTCGCATCAAAGCTTTGTAAATCCGAGCCCTTACGGTCATACTAACATCACGACAGCGCTAACGGTGACCTAGCTTGGCGCATGTTACTCCAGGTTTCAACATGCGATTAGAAATATAATCACCCACACCACTGCCAGCACCCACACTACCCAGATACATGAATTTTCAGACTGCTTCCAACGGTTCACCACCGAGGTGGACCACAGACACTGACTCCTGTCAATCTCGTAAAAGTACTTTGCACTTCGATGGTACAAAGTATGTGTCATACTTATCAATACCATTGATCTGACAGTCCAAGTAAGTGGGATTAGTGCTCAAATCCAAGGTGCTCCCTAGTGTTCTGTAATCTCAACGATTACATCTGACATAGGTGCATTAGGACAGAATATGTTAATGAATTGTACATCCAGTTCTTAAGGAGGAAGTTTCGGAACTAAAGTGCCAACGACAAATCACGGTTGAGCTCCTTATATCTTCTTGTTTGAGGTCACTAAGTGTTAAATTAATTCCTAAAAATATTGTCAAGCAACTTTAACACAATCACTGATGAGACTATTTGAAATAGCTATGATTTAAAAGACTTGTATTGTTGATCCCTGCGGACACTGGCTTGATGCTCTACTAATAGTTAACATCAATAATAAATATCACTTTACATGTTCATACCATAAAAATGTGTCCTAATCTGGTGGTTTCCCCTTTGCGTACGTAAGCATTAATACAGTAATTTTGTTCTTACAGAGCTGACCATTATCATTTTCATCTTGACAAAAATACTTATATGAAATCATTTTGAGAGCTAGAAACAACAAATTTATGAGTTTCAAAATCAAATCGTGTAGCGTGAGACAGTTTTGAAGTGTCCCTTTCCCCAAGATAAACCACTGCTCTAAACCAAATACACACGGTTCATTAAAATCGATTACATCCACAATATTCACTAAAATAGGGTTAGTAAAGCCATGTTGAAAATGATCACTAGCAGGACATAATGCTGAAAGGATGTCCCTGGCAGAAAACCAATCCAAGATACTTGTTAATAAAAGTAACATACTAGTAAAGTGACATAACAAACAGATTAAAAGAACAAGAGTTACCTGTAGCCAGACGTTCTATGACCTTTAATATTACTTCAGTGCTACCCTCAGTTTCAGCACAGGGGCGTATCTCTTCGACTACAAGTTGTAAATTAGGACGACCGCCTAACAGTCTGTACAAAATATCCTGCACAGCCTGACGTTGACCTGAAACCTCAGAAAATGGACGAGCGATGAATAGACAAACAAGCCCATCTGCGTCCGTACTCGTAGGTAAGACATTGTATCCAATCGATTTAAGACGAGCGAATGTATTCTCCGGTGTATAGTTTACTATACCCATTGCACTGTAGCCAATACCTGTACCCCACATTGCTTGTAGTTGATTCCACCGTGCAATAATCGAATCACGTTCATCGCCAAATAGCATTGGTTGGGATAAAGAAGCAAAGAAGGCATCGACTGTATTTTGCTGCGCTACTTGTTGCTGTTGCTGTTGCTGTTGTAGTTGTTGTTGTTGTTGTTGAGTTGTAGGAAGATTTTGACCGAAGCCAAAACTTTGCGCTGTTAGAGAGTTTGGAAAACAAAAGAAACTGTATCATGTGGCGAAAATTCCAAATCTGTATGTTATTTTGCTATTCTTGATGAAAATACCTTAAATTTCATTTATCAGCAAATATCAAATCAGTTGCTACGTGAAAGCCCAAATTACTTTGCATGACAGGTGTCAGGACGCTACTTTACTCACTTCCACTCACTTTTATCAAACCTGAATCCTCAAAATATTTTTTAAATGTTTTCATCTCTACAGCAAACGGTCTGTTTGCAAACTATTCATAAATTGCGCAGCCCATGTTGAGCAGTCTTCCAACTACTACAATGTGGTATCGATTAAGAGATTACTCAACCAAGATAATAAAGTGTCATTCCCGACAAGTGTCATGAAGCAAGGGGATTTATTGGCAGATAAGGCTAATCAGATCAAAGTGGACTAAACGTCAGATGGTAGCTTCCTCGCTTAAAGACCAGCTGATCAAAGGTGCAACTCGAGAAATTCACCTCATCTGAATCTGAACAGTTGATTTGAGTGGCTTACCGGTCATAAAAACGCAGAACCACCATCTATCATGTGAATCGCTCTGATTTCTTTACCATGATTTGAGGATCGATGCGGTTGTTGTACAACTATTCCGTTTAACTATTCATCTCGAACACTGTAGCACTGAAACATGGCTGTTTATCTTTAAACTTCATCTATCTATTTATTATGGCTTAATGGACACAAGTTTATGTCGATCAAGTTCTACGATGCATGTGTAATCAATCTAACTGAGAAAAAACTAAAACGAAACAAATACCAAGTGGAGAGTCCTTTCATTATATTATTCCTGTGAATAGATTAAGCACGGGGCTGAGGTGATAATGAGCAGTACATTAATCACTCAAGCTTAGGGTTAAACAACACGCGGACATATGGGATCTATGACTGAGACAAGCACCCCTTCAAGATATGAGAAGCAGTACCACTCTCATCATCACCATCACGCTTTACTCATATTTTTGAAGTCCGTGAAAGAGTTAAAAGCAAATTCATTGCATAAACAACATGTGTATATACAACATTTAATAGTCTCCGTATGCACAGACACAAAAATAAAATAAAGCATTTCGAAAACAATGTAGTTTGATAACAATCTAAGCGTATAAGCAATAATTATTTCGACAACTTCACAGCATATTCAATGTGGCGTAACTACAGATAAACAGCTACGAACACACACCATATCGCAGAAAATTACAGCACGAATGTTGTTCAATGATTTAAGTGCAGCCACAGAGTGCTCATTCAAATAGCAGTCAGTAATATGATCCAAACTCACTCTAGCGACCCAGAATTACACAGTTTAAAAAATTATTAGTGTTCTCACGACAGGTACGACATCGAAGATACCATTTCCATGAAGCACACGCACCATCATCATCATCAATATCAACATAGGACCAGGCATTACTGCGTAACGGTCCGAGTTGCCACACCTCATATCAGCACATCAAGTAAAAAGGTAGTGAGGTGAAGGATGAAGATAAGTGAATGCAGTCAAAAGAAATATAAAGTACGAGAAGAAAGGAAAGAGGAGTGACAAAATAGTGAGATTCGGTATAGCGTTGTTAAGATGAGGATAATGTGTGTATACATCTGCGCCACTGACTTCGGTTCTGAGCCATATCACCTAGGGTCTCCAACCACTGGTTCCTCTTGTCCCGTGGACCCCAACCACCTAGTCTGCATCGTCCTACATGGCTTAAACCAACAGTCAGAGACTTCATACATTGGTGCCATGTTTTAGTCTGGCCACCTCGGGCCTTTTTCCAGCCTGAACCCACCTCAGCCAACATTGTGTGACGAGGCAATCGGTGACTAGGCATACGTAGTACGTGTCCCAACCATCTCAGTCGATGAAGGTTCACAACCTCGTCGACTGACTTACCTCTTCTCCCTAAAACTCTACACCTAACTTCTGCATTACTCACATGGTGACACCACGGAATACGTCCTATACTACGAAGGCAACGGTGGTCAAACACCTGAACCCTTTTTGTATCTCCACTTTCAATGGCCATGTTTCACAGCCATACAGTAGAACAGAGCGGACTGCTGTGCAGTACACGCGACCCTTAATAGACAAACGAATATCACGGCGGCGCCATAGGTGGCGCAAATTGGCAAAAGCCAATCGAGCCTTTTGTATCCGTGCAGAAATCTCATCGGCAACTAACCCACCGGGTTGATCCTACTTCCCAGGTAAGTGAAGTGGTCAACACACTCAACCACTTCACTCTCTATTGTTAACCGCGGTACCGCTGAAGACCAGTCCTGGAGCAAAAATTTGCATTTGGGTGGTGAAAATCGCATCCCAAACATTCTCAAATTCCCACTCAAAGTGTTCAGAAGACTCTGCATCTTGTCAGCGTCTTCACCTAACAGGACTATGTCATCTGCATATTCTAGATCTAAGGAAAATTCACCTGTGATCGGTCAACGTCTTTGTAATTAGGTGACGAGAGGGAAACCTCCATAAGAATATCTATGATAAAATTAAATAAGAATGGGGATAGTGGGCATCCTTGACGGACACCACTTGATGAGTATAGCTCCCTGGACAACTCACCATAGGCTCTAACATGCCCACAAGTGTTCGAGTAGAGAGCTTTCAATAAGGTGATGTACTTACTAGGCACGCCTTTCAGTGACAGACACTGCCATAAGACTTCTCGATCAACGGAGTCAAATGCCGCCTTCAGGTCGAGAAATACAGCTATTGTCGGGCGTCTGTAAGCATGCCTATGTTCCAGGACCTGGCGCAGTGTGAATATTTGGTCGATACATCCACGGCCAGGTCTAAAGCCTGCCTGGTTTTCTCGGGCTTGCTGTTCCCGAGCTCCACTCAGGCGTCGGAGAATTATAGAACTTAGGATCTTAGACACTATGTTTGTCAGGCTGATTCCTCTGTGGTTATCACAAGAGGACTTCTCGCCTTTCTTGAAGACTGGGATGATGAGTGACTTAGACCAGTCGGAGGGGATCGTATTTGATTCCCATATACTGGCTAACACTTCCGTTAGCCTGACTAAGAGAACTCTACCACCATTCTTGTATACCTCAGCAGGTAGTCCGTCTGGTCCTGCTGCCCTTCCCCGTTTCAGGCTACCTACCGCTTTCTCAACTTCTTCTAGTGTTGGGGGACCTGTCTCTATGTCCCATTCAGGGTCCGACTGGATAGCGGGCAGCGCAATGGTGGCTGGAGGCCAGTTAAACTGTTCCTCAAAGTGTTCTGCCCATCGTCCCAGTCGCCTTCCCTGCGAGTGAATCGCCGATCCGTCCTTCTCCGCTATAACCTCACTAACTGTTGTTGACCATTTCCCCCCAGTCTCCTTAATAAGTCTAAATAACTGTCTACTGTTACCGATCGCCGCTGCCTTTTCCATCTCTTTAGCCTTTGCTGCCCACCACTGTTCACGATCGTTGCGCAGACTTTTCGTCAGTTATTTTTAAGTTGCGCTCGCTCTTCATTGTACTCAGAGCCTGCAGGGATGCATTCACGTGCATCCATTAGTTTGGAAGAAGCTGCTGATATCCACTGGCTCTTTTTAGCCATTATCTTGGAGTCGGCTACAGTCTCCAGTGCTGCTTTTACAGTAGACTGAAGATGGCACCAAGCTTCTTCTGGATGAGTGACAGTCTTTTGTTCCGATAACTGCCTAGCCAACTTCTCACTGAACACGGCTTTGGTGTTTTCGTTGTCCAGCAGAACTCGTAGTGGTTTTGTTGCCAAATTTTTTCTACGTCCATTGAGACGCAGGCATATACGTGCTCGGACCAACGCATGATCGCTGTCCAAACACGTACTCCAGAAGGAGCGGCAGTCTTCCACCGATCCTCTCCAGCGATGACTAATAGCAATGTGGTCTATCTGTGTCCATCGCTGAGTCGAGCTCGGTGGACGCCAGGTCAGACAGTGCCTTTCTTTATGTCTGAAATTTGTGCTGGCTAAAAATAGGCGGTTATCTGAGCATAGTTGTAATAGGCGATCACCGTTATCTGTACGTTCAGCTGGGATTCCGAAAGTGCCACCTAAGTGCCTTTCTGCCTCACTCAGTCTACCCACCTGTGCGTTGAGGTCACCTGCAACAACCACTACGTCCGAACGTTTGGCTTTCGAGAGGAGGTTAGACAGTTTATGGTAGAACTCGTCCTTCACTTCATCCGAACTACAGTCAGTGGGTGCGTAAGCAGAGATTACAAAGAGACAACGGCGAGTCTCACTATTCCTTTTAGTTCTCACTGTGCCGTTCAGCCTCATAGCGCAGAGGCGACTATCAACTGGGATCCAGTCTAGTAGTGAGTTTTCTGCCCTGGTGCTTAATGCTATACCTACACCTGCAAGACCACGAGAGCTAGCTATCGAATCTCCAGAAACTCGAAGGGTGAATTTTGCAGATTCACCAGATTGGTCAGGAGAGGTCAGGTGAATAACCACACTTGGGTCCTGTATGCGTGTCTCACAAACACAGCACACATCCATGCCCGAGTTGCTAGAGTCTTTGCCAACGAAGCCTGTTGGCCAATTTGACGGAGGGTGCGGACATTGAAGGCTCCAATATGTAATTTGGAGCGTGGTTTAAGGAGACCAGGGATGCTGTTCTGTGGACTCAGATCGTTGTCGAAGGCTGCAGAGGTAGGAGAAATTGAAGATGATGCAGCATCATTAATTAAGAGACGTGAAGGAAGATTAGAAGGTAATGATGGAGGAGGAGGATAGCAGTCAGAAGAAACTTGGGTGCTGACAGAGTTGTGAGGGCGGTTGACACTTCCCGGCTGCCCACACCGTGGAAGGCTATTTCTTCTTAAGGTACCTGAAAGAGATTTGTGTGACCGCAGAGCCCATCGGACATCTGCTTGAGGCCTGTCACACCCAGCCTTTTGAGTATGATTATTTTGAATTTTTGTATTTTTGGGGCCGGATGGTCGAAAGGAAACGACAAGTGAACCAACACCGCCGGCCCGGCAGACCGTGGGGCGTGGTGGAGTGTGTTATTTTTGGGGCCGACCTTTTCTAACCCCCCTTCCACTGAGAAGGCAGCATCAGCTTGGCACTGCTGGTCATCCAAGGGAAACACCTTACTGCTGTCACACCCCATCCAGCTAGCAGCAGTACGACTTCGCCCTCAGACCCCCATCATAGTGTAGCAATTTACACTATAACGGTAACTGCTTTTCGTCTAACCACTACCCAACAGACCTTTCTGGTATGGTAGGACCTCGAGGGAACAAGCGTTCCACCAGCATAGCTCGTTGGGTCATTGTGATATGCAAGCCCGACCACCACGTCAAGGTAGCAGCTATCGGTCGGGAGCACACGCACCAGAATAATTTATCTCGATCAAATACCCATAAACCATATTGCTGACTGTCCGACCAACAAAAGTAACGTCGAACCTCACACACATGTGCATCAGCTCAAGTTGCCACAATTCAAAATAGTACACACAGAACAGGTAGATAGAAAAAGAGATTTCAAAGTAGACAAAATTGTGTGAGAGAATACGCAATCTGGAGATGAAGGTTAGTGAGAATATTCCAGCTTTAGATATCAAGGACTGAATACATCTGCGTCATTGTGGACGATTTTCAGTCATGTTACCAAGGATCCTCAATCACTGATTCCTTTCGTCTCGGGGACCCAAACCAGGCAGTCTACATCTCTCTACCTGACTCAGAACAACAGTAAGAGACTTGATCAACTGATGCCAGGTCTTGGTCTGGCCACCCTTAACCCTCTTCCAACCTAATCCCATTTCTCCTAGTTTGGCACTTCAAGGTAGACGGTAACTCGGCATTCGCAGTACATGTTCAAGCCATCTCATTCGGTGAAGGTTCAAAACCTCACTAATCAACTTACCTGTCTTGCCTAGTACGCTTTCCCTAACTCCGACCTTGCTCACACGGTGATTTCACCACAGGCGAGCAATGCTATGAAGATACCTATGATCAAAACCCTGTAACCGCTCCATGTTTTCTAATTTTAGCGGTCATGTTTGGTGTCCGTATAACAGGACAGAACGGAGTGCTGTGCAGTATATTCGTCCTTTGATAGGTAGTCGGATACCTCGCCGGCGCTACAGGTGATGCAAGTTGGCAAATGCCAAACGAGTCTTCTCTATCCGAGCTTAGATTTCGTCATCAACCAATCCGTTCGAGCTGATGCCACTCCTCTAGTAAGTGAAGTGGTTGACACATTCCACCACCTCACTTCCTATCACTAAATTGGGATTCGTTGCAGACCAGTCTTGGAGCACCATCTTACAGTTGACAGGCGTCAGTGAAACGCATGCCTAACATACTCATATTTCTGCTCAACATATCCACGAATCCCTGCATTTTGTTAGCATTAACACCCAGGAGGACATTATCGTCTGCATACTCCAGATAACCTTCAGGCAGTAGGTCAGTCCATGTGAAGCCAGATGTACCTAAGGTTATGTCCGTCAGTACGTCTATGACGAAGTTAAATCAGAACAGTGACAGTGGCCATCACTGGTGAACACCACTAGTTGTCGTCAATTCACACGGCAACTATCCATAAGCCCCAGTATGGCTGCGTGAGTTCGAGTGGAGAGCTTTGACTAGCGTTATATACTTGCTCGGTACCACCTTCTCAGTAAGACAGTCAAAACACCTCACTGTCGAGAGTATCAGGAGGTGAAGGCAACAGAGGAGACAGAGTTGAGGAGGATAGGTTATGTTTGATTTAGTCTTGTGTACTACTGGAAGCTTAAAGGCGGTTGACACTCCAAAGCTCCCTACACCGTGGAAGGCTAGCTTTTCTTGAGGTACTTTCAAAAGAAAGGTTAGCGCGTGACCACAGAGACCAATGGACATCTGCTTGACGTCGGTCACATACGACCATTTCGCAAGTGACTTATTTTGTTATTTTCGAATCCAACTATGAAACTAGGTAGCCGATATCGGCATGCCACAGGATCTTCGGTGTGCTATTTCGGGGGCTAACATTTTCTAGGCACCACCTTCACACAGGAAAGACAGCATTAGCGTGGCACTGCTGGTTATCTAAAGGAAGCACCTCACTGCTATCACACCCCAACCAGCCAGCCAGCAGTACGAACTCGCCCTTTCACCCGCATCATAGTGTAGTAATTTACACTAAGAAGGTAACTGCTTTCGTCTTACCACTATCCAACGGATCTTCCTGGCATGGTAGGACCTCGACGGAACAAGCGTTCTACCAGCACGGCTCCTTGGGTCATTGTGACGCACAAGCCCGACCATTACCTCAAGGTAACACCTATCAATCGGGAAAATATTTAGTTACCTGCTTCGCTTTTTCTTCTCCTATGATGTCCGATGACTTTTGACAACACTTCCTCTTCCTGTTACTCTACTTTTCACCATGGTGCCTCCTGTCCTCATGTACCAACATGAGGTGTAGCACGTTGAAACGCTATGCGATATTTCCAGGTTTCACGTTGATATACACTTCTTAAATCGCCTCAAAATCGCCTGCTCAATATCATTAAAATCTTAAAAAAATATACAAATATATGATTTTTGATTATGTGGAGAGAATACAAACGAGTAGACTAATCAAGTAAAAAGTTAATTAAAAATACCAATAAGCTACACTTACTTTTAGGGATGTTAAAGAGACTTTGAGCTGGCTGGGTAAAACTGAAACCAGTACTCTGAGTTGTCTGCTGACCCAACTGTGAACCAAATAAACTTAAACCCTGCTGGGTAGTAGCAGGAGTTGGAAACGTGGAACCGAATAACCCAGTAGTTGCCTTCGAAGCATTTGTGTTAAAGCCTTGGAAGGAAGTTGGATTTTGCCCAAATCCAGTGAAGGCCGTATTTGTTGTTTTTACCGCCGGTGCTTGAAAGAAACCTGTGCTCTGAGTTGTAGCTGCAGATCCAAAACCAAAGCCTCCAAAGGGTGTCGTAGTTGTAGTAGATGGTGTCTGCAAGTTGAAAGAAAGGGTTGGAGCAGCACCACTAGTAGTTGTTGGTTGTGAAAAACCAAATAATTTAGGGCCTCCAAACAAACTCATCTGGAAATTTAAAAAAATAATCACGTGATTCCCAAATATCGAAAGCAAGTTACAAATAGTGTCCAGTTTCACTTTAACAGACTGAATCCCTACATCGAAACCTACGCAAATGAAAGTCAACTGCACGGGAGACTATACAATACAAATATAGAGAAATAAGAAAAACTTTAAAACATGTGGAGGAAACTAGTTATTTTGACCTTATACATTATGAAACACTCGTGCAGTTTAGTGAATCAGGTCCTACGACCACAAATTTAGGTTCCTCACCAAGTTACTTTGTGGGGAAGCAATACTATTTACATAAGGTTGCGAGTCTTGACCTACTCCATATACCTTTATCCTATTATTTAAATAGTTCCGTTCACCACCATACTTACGCATTCTGGAACAAGCTTACTCAAGGTTATTGAGCTCTTATGTCGTTTTATACTAGGCAGGCGAAAATATCTATGAAATTCCTGAGCACAGTTCATAAAAAGTGACTTAAGAAATAAATTCCACCTCTTTGAATTTAGACCTACGGTACGAAATATAGAGACAGCCACTGCATACTAGTCATGATCTTTGATTATTTAAGTTTATACGAAAGAATAGAAATTTTGTAACAGAGATAATGGAGACAATCTATCAAGCATTCTAAGACCCAGACATACACTGTCATCCCATTACTAGCTGTAGCTTGAGTAGAACGGACGCAAGAAAATCAAAGAAGTTTTAAGTTGGTGTGCATTTGAACTGGTCAGATATTCATACACTTTTGGACTTACGACGAACCGTTCAACTGGCCTCTGGTTACTATCTACTGCTTCTTATCCAATCACATCCTGGACAGAACATCAAGATAGACTCTCCAACTCTTGCAATTAGCAAGGCTTTAAGTAACCTTAAATGTGGAGAGTTAGCCAGACCCAATAACCTACTGCTGGAGGTATTTAGAGACGGTCGTCAAGGCTTATCAATTAAAGTGTTAGCTAGCGCGTGGGAACTATATATGATCCCCACTGATAAGTCTCAATCACTGAGCGCCCTAAATCCTTGAGAGGCATCAGTTTGACGACTCACCTAAAATCCCAAGTTCTTTATTCATAAGACTCCTAAATGAACGACGGAATAGAGAACCCAAGAAAAAAAGACAGGTTTTAGACACAATCGTGGGTTTACTAGGTAGGCGGTGACTCGATATGTGCAACAAGTCTAAACCACTTCAGTCACTGAATGTTCACAACCTTATAAACCGCGTTTGCTCCCTTGTCTAGTACTTTCCGCCTAAATTCGATAACAACCACACGGCGATTCGACCTTACATGGACAATACTACCAAAGACACATGTGGTCAACAACCTGAAGTCTACCACATTTTAATGATATTTAGTGATTTTAATGATACTGAGCAGGCGATTTTGAGGCGATTTAAGAAGTGTATATCAACGTGAAACCTGGAAATATCGCATAGCGTTTCAACGTGCTACACCTCATGTTGGTACATGAGGACAGGAGGCACCATGGTGAAAAGTAGAGTAACAGGAAGAGGAAGTGTTGTCAAAAGTCATCGGACATCATAGGAGAAGAAAAAGCGAAGCAGGTAACTAAATATTTTCCCGATTGATAGGTGTTACCTTGAGGTAATGGTCGGGCTTGTGCGTCACAATGACCCAAGGAGCCGTGCTGGTAGAACGCTTGTTCCGTCGAGGTCCTACCATGCCAGGAAGATCCGTTGGATAGTGGTAAGACGAAAGCAGTTACCTTCTTAGTGTAAATTACTACACTATGATGCGGGTGAAAGGGCGAGTTCGTACTGCTGGCTGGCTGGTTGGGGTGTGATAGCAGTGAGGTGCTTCCTTTAGATAACCAGCAGTGCCACGCTAATGCTGTCTTTCCTGTGTGAAGGTGGTGCCTAGAAAATGTTAGCCCCCGAAATAGCACACCGAAGATCCTGTGGCATGCCGATATCGGCTACCTAGTTTCATAGTTGGATTCGAAAATAACAAAATAAGTCACTTGCGAAATGGTCGTATGTGACCGACGTCAAGCAGATGTCCATTGGTCTCTGTGGTCACGCGCTAACCTTTCTTTTGAAAGTACCTCAAGAAAAGCTAGCCTTCCACGGTGTAGGGAGCTTTGGAGTGTCAACCGCCTTTAAGCTTCCAGTAGTACACAAGACTAAATCAAACATAACCTATCCTCCTCAACTCTGTCTCCTCTGTTGCCTTCACCTCCTGATACTCTCGACAGTGAGGTGTTTTGACTGTCTTACTGAGAAGGTGGTACCGAGCAAGTATATAACGCTAGTCAAAGCTCTCCACTCGAACTCACGCAGCCATACTGGGGCTTATGGATAGTTGCCGTGTGAATTGACGACAACTAGTGGTGTTCACCAGTGATGGCCACTGTCACTGTTCTGATTTAACTTCGTCATAGACGTACTGACGGACATAACCTTAGGTACATCTGGCTTCACATGGACTGACCTACTGCCTGAAGGTTATCTGGAGTATGCAGACGATAATGTCCTCCTGGGTGTTAATGCTAACAAAATGCAGGGATTCGTGGATATGTTGAGCAGAAATATGAGTATGTTAGGCATGCGTTTCACTGACGCCTGTCAACTGTAAGATGGTGCTCCAAGACTGGTCTGCAACGAATCCCAATTTAGTGATAGGAAGTGAGGTGGTGGAATGTGTCAACCACTTCACTTACTAGAGGAGTGGCATCAGCTCGAACGGATTGGTTGATGACGAAATCTAAGCTCGGATAGAGAAGACTCGTTTGGCATTTGCCAACTTGCATCACCTGTAGCGCCGGCGAGGTATCCGACTACCTATCAAAGGACGAATATACTGCACAGCACTCCGTTCTGTCCTGTTATACGGACACCAAACATGACCGCTAAAATTAGAAAACATGGAGCGGTTACAGGGTTTTGATCATAGGTATCTTCATAGCATTGCTCGCCTGTGGTGAAATCACCGTGTGAGCAAGGTCGGAGTTAGGGAAAGCGTACTAGGCAAGACAGGTAAGTTGATTAGTGAGGTTTTGAACCTTCACCGAATGAGATGGCTTGAACATGTACTGCGAATGCCGAGTTACCGTCTACCTTGAAGTGCCAAACTAGGAGAAATGGGATTAGGTTGGAAGAGGGTTAAGGGTGGCCAGACCAAGACCTGGCATCAGTTGATCAAGTCTCTTACTGTTGTTCTGAGTCAGGTAGAGAGATGTAGACTGCCTGGTTTGGGTCCCCGAGACGAAAGGAATCAGTGATTGAGGATCCTTGGTAACATGACTGAAAATCGTCCACAATGACGCAGATGTATTCAGTCCTTGATATCTAAAGCTGGAATATTCTCACTAACCTTCATCTCCAGATTGCGTATTCTCTCACACAATTTTGTCTACTTTGAAATCTCTTTTTCTATCTACCTGTTCTGTGTGTACTATTTTGAATTGTGGCAACTTGAGCTGATGCACATGTGTGTGAGGTTCGACGTCACTTTTGTCAATGTGGCAGTGTAGTTGTCGCGAGATTTTGCCAGTATGTAAGCCTTTGAGAATCATGCAACTCTCGAAGTGGTCCTTACACAGTAAGAAGGCGCCACTATCTCACAGTCGACAGAGTCAAATGCCGCCTTCGTGTCAAGAGTTTTGTTATGTATTGTTCGATGGTTATTATGCCTGCATTCTATAACGCGACAAAGGATGAGGATATGATGAATGCACGCTCGTTTAGGTCTAAAAGCTGCCTGCTTTGATGTTCTCGAGCTTCACTCGGGCATCAGATAACTATAACTTCTAGGATCTTGCACAGAATGTTGGTTAAGTTGATGCTCTGGCACTATCTTTATCTCAATCTTTATAGTAAATGTAACTGTGGTTTCATTTATTCTTGTTTTCTTTTCACGAATTTCTACACTGACTACATTTTTGCTCACTGTCCATATTTTACCTTGGTTTATTGGTTTGAGGTTTGTTATGTAGTAATGCCAGGTCTGACACTGATCTTCAGTAACTGAGTGAGCTCTACAACACAAGCATACTAACTAGAACGTGACACTTGCAGCTTGACTATACAAACCAAACGTTTTGACAGCATGTGATGGCAAGTGGAGTTTGGGACATCCATACCATGATTTCTCTATTATCTTAGTTGTGTTTGAAGCAAAAAAATCTCGAACTTGAAGTTAGGATTATGGTTTTCAGTAAAAGTAAGTGGTATGAACATATCTTCTAAACCTAATAAACCAACTGTGAACATTATCAGGAGATTGTCGAAGCTTTGACCATCCGCAAATTTATCTTTGGGTTATCACATCACACTTACCATGGTAATTCAGCTTGAAAACCAACGTGCTGTCACCTTCAACTTATTTGAAACAATTAGTACTTTTTATGAATTTCGAGAAAACAAGAAAACATAACTGAAATTATTTTTATTGCACTGCTGTTTTTTTTGCTATATAGATCTTCGTTGTTACTTTGACCTTCATTATAGTCTTCCTATTTATCCTGTATTTATTCCACCACCCCTTAATCCTATAATTTTTGGTGCAAATGACAATGATAAGCGCGTGCAATTAAATTATTCGAAATGTGTTGCGCAAATACATTACATGACTATTATTCCTGCTTTGCTTTTAATCTAGTCATACTTTACATCCCATCTATGCCAAGATGTCTTTGTACACCTACTCGCAAGAGATATCTGATTTCTGAAGCAAGTGGACTGATCAGCGTGCGCTATCGCTTGACTATCTACGGTCAGAAAAGGAATCACATAGGCCAATTCTGAAGTAGCTGCTTGGATTCACTCTGAAAAGCTTAAAACAGGAGGCTAACACTTCCTAAAACAATGACAGATAGTAAGTTACATGTAGCAAATATGTTTCCACATAAGAGAAAAGGAAAAAGCGTTCATCACCAGACTGCTGGATCCACTTAGGTACAGTGAAAAACCTTGAAACCAATAACCCACACTAGTCGTAGGATTTACAACAGAATAGTGTACGAATCTTTGTTCAACAGTAAATATAAGAGCAAGTCACCTGATTTTTTCCACTGCATATGGAATAAAATCCAAGACAACTGCATTGATTTTGGACGTCTGGGAAGTGTCTCAGCCCCAACACAAATCATAAAATAATATAATCGAAACCTTAAGACGCCCATCTAACATCCACACAAGTTTCAGTCTCAACAGTCTATTCAAGACTATCCTGTCGAAACAATTGACTAATAAACTTAAGTATGCCAGTAAAAATATTTCCAGGGGTTTTGATTAGATTTCTGAGGTTGAATGTTACTCCTTTAACGTTGCACAACGCTTATGATAATCTCTGCATAGGCCTTCTAACCAAGAGTAATCCCAGAAAAATCTAATAATCAAAAAACAATCTGCACGCTGTTTGAAAAGGGAGTGACTTTTCACATTCAGCTAGATTCTTGTCAATTTTGTGTTTACACATCAAAGGCTGTTGTATTTTTGCTCTAATCGGAATACTGTTCAAGCAAAGTGAAACAGGAACTTTTACTGGGTGAATTTCTGTAGTTTCTGCTTCATGGTGAGCCGAATGTTTCGTAAAAATACTTGTGGTAGAGCCGAGTGCCATTTTACAGTGGCCTCTGGTATGCACTGTAGCGAATGTAAGAATTGGTTCCACGATAACTGCACAAGCCTCACACTCTCAGCATATAAGAGGTACAGCAACGCAGGAAGTGTCTAGCTTTAAACGTTGTGCTGCTCGGATGTTCGCATTATGGTAGAAGCAAAAACACTTCTAAATACGATGACTAAGAAACTGTCGTCGAAAGTCAAAGCCGATAACTGTGACTGATAACGACACACAATCCATTGACACACAGATCGCTGTGCAAAAATTTAAGAACGTCCCACGGCAATCTGCAAGTCAGGCGCGCATACTACCTACTAGGTTTGCTGACAGCGACTTTGAAAAAACTACACCAAGCAGGGTGAAGCAAGTATCTTGTGGATCTCGCATCCCTAGGGCTGGCAGACCCAGTCTGAAAACTGCTGACCGTAAGACTAGGTCTACTTCAGATGAAAGAAACAGGAGTGAGGCGCTCTCAGTTCTAACGACAGAAACATGCAGGCCACAGGTCATATCCAGTTCGGCGACCCAATCATTGAGGAAACTAACACAGAATGGGATGCAAGTCCGTTCTGAGGCTCTCAGTGTCAGGGTCACCAGACTAGGCTATGGTAAACCTTGCATACCCGACTCTGAAAAATGACAAGTAACTCAGCCTAAACGGCATGCTAAGAAGCCAATAACGGTAACCGAGCCAGCTATCATCACTTCACAAAGCAAAGACTAAGTAGAGACCCTTGACAGGTTCGTAATTTTCCACAGAGTGGAAGAAAGTAGAGACCCAAAAACACGTAAACGTTTCGAACATGACTTGGCAAGGTACAAAGTTCGATAAATCAGCTTTTACTAGGAAACAAGCCAGGAGTCACCCTACTCATGATATATAGAGTAGGAAAACAGGAAACAGTCATTACTAAAAATAAGTTTCGGCTACTTAAAGTCGTGTTCAAGTCAGCAGATGAGAGGAATCAGATTCTGAAGAATGCTCACAGACTTCAAGGATCTGGAATGTTCGTGCGAAAGGATCTGGCTCTTGCTGGTCGAATCAAAAAACGAGAAGCAAAAGCAGAACTAAAATCCAGATTAGCAGCTGGAGAGCAAGATCTGAAAGTAGTGGGTTTTCGTGTAGTGAGGTTTCGGCAACAAATGATGCCGAATCCTCTATGGATAGGACGGAAACTCATTTAAGTAGCTTCGCTGTCTTGTACACAAATGCACGTGGTCTTTTAAACAAGTGGACTGAGCTTAGTAGTGTGATAAGCAACGAAAGCCCTAACATCATTGCTATCTCAGAAACTTGGTTCTCTTCTTGGATCAGTGACTATGAAACACATGAGGATTCATCCCTTTTAGAAGTAACAGGTTAGCACGCAAAGGTGGTGGTGTCATCCTTTACGTTAAGAGTAACAACTGTAAAAGAGGAATAGTTAAACATGAAAGTGGGACATGTGAAATGCTGCGCTGCCGACAAAAATACAAGGGGAAAGATGTTAACGTGATCGTAATGTATCGAAGCCCCGAATGTGAGGCAGCAGACTTCCTCCTGAATAAGCCGACACTCTGGACAGATAAATGTCGATGTCTAGTTGTAGGAGACTTCAACGCACCATCAGTTGACTGGGATAGACTAACAACAAAAGCATCACATAATTCGTTTGTCCACCGGTCAGTGGAAGTATCAATTTCCTTAGCCCTCCTACAGCACATTAGGACACCAACCAAAGACGACCAACAGCATGCTCCATCAGTTCTGGACTTAGTATTCTCACATACAGGTAATGTGTGTTCCATCCGGCACCTAGCACCCTTTGGCAAAAGTGATCACGCTGTGATCATCTTCAGATTCACAGCAGACGTCTTGTACCAAGGCCGATACCCCAGCTAGACCCAACATATGGAAAACGAATTTGGAAGCTATTAACCTGACAGCCTCTTCGGAGGACTGCACAGTCATTCCAGAAACCTCAGTTGAAGATGCGTGATGCTCCTTCAAACAGTTATATGAACGAGTGACCCAACCGTTCATTCCGTGAACTGTCCCGAGGAGACAGAAACACTGTCTTCCGTGGATAAACCATGAAATCTGAATCTTGCTACGACGTAAGAAAGTGTCGGAGTCTACCTACCTACCTCAGTACACCCAAAGTGGTGAAGCATTATAAAGTAGCTCGTCATAAAAGTAACGATGCTATCCGCCGGTCTCGATTATGCTTTGGAACGCGTCTTGCCCAGGCTGCATTGCAACATCCAGAGGTTATTTCCCTATATGAACTATAGAAATAAGACGTGTTGTGGTATACCCGTCCTAATCAATGGGACAGAAAATGACTGTTTGATTGAGGACGAGAGGGAAAAAGCAGAAGCCATGGCTGGATATTTTGATGAGGTCTTCACATAGGAATCCTCTGTGAACACTTATCCAACAGTAGAAGTATTGATATCCAACAGAATGAACTCTGTGAATGTCGATCGTAATGATGTATTTCGGACATTAGGTACTCTCGATGTGGAAAAATTAACGGGACCAAATGAGATGCACCCAAGGCTGCTCAAAGAGATTGCACTCTATGTAGCCGGCCTATTGACCACTATATTCAGTCTCCCTCAGTGAAGGCATACTCCTCTCTGACTAGAAGGAGGCCATAGTAACACCTATCCACAAGGCAGGTTCTAGGCAGCTCCCATCAAACTACAGACCGATAAGTTTGACTAGTACTGTAGTGAAAATCCTAGAAAAAGTAATCAAGAAAGCCATCATAGTTCACCTAGAGAGCAACACTCTATTGTCTCGTTCACAGCACGGTTTTCGTAGAAATTTCTCTTGCTTGACGAATCTTCTTACAGCCATAGAAAGTTGGGTTGAGTCTAAAGATGATAGGATACCGGTAGATGTCATTTTCATTGACTTTAGTGAGGCGCTCGACAAAGTGCCTCATTCCAGGTTGCTCAGGAAACTGGGGAGTTTTGGAATCACTGGCGGTCTGCTCGTATGGATGAGAGACTTTCTTGTTGGTAGAAGACAAAGAGTTAGGACCAATTCTCACCCCTCCATTTGGAAGCCGGAAGAGAGTAGAGTGCCGCAAGGCAGTCCTGGGTCCCCTACTGTTCCTCCTTTACGTAAATGAGCTAGCAAACATCACGAAATCCCCTATGGTCCTCTACGCTTTTGATGTAAAAATCTGGTGGGAAATTATGAACGATGAGGATATGTGTGCTCCAGGTAGACCTGAACAGCTTGTTTGCCTGATCAGAGAAGTGGCTGGTGCCTATCAACGCAGGTAAAGGTGTGAGCATGCACTTGGGGCACACATACACATACACACAGCAACACCTACGATATTGATGGGACTCCTTTACCGTCAGTACTGACCCACAAGGACCCAGGAGTCACGGTCAGTTATGACTTGAAAACCACGGCTCACTGTCGATTGATAACAGCAAGGAGTTTTGGGACTCTCTGGGCATTGCGTAGAGCGTCTACGAAGATAAGTGGTGACATGTTCACCATCTTATACACATACCTAGTTAGGTCTAAATTAGAAAACTGTACACAGGCGGCAAACCCTTGTTTGAAAGGTGATGCAGAACTTCTAGAAAGAGTTCAGAGGGAAGCCACTCGTATGATCCCTGCGATGGCTGATCTTAACTACGAAGACCGACTTAAGGAGCTGAACCTCTTCACTTTGTCCTACCCCAGACAGAGGGGAGACCTAATCATGCTATACAGGATTCTAAGAAATGACTTCGGAGCTGATCTATCTTCTCTTTTCCTTCCCACCAGGTCGGGACACCTCAAAGAACACGGTAGGAGACTAAGAAAGCAAAAAATGAACATAGTCTCCACAGAGTTTAGATTCTCGAGTCGAGTAATCAACGCCTGGAACCGACTCCCAGAAGAAGTAGTGTCCGCATCATCAATCGACTCGTTCAAAAAGGGATCAGACAAGCACAGAAATCTACTGAAAAAGGATTAATATACGCTTCCAGCCTCCTATCCTCAAACAGAAAATATGAATCAATCTGAAAAGCGGATTGTACCTAGGTAGCTACATTCAAATGCCATATAATATCAGGTATATGACATATTGTAGTTGGTCCTAATTTAATATTTCTACGACAGTAAGCTAATGTAGCTCTACCTCCTATAATTCAAGAGTGATCAAGGATATTCGTATCACTCCAATTCTTTACGTCACACAACATGTCCTAAATTATATCTCGAGGTTTGATTGTATAAAGTGACTGAGCTATGTATTTTTACCGCTAAATAGCACGCTGAATGACACTGTATGAGACAGTATAGCCTATATTGATTAACTGCAATAAATCTCACAATCTAAAGACATCCCACATTCACGACGAAAATTACCTCGACCTTGAGACCTTAAAAATACAGATACCCCTCCAGATCACTAAAACAGGCAGGCAGCGTATAAAACGAAATAATCTGTCACATTACTTCCGATGAAAATTAGTCCAAGGTTCCCTGTTCCCTATGTGCTAAGATTCCTAGAACATAGGACTTATTGGAAATAATGCTATGAAGCTGCTAGTAATATTCTAACGACTAACTTCAGCCTTTGTACTAAAGCAGACTGCAACTTCAGACTTCATTTTATGGAAACACAAGATTAGTCGTTACTTATCACTTAAGTCCCTGAAACTTCCAAACCTACTCCGTATGGTGAGGTTATAATTCTTACCTCTGTACCCAGTGATCTTAAACGATAAAGATACTTGACGACCAAAATTGCCTACCAAGTCATTAAGAGAAGGCAAAGAAACTGAAAAACAAAACCTATTTTTGGAGGCGTAATCTTTTGACGATGCATAATCACAATGACACCTACATCTGAAGTAACAATCAATTACTCAGTATTATAGTAGCGTTGATTCATTAAAATGGCATTCAGCTTTGTGCCTACTGATGACAAGATACTATGCAGTGGTAAAAGGGACGGTGAAAGTGCTAATTAAATTGTCGAATTCGAAAAATACAAAACTTTCTTGGTTATAAAGCAGAATAGTTGGGAGTCCATCTCATAATTCTGAAGGTAAGAGAAAGGGAGTAGGTTCATGATACTGACGATAATAACGAGCTAATAAGTAATAACTAACTCGAACAGCAGAGTTTATTTGGGCTCATGGGATGACTTCACATTTAGGACATGGTTTGCGACCTTGTGAGTCTTGTGGAGCAGGTTTCAGGTCTTTGATGGATTCCAACCTAGCAGATACGTTAGCTAGGTTGTTGCAGCCCTAGTTAACCCAGTGGGTAATTATTACTGCTGCTATTATCATTGCTATTGTTTGTCCCTTGAGTTCTTAGTGGAAAATACGACTTCAGTAGCACGTATCCATTGCACCCTGTTCTCTGCAATCTTTTCAACCCGTCTCCACCACTGCCCATAATCTTACATTTCTTCTTCATACGACCTTCTGCATGTCACTCTCGAACGCCCAACTAGTTGTTTCCCCTTTGAATTCCACTCGAGTGCCTGACCTGGCGCATGATGTCCCCGAATGATTTTCTCGGTGTATGTCCAATCCAATCCACCTCCACTTTCTTTTGCATATTTGTTGGGAGACGGGTTCGTGGTTGGTTCGTTGCCAGCCAGCAAGCGTCGCTGGTTGCTTATTCTTTTTGACCATCCATCCGGTCTTTACTATGGAGCCAGCGTAGGCGGCAGCTATTGATGTGATGTATATCTGTAGTTTGTTGGAGATGCTTTTCGTGACGCGACAAGTCTCTCAACCAACACATGGAAGCACGGACTTGACGTGTTGTTGGTGTTGAAAATCCGGATCTAGTTCACGCTTTATGCTGAGTGCAGTAGATCTGCACACTGATTTCAGATTAACGAAAGCCTGTCTTGGTCTGTTTCCGATCCTGGCTGCTTTGACATCCTCATCCATGCCACCACCGCCACCTGTAGTTGAAACGATGCCGCTTTGCCTAGGTAGGTAGGTGAAAGAGACAACTTCCTCTAGGTTTCTCCGGTTGATAGTGATCGGTGCTTGTTGTTGTTGTTGGTTCAGTATCTTTATTCCCACTGTCTTTTCTACGTTCACTTGAAGTCCCATTTTCACTGCCCCTTTTGTCAACTTGTTGGTTATCGCCAGTAGATCTTCGAGTTTGTGCGACGTAAGACATGTCATCGGTGAACTCCAAATCTGGGCCCTTTTCATCGGTCAAACAGCGAATGCCCATCTTGCCGCTCATCACAGTCTGTTGCATGATCCAGTCCAGTCCACCACAGTGAGGAAGGTCATCGGTGATAGTAGACGTCAGCCTTGTCTTACTCCTGTCTTCACTTCACTTCGAAGACGTCATTGAGCTTCTTATTATGAATCACCTGGCATGTGGCGTCTTCATATAGTTGTTGAATGAAATTGATAAAGGCTTGTGGTACTACGTAGTGCTGAAGCAGCTGCCAAATTACTTCTCTAACAAAGCAGTCAAAGGCCATATCATAGTCGATGAAGTTGAGACAGAGAGTTGAGTGCCGCTCTACGCTCGGTTCTATGATGATTAATTGCATCGCATTGCAATTTGGTTCGCACATGATTTGTATTACCTGAAGCCGGTCAGTCAGCATGTTCCGGTCATAATTTTGAATCCAAAGCATTGTTTAGTCGCTCCAGGACGACGCGGCTTAATATTTCGCCTCAAGGAGAAAGGGATGGGACGTGAATCTGAACCAGCTGTTGGAAAGACATAGGTGTCCCTTCCCCAGGAGCTCGGCCAAATAGCCCCCCTCCAGTCGATGGGTAAGTGCCTTTCCTTCCTTCCAAACCTCCTGCAATAATAGTGTGAGCGCGTCCGCTGAAGTCTCTGTGTCTGTTTCCAGTGCATCTGGCGGGATTCCATCTGGTCCCGCTGCTTTCCCGGATTTCGGCAACTTTATGGTGTCTGCGAATTTACTTCAGCTCCTTTCGGAAGGCTTGTTTTCGCTGGCGGTCCTGTGGCTGAGCTGCTGGTGGTATTTCTGAACGAGTTGCAGGTGATGGCAGATTCAAGAGTTCTCCGAAGTGGTCAACCCATCGTTGCCTTTGTTCCTCCTCTTTGGTGTCAACTAAGCTTCCTTCGCCAGCTTTCATTGGTTTCGTCTGCGTTGACCTCTTCCCTACCAGATAGTAACCTGGTTATTTGTTGCAGTGTTGTCAGATCTACCTTACCAGCCTACAGCCTGTTCTCCTTCACTTGCCAGTGTGTCACAGAAGTGTCTTTTGTCTTTGCGTGCACTCTTCTTCACTTCTTTCTCCAGTGTACTGTTTCATACGCTGTACTCAGTTCCTCTTTTCGTTGTTCATCCATGCACCGCACTGGCTCACCTTCTGCCTCATCATCACCATCTTCCTCTCCCCGCTCTATCAGCTCCCATGTGTCCGTCTTGATCCATTCCTTGTTTCCTCTTCCTTCCCAATGTGGTTATGCAGGTTTCCTTCTACATCTCTTTCAAAAAGCTCCAGCGTTCCTCCACGCAGAGTTCCTCATGGATGTTGCTCTATGTCTCCCACTTCATCCTGATGACTGACGTGAAGATTTCCCCTCTAGTTTCAGGGTCGAACTTGAATTGTGGTCTGTAACCAGCTTCTTTGAAGGCCTCCAACTTAATTTTGCAAGTAGGTTCCTTGTACTGAGTGCTGCGAACCTACGTCTGCTCCTCTTTATCTGATCTTGTGTCCAGTAGGCTGCGTCTCCACTTTCTTCTCATTGAGGTGAAGTCGATCTGATTTTAGTGTGTCCATCTAGTAAAATCCATGTCGCTTTGTGAATATCCTTGTATTTGTACACACTGCCTCCAATCGCCAAATCATCAAGTGGGCAGAAGTCTGCAAACAGTTCTCTACTGTCATTCATCGTTTCACCGAGTGCTTCTCGACCCATGATGAGTTCCCTTCCTGTGTTGTCTGCTTACAGTTTGGCATTCATGTCACCCACCCTTTAGGATTTCGATGTCACCAACTGGGGTAGGATCTTTTCCACTACTGACTTCAGTCGTCTGCAGGATTCTTCCCCCTTCTCTTGATCCGCACTATTTATAGGTGCGTGGCTCAGCATTGCATGATTGTGACTTTCCTTGCTTTTGAGTTGAATCCATACTGCCGTCATGATCCTGCAGGAGGGGATTAGTTCCCACTATATGAGACCCTTCGACGCTCTTGGGGACATCAGTACAGTCAACCCAAAAACTGAGCGTGCTCGTAGTTGCCGTGTGGGTGACAATATCGGGGTAGATTGTTGACTCTCCAGTTGACAGTTTGGAGAGTCCAGTTCCATTCCATCCGCTTTCCGAGATTCCTAGTACTTCTCTACCATACCTTCTTTTGGGATCTGGGAAGCTTTGCCAGGTTCATACATGGTGTGGACATTCCGTGTCCTCGTGTTTACCTTTGGCTTCATCAGGAGAAGACACATCGGCCAGTCGGCTTCCCGAAGGCTTTCACCAACCGGCGTCATTTCGCCTTTCCGATTTCAGGGTGGAATAAGTTTATTTTATTTTTCACATTTTATTCGTGCTTCAAAGTTTGTTTATTAGTTGGATTGGTTTTGTTGGGCAGTGTTGCTAGCCTTCTGGCCAGCGTTCCCTCTTTACCCGGGCTTAGGGCGGGCTAGTAACTGGTGAACTACTTAACGTGGCGAGGTTGGTGGGTAATTGGCAACGTATTAAATTTGTGGTGAGATGTGTGACTTGTCTTCCGACTGGCCGCTATCTAGTGGTAGTGAACCTTTAAGTTCAAAATCGTCCTGGCAGCGGCAATCAGGCTACAGTAGTGTTTGATCCCGTAATCGGTGGGCAACAATCATGAAAGGGAACTTGTCACCATCTTTGCCACAGCAACGCAAAATACGTGGCAGCGGACCAAATACGCCTGTTGGTCTGTTGTAGTCTCTCATCGACTGGGGCCAGTGGGCAAGATCGTTAGGCAGACAATCTCTGAAAGTACCCCCTATGACATTCAAACATGGAAGTGGATGCAATATCAAGGTGCACGGGGACAGAGGATCGTTCGAAGCAAATGCCGTCCAGAAACTTTACCCAAATTCTGAGGTAATATCACGAAACAAGAGCAAGGGAGGGTCCGCCAGGTAGGGAGCATGCCCTACGAAGGGCTTGGGTGGACAGATCCTCTTTGAGTGGGAGATGACAAAGGTTTTGGGTGCCACCTGATAAACGCAACTCAACATTCCCTTGCCCAACCAAATTTACCAACTAGCTTATTAACCTTCAAAATTATCCAATATAGGAGAGCCCCATAGATTCCAGGTAACTCCAACTACGACTCTCAAAAGTTCGTCAGGGCTATTCATAAGAAACTCCCTGGCATGTGGCAACATTCACCTGTTTTCGTTGGGACCGGGCGAGCGATCTATTTCTCCACCCGAAAAACCTTTTCAACCTTCTTTGTACGAGAACCAACCTCCACTACGACGGAAGTGGTCCGTCCTCCCTCCTATCTTATAGGCTAGAAAACGGTGGGAATTCAGGGACAATGACTTAAGCCCTTTCACCGGTGTCGTCAAATGTATCGGAAGGCACGATGGGCGACCACCTAACAGAGTACTTGTCAAAAGGGGAGAACACAGTGATCCTCAGCATGGCGTTCATAAGGGGAGGTTTTGCACTTTTAGCCGTCTGGCAGCCGGTGAAAACTGGGTGACACGCTGGGGTGCCCTGGTTCCTACCCTTACGATTCTTCCGACCCTTCCTAAGCCTTCGGCAAAGTCCGTTCCCCCATTCTTATATGCAAAACACGATGTTAGGTGCTAGCGGTCAGACGCTTTCCTGGTTGCGGACACACTTGGGCTGGGGCAGATTTTGAGCAGAAGTCAATAGGGTTTTGATACTCGTAATATCCCTATGTCGTGTGGAGCCGAATCGCTCAACCTCTGTTGGCAGACTGGTTCCTACGCGGATGGAGACTGCATAAGAGCCTCGGTGGGAATAGTACCACCCGCTGGGGTGCAGGTACACCCAACTGACGAGTCCTAAATAGAGTGAAAAGCACGTTCCGGACTCCTCTGCTGGACACAGCCAAATAAATTATATTGCTGAAGGTTCAGGGAATATCGAGGCACACATGTGGCGGTCCAAATGCCAGCGGAGGTCGATCAGTTCGATTCAGCATAACAAGGCAGGATTACGAGCAAACTGATGGTCACCAAGATGAATATGAATCCATCAGTTTCTTTTTTTCGGACTAAACGCCGTCTAACTTGTCATGAGGAGATATCCTGAGTTCATTGGAATGTTCACTTCTGAGAATGACGTCTAAGCAACATTACTCCTGAAAAAGGGTGAAAAACCCACAGAGGAAGTCCTGAAAAGAGCACAAGAAGGGGTTGTAGGGGTTGTGCGCAGCCACAGGGGGATAAAATAAAGAGTCTAGGGTGATCGCCCTGCTAATCTTATACAAACAACAGGGTCTACGTTGACACTTCTCACAGTGAAATGATTTTTCAACTGTGTAGTCGTCGTTTCAACAAGGTTTCCGCTGGAAACCACCAGGAGAGATCATAGGGTGTGACCTACGGCACAGGCGCAGCATGAGCTGGCGATAGATACTTCTACTGAACGAGTGGAATGGCAGTCACCTTTACTCTCCTGGTCGCCATAGGTTGTGTAGTGACTTGATAACGGCTTACAAAATGCTTAACGATCCAGGCCACTCAAAAGGAGAAACGTCGCCCACCGGTCAAGTGGTGATCCACGTTGTAACTAAAGGGGAAATGCTCACTAACTGTAAAAAACCGCTTATTTTCGCACCTCTTCTCTTTTCGAGCCAGCAGCCACTGAAATGCATCGGCCACCATCTATCAACAGCTCAAAACAAGCTTTAACGCTGCGCAGTGACACATAGCTCTCATGCACGAATTAGATTGGAACAACACAATGACTCTACATCATTCGAGCACAGTTACCTACAACGCGATTCCCCCTCTTGGCCACTGTTATTATGAACTCCACTCGGATCTATGTTTCCCTATCAAACATTGTTTTCTTCCCTGTCTTCCCCAAACACTCCTGGGCTTCTCATTTCACTTCTGCTTTCCTCCTTCAGCTTTCTCTGTGATCCTGGTCATCTCCTCATCGCCCATGTCTTCATTTTGGACCGGCACAGCTGGCTGTCTAGCAACGTGAAATATAGGGACCCACCGCTACCCTTGTCACAGAACAAGAAATGCCTTGTTTTCCAACTTTAAACATGATCCGGTCACTCGTTGAGTTTACACGACCTTCAGTGGTCAGGTGGTTAGATATTCTAAGTAGGAATCCACTAAAGATCCAGAAATGCCAGCCGAAACCTAAAAGTGCGGGTAAATAAGCCGACTGATCTATACGAGCTGACAAAACATTTTTTAAATATCGGATCGTGGAAGTAGAATCAAGGTATGATACTATGTACCATACGTGCCGGCACGTAAACAAACCATAAATGGGCTACCAGTGCGGATAACCAGTTGAATAATTAAGGTGTTTTTTCAGTTTCAATCCCTGGGTATCGACTTGTAATCCCACGCAATAATCTTGCTCACCGTCACAATAAACTCTATAAAACTGAAACACAAAAAAGGGTCTTGATGGAACTGAAGTGGTTTTGGAAAGCGCGACTGGTGAGACTGTACGTACCAGGGGCGACGACATACCTCTGGCAACCCATTGCCACAAATTGAAAAACAACCCCGAATTATCTACAAGCATTAATCTTGGTTTTTAGCACACTTTTCCTGTATCGTGGGATGTCTCCAGGTAGTAAATATGACGGTTCAAACCCATGGTCAAGGTGGTGTCATACTTTTCAAATCAATTTACTGTGCACAAAATGAGCGAAAGCAAGGGGATGTGTATCGTTTTGATAAACTGCGCCTGGACTTTGCTGTGTTTTTCATTCCTTTTGCTTCCTAAAGTTTAAAGGTGGAATCAATAGCTGTTTAGATTTCTTGAGTCACTCTTGTTAGGTATTTGGTTTCTTATTCGAATTGTCCGGCAGGATAAGTCCATGGACGAGCTGAAATTTGGAATTGTGCAAGAAAGGCTTTGTTAACCCTGTGTAATGTCTTTCTCAATCTGCCTAAGGTCGCCTTGCAGTATCTTTTGCACCACCTCACTGAAAATAATTTCCGTCATTTAGTGGATTCTTTCGCGTATCAGCTTATGACTGACTAGTCAGCCAACCAATGATAACTGATTTCTATTCACAATTGATTTCCATCAGGCCGTTGTAGACTGATATCGTTGAGAGCTTGTTGAATGAAAGCCTTTTAAATTTTTACGCAACTCGCTTGTTGGTATGAACAAGTGTCATTCTTAAGTTCCCGGATTCATACAAAACCTTATCAGTCACTAAAACTGTTGTCACTTCTAAACGTTATCATGGTACCCAGCAATTAGATGTTTATTGGCAATCTGTGCATCTTCAAGGGCACTCTTGATGTCGAGGAAATTCAGCATAGCAAAGTCCCTCAGAGTGACTGGGCACTTATAGACTTCGGAAAGTCAATGAAGTTCGGTGATGTCAACTCCATCCATTTTAATGATAACTTCAGACTCGTGGACGGACCGGTTGGCCGTGAATGAAGACACCTCGTTTTCACAGAAGTGCAAGCGGTAAGACATTTCATCTAAAACTTGCATTTCTGGGGTCAGGTGAAAAAGAGATGTTGAATACGCTAACGATTCTCTTGACCTAGGTACGATAAATGCCTATTGCTTTCGTTTCAGCCGTACTACTTGCGAAATTCAGTCACCCAGGCATAAGGTAGAATGGGCTGCTGCAGTAAATCGATGACGCAAAGGGAACCCCCTTCCGTGGCCCTCGAGACAAGGTTTCAAAAAGTTCAAGGCAGAATCAATGAAAAGTAATGATCCCTGTGTTAATCTCTTTGCCCAATTTTTACAGTGCATTGACAGATCAGTAGTCGAACAAAAACTTTTTATTTCCAGAAAACTAACAGATTGCAAACAGAGGCCGATGAGATAAACAACTAAGGTTTCCTGACTGACAACCACTGGAATAAACAAAATTTATTTCTGTGGTATTTGAAGGCACCACTGGTGGTCATCCTTCTCTTTTTCGTCTTGCAGGATGGAATGTCGCTGGAATCTATGTGACATATCGGCTAACTCATGAAGAAAATTTGGATTGTTGCATGTTTCTGGAAAATGTACTTTCCTGATGACGTTTCTATAACCACTTGTTCATTTGAAATGTTTGGGTACCTTTAGAGCCTGCAAAATATCAAATTTATTTTGACTACCTGGTGAGTTGATGCTTTTGAGACCGTCTTGATTTTATCACCTTACTGTTCGAACTGGGACACGGAGCGAGGGCGAGAGGCGAAAGTAGGCGAATGATGGGAAATGAAGCGGATTTCAGAGGGAAAAGCGGACAAGCAAACAAACGGGTCAATGAGCAAAGTGACCTGAGGGGGGCGGCAGAAGTAGGCAAAGGGGAGAAAAAAGGCCTAAAAGGAGGATATCGGTCACAATTCTTCACGGGTGTTGCTTTATTTTTCTGCTGGGATTCCCCCCATTTCCCACTTTTTTCCTCTTTTTGGTCTGTGTGGGACCTTACGATGCCACTGGAGTGTCCCGTAGGCGAAGTTGAACAAGCGCCTTACCACAGTATGATACATACCCGTCATTTGAACGGATATTTATACATTGGTTTTCCAGTAGAGAACAGAATACACATCTAGGCTTTTTAAAACCATGACGGTATACAGTCTCATCCTATGGCGCAACCATACGGGTGCCTTCACCCCGGTGGATTCACACAAAACGAGTGTTTTTCGCATGTTTGTTTCTTGAAATGCATTTCTTCACGTTATGTTAGTGGGTTAATGTAAACTTATCTGCGTTATGTTGTTCTTGTTGTGTTAGAAGTCAATTAACCGTTAAAAAAGCCGTGATTCTGCCTGTGCCACCCCTGATTCCCGAACTACTTCAACTTTTATAGCCTTTATCTGGTTGTTTAGGTAGTTGGTGCAAATGTTGACACGTTCCATTGCTTTTATCATCTTTCAGCCGAAAGTCTGTTAAGAAGAGTGCCTTACCTACTCTTTTTCATAGCCCCATGGAGTCTTAGCAAGCCCCTACAAGCAGTGCTCGCCTGGCTGGTCCAATACGTACCGATATTTCTGCGGTTTTTGAGCAGGTTATGGGACCCAGATATTTTACTGTTTGCGGTCAAATTGAAAAGGCGACAAATACCTTTCACAAAGTATGATAAGAAGTCACTTAGCCCGATGTTTCGGTGACGAGTGCGCACTACATCGTCAAAGAGTGAAATCGTTATAAAAAAGTTGCCTATTTAAGGTATCACTATGTTGCATTGGCATGCACTTTCGGGAAAAGCAAGGAGATGCTGAACGGCAAACTAAGGGGTAATCTAAGAATTTGTTAAGAGTAGCGTTTTAGATTAGGGTATATTTGTCGTCAGTCTGGGATTCGAATACGTTTTGAGTTGCATGGTTTTATTTTTCCAAGTGTCAAGATAGTGCCATACCATCCATACGATACCAATTATCTAGTGAAGGGCCCTTGGTGTAGGCGCCTAACGGGGGACGAATTGAGGGTCGTCCAACCACTGCTGGATATGGGGTCTGAACCAGACCGCGTTCTGCAGTACGTGAAAGAAGTTATGTCGAAAGACGTAACTTATGACTACCCGAAGAATATCCGGAGGAAAATTATATCAAGCAATTTATTTCTTGAACAACTTTTATTCTGCAGGTTATGAATCTCAAGGAATAGTTTTTGATAAACTGAGAAGTGTTACGTGGTTGCATCAGCAGGTGGATCGAGTATGCTTTAGCGGCACCGATCAAACAGCCACCTACCTTCAATTTCTCGAGGTCGTATGCTTTGACTCAACCCATGATACAAACGAGAGGAGGTAAGTCCATTATTAACATGAAGCGTGGCTGTAAATTGTTTCACTTTGTTGCAACGGACAAATTCGGTAACAGTCACCCAGTTATGTTAGAGTGGACTAGGTGGGAACAAAGAGCAGATGTGACATGAATGTCAGACGCCCCTAGGCGGATAATGGGTCAGACGTCGTCTACATGAACGTTTGTCATTAACTGTGCAAGGGCGTGAAGACGGTTGTTGAGACTGTCTTCCCAAACACAAATGTAGTCCTGTGTGCATTCCAGGTGTGCAGAGCGATGTTCAAAAGGGTAAGCATTTCAGATAAGTGTTTATGTGCACTTAACTTGAGGACACGGAATCCAATACTCAAACAATATCCATGCAGATTACGTCGAGAGGAACCTACCAGCAGGCAAGACACAAACAGTGTGCTGACGTTTAACACAGGCTTTATGCATATAACCGCATCATCAATGCTATCAGTCAAGATGTGGCTAGGCATTTACGTCGCATATGGATGAATTGTGAGCGACCATGGTCCCCAGCATTTTACAATGACGTCTTAATGTTGGGTAATAATACTGATAATAGAGTTGAAATCCTCCATAAGCAGACCAACGGGAGACTAAGAAAGTGTGATAAACTGCTTGCATAGATTTGGAAGGCAAATCAGTGGGATAGTAGAAGAAGAGAAAGGAAGAAGTTGGAAGTGAAGTTGCTGGGTTCTGAAAAACAATGGTATGCTGGTCCTAAAAAGCTTCAACCAGTCCTTGACAGACTGAGTCCTTACGCGGCAATAAACTTTAAACGGCCAGCAGCAGTACACATCGAAAACAAGTTATGCGATTGGGTTTTCGTCGTAGATGGTTATAGGAATCTGGAAGTTGATATACACCAGCGGATGTGTTCCTGTAATTTTTACAAGACCTGTCTGCTCCCCTGCCTACGCATGCATATAGCTCTCTTGCAAATCCGAGAATTTACCGGTAAGCTGACACATTGTGGTTTACTAAATGCAGCCATCCGCATGTTGCAAGACTGTCAACACTGGGTTTGGAGTGAACCGCGTATTACCGTTCCTACCGCAGAGATCGAAAGCGTTTCGCCGGAGGTTGCTGACTACCGCCTTACGAAGCGCAGACTTAAAGGCGAATGTCTCATTTCAGGAGTGAATATAGTTATGTACAATCCACAAACTAAATGAAGCACTGCGTCAGTTTAGCAGATGAGGGAGTGAACGCGGCCGGCAGACAACTGCTCGACGACAAACCATAGGCCGCTCACCTGTTCCGGTCCTTAATATCCGCCTTCCCTTCAGTCGCGAGGTTTGCGCCCATACAGACAAGTAAATCCACTTTAATTCCACCTATTTCTTACACTATGGTCCCAATATGGATTGCACATGTAAACTTTGCTGTATAAGCAATAAATGGTAAAAAATTAAAGCGATGTAAGTCTGTGTTCCTTTTTGAAATTAGATTTCAAGAATACTTTTCACGCACCATCTAACATGTTCACTTATTTTTTTCACACAGGTAAACGAAGTTGAGCCTGCCTACTGGATTGTCCATTTGTGCATAACTGTTTGCGCAGACATACATGTATTATCATGTAACTTATTATACTATTCTTCCTCATAATAATACAAGCTTTGTTTCTTAATGATTTCTCCTTGGGTATACCCATGGGTTGCTACGGACACATGTACAGTGTTTCGCGTGATTGTGAAAACTATCGTATCAGTGCGTAGACCGGCTATCATTCAGGTACGAATAATAGGAAAACTCCCGGTGACTCCATACCTTCATGTTGTGGAATTATTATCAGTAATCCCACTTTTCGCAGGGGAGAAATCTACGAGTTCACACGTTTTCAACATTATTGGTGACATCCAGACTATCATAACAAGTAGCTCGTTCACACGCGTCCGCACAGGAGTTCACCTAACAAGGAGTTCAACACCACTAACTCCCCACAATTCTACCATTAGTCATGAGCATTAACAGAAGGAAACGCATATTGCTTCATGTGAAAATATGTGTTTCAGTAAAAAGTATTCAACACATTTGGAGTATCGTCCGAGTAAATGTTTATCAGTCATTCCTTCAACATTCTTATCTCGCCCCTCCTGCAACACAGAATGAAGAGAAAATTTATAAAGTTGGTTGTATACGCTTGCATGCAGTCAGTAGGAAAAACGATAAGCGCGGATCACATATGTACAAAGTTCATTGGGAAAAGTTTGATTAACCGTTGACCTCTCGGTATTTAGGAAACATACACCTAACGTCCCAGATGCAATTAGTGCACCATATTACGCAAATCCAGTGCATCAGTTAGCATTTCTTTAAAAATACGATGACAGCGAAGCAAACTGTTTCTGAAATTGCCCCCTTGAATAATATAACTAGTCATGTCTTTTGGAATAAGCAAAGCGGGACGTAATACAACTTCATGTACTGAATTATCTCTATTGTTTTCCCGTGTGATTCCAGATGACAACGGGTACCTTTATTCCAAATGCTCGACGTCCGGATCAATTCTTAGCTCCTCCTCACCAACAGGTAAATGAGAGGCCAATAGAAGATCCATTGCATCCCTCCGCAATGCCTTACTGAATAGCATACATACGATAATTCTATCAGGGAGCACAAATGCTCTGATGCATGCAAAATCTCATTTCCCACGTGAATGAAAATGCAGACAGTGGATGATTGCAGGCTGTCTACCATAAGTTTACATGATCAACAATGAGACCACCCATGACAAAGGGGTAAATATGAGATACATATGTATATATTAGTACACTTAACACTGGTGATAAATTAACACCTTCCTTCAGCCTTCCAACCACATTTTTACTGCATGAAATGCACATCAGTTGTTAACAACGAAATATTTTACAGAATGCACCTTATTAATTCTCAATTCATATTATGAACACTTAACTTACCTAAACTGAGTGACGATGCCACAAAAAGCTGCAACAAGTCAGCTTACATACAGTAGGCTGGTACTGACGTGCCCAATATGACGCAGTCAGACAACTTGACATGTTGCATAGTAAACCCAGTAACTAGGTGAAGAAAACCACGCCAAACGAAGACACCAAGTGAAATTGCCTCAAAACAATCTCATTCCAAAGACAATTTGAACGGAATATTGACCAGTAATGTCGGCTACACAACACTAAGTTGATATGACAACATGCTGTTGACCAGCATTCTTCGATGCCTCTGTGTTTAATACTCTCGTAACATTTGGGAACAATATATTACAAACTAATTCCGGTGAAAGCAAAAAAACGAAGATGCAGTTAGCCCCCTAGACTTAGAAAGGAGAGCGAATAAATCGAGTAGTTGAAGAAAGCTCGTTGAAAGATATCGGAGTGGACATTGAATTTTGAGCGCAAGTGTGAAGACGAATACAAAACCAATGATGAGTTTACGAGACCTTAAATGATTGGCAGGACAGCCAATGAAGAAAAGGTTTCACATTCCTCTTCCAATTACTTCATTGTGTTTAGGAGGTTACTGTGTTAAAAATTACCACCTACCACAACATTATCTGCATAAGATAGTCATAACGTGGCTTGGTTATGAGAATTTAGGATTTGTCCTGGTGCGAACTTGACAGACGCAAAGACCAATCACTAATTATTCGAACTTGTTATATACCCACGAATACGAGACCAAGGTAGAACACGATAGCGTAGTCGGATGGAATAGTATATTTGGATGGTTATGCCAAAATACCGATGCGTTCCAACTAACTGGCTAGAGAGTCGAATACGAGCAATGCAACGTAACACGACAGCGTGCCAAATGGCGAGGATGCTTGACCGGGTGCCTTCAGCTTAGCGAGTCCAGTTAAACTATCAAGGTCAGCATCGATGTCGAAAGTCGTCAAACCCTAGGCTATTGATTTTGGGGAAGTGTATGACGCTACAAGAATATACACTCATAAATGAGATATGTGCAACTGTTGCATTTGGAGTTGAAGAATAATGAAATGCAACTCACAGTTTAAATCGTAGATTACATTTTATTCGTGCTGAAGCCTAAGGGACGAAATTTTGAGATACCCTCTGATGTGGTCAGCTTTTCGGGGAAAAGATTCGGGAGTACTTTGGAACTTTCGGAATTTTTGGGCAAAACTTTGGCGCAGTTTGAAAAATTTGAAGTTTTTGGGAAAACCTTTTGACAACTTTTGGCGTGATGATGTATTGTTGGCAGTAATCTCAAAGTTTTTAGTCCGGTTTTCTACCCAAAAATTTCAAAGTGCGCCCAAAGTATTTGCCGGCTGGGAAATGTTCCGCGTTTTTCCCAACTTCTAATGAGTTTCTTTCCAATATCTCATGTTTTCCTAACGAGCTTGTGTAAACCAGTTACTTCCTCCTTGCTTGCTTCTGGGTCTTGTGGAAAAGTCTTAGGCGAGTGTCGGATTCAAATCCAGTAGATCCAGCCACTCGTCTGATATAGCTCAGGTATACTGAACAGGCGGTTGGGTGTTGGTAAGTTTGCTTGGGACTGCGGTACAGTTGGGTTTCCCAAATTTTGAGTTGCAAGATAGTTCTTCTGGCTAATTGTAAAATATGGTTATGGATAGTGAAGAGATAACTTAAGGAGTCAAATATGTAGGAGAAAAAGGCAAAGAAAATTCCAGTGAAGGAGTAATCTGCTTACAACTAGGTAAGACGAGAAGGGTGAAAATATATACGAAACTAAGGTAGATGAGGTTAGACCATTTTGAATAAGAGGAATGGAAAGGACTCAAAGGATTGGAGTAGGAAGGGAATCGGTGTAGATGTAACAGTGTTGGAATGGTGTGACGGCAGTTTATTTACTTGGTCAAGTTCGTATTCTAACTAGATGAGAGTAAATCGTGGGTCGCTGCGTAACCATCTAGGCTTTTCTTAAAACTATCGACAGTTGGGGAGGAGACCGCCTTCGCTGGTAATGCATTCCATTGCCCGCAGATGTGAATGGAGAAGCGTGAACGCATATAACCTTTGGTTGGCGGTTCTCTCCTGGTTTCCGTGAGGATCACCGTAGTGGCCACTCGGTAGTATTACTCTGTTCTGGAGTTTTGGATTATTTGGTATTTTTTAAGTCATTATCAAATCACCTCGTAACTTTCAGCAAATAAGAGGCTATTGGCCTAGGTTTTTTAGTCTATCACCGTGTTGTTTTTGGTGCATCCCTATAACACCTTTCGTGGTCCGCTGTTAACCTTCCTTTGGGAGGTTCGTGCCTCTTTTCAGGTGTGGTGAGGAAAAGATGTAATAACCCCCTAAGTGGGGTTGTAGTTTAGCTTCATAGAGTCTCAAGACTGATTATCAACTGTGAAAATCATTGTTATGTATTCCTATCTTCTCAGCCGAATATCTTGTCTGAAACAGCCAAATTTATTTACTGATGCATCGTATGAACATAAGATCCAATGACTTCGAGAATACAAAGAAGACAGAATATTTGGGTCTTATACTTATGTTCCTACGATGCTCAGTGCACTAAGTTTCTGTGCCCCTATTTTGCCCAAGGTACAGTATATTAGATTGCTGAAGATCTGCATACCTACCAAGCGTCATCATATACTGACAGTATCCATCTACTTTTACCTGAGTGAAAACCTACCATTAAAATTAGTGTCAGGCAGTTCAAGTTGACAAGAAGGCGGACTGAAAGAACAGGAGTAGAACATTAGTGAATATATGAGACCAAAATTAGATATAAATATTCGCAGTAACTTCCCATTAAGACATTTAGGTTGGCAAGTAAGCAACCCGAAACATCGTTACGGAAACGTATCTAAAGAAAATCTAAAGCTAGAGAGCCAAAATACAATCAGTTAAAAATAAGTACACGAACTATGGTGACGTTTTTGCAAATTTAAGTCTTATCGATAACTACTGTGACTCATGCGGGTGTCAAATATCCGTTGAGCAACTGATAGAAACTATGTTGTGCATACAGGCCTCATAAAGTAGTATTCAACGCAGATCTGTGGTAAGACTAGTTTGAAACTAGATTCTTAAATCTTTTGACCATGACGATTATCCGTAACTTAAATTTCCCAATACTTGAAGGATAATTCACGTTTTTACCCAAGTACTTTAAAATTTAAAAAAATATGCAGCATTTTTCTTATAAACATTAAGAAGGCAATAAGAAGTTTCTGAGCTTTTAACAGCGAATTACTGACCATGGTGCAGCCTGTTCATTGAATAAAACCAAATTTACTGTTTCGAACATGGTTTTTCAGATAAATAAGAAAGCGGGCTTGTACCAGAAATCACCGTCATTAGAATTTTGTTGAACCACACTTCAAAAAAGGCAATATGCCATAAATATATGTTTATGGATACTTGATTCGAAATATTTAGGTAAAGTAGATGGCTTTGATAGTCCCGAATACATACCAGCTTATGATTACTAACCAATCTACAACACAGTCACCCAAGTAATGTACATCAGTTTGAATAATATTGATAAACTAATAGTAGCTGAATAATAGGTCAACTTCCTTATACACAGTCCAGTAGATATAGCTTTTACTAGCATATTTGAGAACTTTTTAAAAGTGATACAGTGATATTTTACTTAACTATTTTTATATATTGTGTTTACAGTCAAGTTGTTCAAGTGGAATAGAATGTAATTCAGAAACAGAATTTGAGAAAGTAAGTGAACATCAAGAACTCAAGTTGGTAAAAACTATTCATCAGGTAAGTCTATCCATAAGTGGTGTTTACATTGACAATGATTCTTACTGTCAATAGGGACTCCAATCTTTGGTTCAAGTAACTATGAAAAATTCTGACAGAAAGTTATATGTAAGTTGTCTACTTAATTTTTGACTGTTATTTTGGTCTGTTAAGCCTATGCAAGACTATTTCAAACTCATAGCTGAAAATCAATTCTTCTCCTTTAGTATATATACTTTAGAACAACCAACATTTGAATATGCCACTAGTTTGTATAAACGCATCATCAACTTCCACTTACATATGCGAAAATAGTGTTGTGCCCACACTGATACAAAGCACTAGGTCCTGGTGAATATTTTTTTGCTTCCAATCAGCAACATACTGGGTAGACTTTCAGTTTGAATATGAGAACAGTACATATCCTACTAGGATTTGTCAGTTTCATCATGACTCATAAAAATAAAAACTAGTTTCCTCAGGATAACTATACTGAACTAGCCTGCTGATCATAATTTATGAAATACAAGCCAAAATATTCATTTCAACTACAGAAAATTAGAACGAGTCATAGTTTTAAGTGAATCCAAAGATTTCCCTGCGTTGTCTTCACATTTTTATCAGATTGTAGAAGAAACATACATGCATATCATTTATACGATTCCGATTGTGTGTAGTTTGATAGGAATTAGTCGAAATTTCTGTTTCCAGTTAAACATTACTTTTAAGGAAACTTTTATCACATTAACCGGTTGGGGGGGGGGGACGGAATGAAATCACTATCATGCTTTTTATTCCTGAATGTATATCATTTATAATTTTTTCAACATGATCATTATTGTGACTTGATATTTGATTTCATCCTATTAAGTGTTATGTATTTGAAGGCTTTCGATGTGGAAAGCCTTGGTGTTCAGGTTTTCAACGATCTAACACGCGTAAAGCATTTTGATCTTCTTAAACACTTACAACAAGCTAAAATTCAATTAAATTCCTAATCCACTCCTATGTTGCATAGGAAACCTGGATGAATACATATTGATGTCACTGTTTGTCAAGATCAACAGTTCAATAAACAGACTATTTACACAGGAAAAAAGTATTGATGTAGTGAAATCAGTAACAGTGGGATTTACCTATTCAGTATTTATTTGACCTGTAGCTTCTCCTATGATCTCGATTTACATCACTAATTCAGAAATCATCAGACTATGTATCCAACAGTCGTTTCTTACAAACTATTTGTAGAATCCGCTATCGTTTACATTATTTATGCCTAACTTTATTCCGGTCAGCAGGTTGTCAAATGGGTTCCAATACCACAGAATAATGCAGATTTGGAAGCTTTAAACAGAACAAGCTACGTCAGACGTATGTCAGAACTAATTAAATGTAGAAAATATCTTTAGGATATCCTTCTATACCGTCTAGAGAAATTTATATTTTTCAAAGGGTTCAGCATAAGAATGTTGTGAAGTTTATCAAACTGATTCAAAATCCCCATTTCAATGCTTATGGGATAGGTAAGACAATGAAATGTACTAGTAAGAATTTATTATGAACTACTTTTGGTTGCGTGATAATGTCAAATTAAAAAATAAAGAGATACAACTTAACTGCCTTTACTATATTACCAAGACTCTTCAATGGAATAGATTGACTAGCTCAGGTGAGGTTACCAGGTTTGTATAAACATCGTTAAGCTTTATTCCAGAACCAAAGTTTCTGATTTCAGTAAATTAGTTATGTAGAAAAATATGACCATTCTGAATTAAAATGTGAATTGTAGATGCTTATCTATGATGAATCATGGGACAGAACAGAATTCCGCCTAACTGTTCGTTGGCTTTAAACAGCCCTTCAACTGACTGAAAATACTGATGCAAACTATCGCAAAATCTTAAAAGTAATAGTCTGAAGTAAAATGTCGAAAATAAATACAGAATAGAAATCTTAGAAAGATAATCTATTGTTCACAGTCATGTTATGAACCATTAACTGAATTAAAGATGTTTCCAGTGTACATCAGAAGCATTAATGGACGTTTTTTACGAGAAAATGGGAGTTGGTAACCGTTGAATAGACATCTCTCCAGTTTCTCACATTAAAAATATCTATTTTAAGTGGGTGTAGAATAACAGGATTTATTATCCTTTTTGAGAAAAGTAGTATGCTGAACTCAGTGTTTTCTTAATAAAGTACAGAAACTGTGTAACAATAATTCAATGAACCAGACGATAGTTCAGAAGGATTAACTGCCCCTTTATAACAGTGCTAATGGATTTCGATGGAAATTAAAAAAATCTGTTCTTGTATGATAGCAGGTTTCCGTTTATCGTTTTAGGGGATAGAATTGACCAGTTACTGTTTGTATACGTACAGGTACATCCAGCTGACAAGTCGCAAATTGGAAGAAGCACGCATCTTGAAACCCAGTTTTAGCCTCCACTATTCAAACAACACGAATATAAGAGTAAGATTTGAGCAACTTTTCAAATAACACGAAACTTATGATCATGCCAGAGAACACACTTATGAAATTGTAAACAATGATAATGCTGACAGAAATAAGATACTCATTTAGTGTTAGATGATGGGATTCAGTCAGCAAGAAGCCATCAACCTTATTCCCCAAAAGAAGGCAGTTAATAAATATATAGGTGACTACTAATATATAACGCAAATGATTTAGTGACGCAACGACAAAACTGGTCACACTAACTGCTAATATACTGGTTGGGCAGTGTTGTGCTAAATATATTGGAACAAGTGTAATATCCTATGAGAAGGCTAATTACGCACTTGTCAGATGCACTGAATAGCTTATAAATAAACAGCATAAAACTTTTCTATCTATTCTGATACTATTTAGGAGAAATCCTATAATGAAATAGATTGCCGTACAAGGTGATGTTATAAATGTTTGGTTTAGTAATCAAATAACTTTTTTTAAGTCCCAGATATTACGTATAGTTGGTGATTTGAACAGGAAAGATATGAACAGAAAAAAGCAATAGCAATCGTTTATTTGCTTAAAAATCACTCCTATGATTTTAGAAAAAAGGTATAGATGCTGCAAATGTATAAATAAGTCGATCACTCAAGGATTATCGCCAATATATTCAAGTAGTGAAGAATATATTTTCGCAACTGAAATCCATTATGACTTTACATGCTCTGTTGAATGATTCAAATGATAACTGATATGGAGACTTCAACTAGAATTTCAATGCATTCCAATCTTACAACTATGCCATGTTTTGTCACATAATAACTCATACATTTTTACCTGAAATGGAATGTTTCACTCTATGGTTTAGTGCAAAGCTAAGAGCTATTTTACTGAACTACAAAAAAAATCAGTATTTACACTATTTTATGAATCATCTTCCTGATGAAATAGTAGCTAGCAGATGCCACTATGCACTTAGATTTATCTCGGAAAAAGCAAGGGAAAGACACTGTAATGACCATAGCATGACCGTCTCTACAAGAGCGCTTGCTTCGGCAGATACATATGATTACGAGGAAACTAGGTAGCTTGCCCAACATTTCGAGTACAGTGGTTGATTAACTGGACGGTAAATAAATCAATAAAAAAAACTCGTAATCCCTTACTGTAAAACTGTTCAACTAGTGCATTCTTGAGTTTATAAGTTCATAGTTATGAAGAATACTAGTGAAAGTAGCTCTCTTTTGTCTCGTCTAATCGAAAATAGTCATGTAACAGTAAAAAAAACAAGCAATCAAAATAGTATACAGTGTTCACTGGAACCCGTTTTTTAAATGCGTTTCCAACTCATCTTTCAAAACAATGAAACTGTGGAAGTAGAAACAAAAACCCTAGCTCTTTTGTTGACAAACTGCATATACGCTCTCACTCCTCACTTAAAGTTTCCCTACCCTTTTCCTTTGCTTATTGTATTTACATGTAGACTTTTTTCCATCCACTTACTTCCTCCTTTTGAATACTGAGTGACCTTAGTGCTATTACCATTACCAGATCGCCGTTATTATTCTTCATTTTGTATGCGTTATCACTGTCGTTTACTTCATAACTGTTACATCTCTGGGTTGACGGTTTGGCCGATTGTTCCAGTCGTAACTTTGGTTTGCATTTCATGTTAGGTCTTATGATTAATAGCTTGCGGAAAATGCCCAACGCTGGTCCTAACCACTATCATTCCCCAAACTACTACTTGCTAGTTGACTCAACAACCACTAACTGCAGACCGCCTGACTCAGAAAGAAGACGACGTCAGACTGCTAGACCACACAAAGCGCAATTATTTGTATTCAACAAAATAAATAGGAAGTGTACACGGCCTTAAAGCGTAGGCGGCCTAAGCAGAAGAGTGACTTTATAGGTCATCATAACAACTGCTGAAATAGTCACGTTCCTCTATTTTGACTGCAAAGGCAGATTTTCATAAGACAGAGAAGTCTAATCGGTTGTTTCAGTTGTTCTTGTTGTTGTATGGTGGCCTTTAAAGTCACTCAATCAGAATGCCTAAGAATGAGAACGAAGATAGACACATGAAAGACACAACGGATTGGTCGTAGTTCTCATTTTCTTTGGCTACGAATACAACAATAATCGATGTGAATTTTATCATTGAGGGACAAACAGGAGTGACTTTAGAGGCCATCCTAACAACTGCTGAAATGGCCAATCAGGCTCCGGTATTTCACGTAGGAAAGTAATTTTCCATAAAATAAATGAATTTAATTGGCTGCCTCATCAATTGCTAGGGTGGCCTTCGGAGTCACTTGACAGACAGCCACAAGCGCTTTAGTCTGTATGTAATGCTTAAAAGGAGCGGCTTTAAAGACCACCTTAACAACTTTCAAAATAACCAGTCAGGGCGTGGTTTTTTGGATGGGAAGACAATTTTACACAGAATAGCGAAATGTGATTGGCTGTTTCATCAGTTGCTAGGGTAACCTTTAAAGACCAACTAATATTCGGACACATCAACCTCTAAGCGGTTGGAAAGTTTATGCAAATGATATTCACTCTTGACCTACCTAAATGAAATGATTTTTAATACATATATCACTGTTCTCTTAAACATTATCAATTAAGTGTAACAGCAGAATAATGCTTTATTCACTTTCCTTTCCAAGTTTTAGAATACTTAAGCATGGGGTAATTTCATCATATGGCATTATATTTCAGTTCACTAAATAACATACCCGATGAAAAAGTGCTAACAGACAGACAAATTAGTGAATACTTTCAAGACATACTGGATGGACTGCAGTACTGTATGTCTTTGTTGCTATTTTCACAGTAATAATCCTTTTTTTTTCAATTGCAGTACATTCAGAAAAGATCATACACAGAGATGTGAATCCTAGTAATATACTGATCACTAATGATGATCATCTCAAAGTTAGAATTTTTACTTTCATTTATTACTATTTTGTTCGGTTGACTATAATACTATTTATCAGTAGACAGCGAACAACTACTTCCGGCACTAAGTAGTTAGAAGGTAACATCGATATTTTAGTTGAATTTATAAGTATAAAAATGCAAAGATGGAAGTTCACCTTACCAACTGCCCTTAAGAGAAAATTAAAATTAATGAGGATATTGACTGAAAGCAAAAGAAAGAATGAAACCAAAACTGAAAATATAAGTTTATCTAGATGATTGGTTCATTTTCGGCTAGGTGGACGGTTGAACTGGGTTACTAGTAGAGTTTCAGTTTCATATCCCTCACTTTTTATCATACTTATCTGTAACTTGAGTGAACAGAATAAATTTATGCATAGAATCAATGACAAAACTCAATTTCTCTCCTAAATATAATAGCAAGATAACACCAAACTATAGAACAAATAGCTTATCGTGAATGAACTGCCTTGAACAATCTTTATACACAGATTACACTGTTGTCATCTCGCTATAAATTATTGAATTAAATGAAATAAGAACAGCGATTTTCAACACTGACTTCATTGATGTAATCTAGAAGTAAATGCTAAAGTTTGTCTTCTTTCCAGTAACTTTTCACACCCTATGATTGACTGACGAAGTTTGTGAGTTGCATAAGAGGATGATATGGTATCAAGATCAAATTGTCAAGTACAATAATCCTTTTCTATAACTGTTCCAATCCTGTGCTCATCATACATTTAATTTATTACATCAAATATGTTTTTTGATTTCTCCTGTTGCATAAGTACTGCCATTTATTATATAATAATGATGTATAGTGGCTTACAAGGGAATCGAAGACGCACGTTTCGTCTTATTTGGGATGTTGTTCCCATTAAGACTCAAACCCGGGACTGATCACTTCAAACGGCGGAGCGTCTAATCAACGACGGGACAATACAAGCAACAACATATTATTTACTTATTATTCCTTCTACTATATGAAGTGAGAAACGTTATTAAACTTCACTGCTAGTTGAAACTGAGATAGAATATGCTAAAAACTATTAGTTATTCTACGACACAACTTTCCAAATCATATCATTTCCCCAAATATTTGTTGATATTTAGTTCCTTTTTATAAAGTGTAACTGGGAGTACGTAAAAGGGTGAAAATAATTATGATCAATATTGCTTTTGTTCGATAAATATGAAACTCTTTCTTGGATATTTATAAACTACACAAAATCTTTGCTGATATCTCTAAATCCAGCCTTCCTTTTGGCTAATAAAGTGCCACCTATAAGCACACTTTAGACGTAATCAAATGATTGTTGAACGCAGACCGATTCATAAAATAAATGAAAACACCTCTTATATAGACATTACACTACGTTCCTCAGTTGCTTTTGGTCCTCCTGTTTAGTCTAGTCGAAATTACACTCTTGAACCATTCCATTAAAAACACTGTGAACTCATATAAAGTAAATGCCCTTTTATTAAATTTAGTTGTAGATTATTTGTCTAAATCTGGTAGACTATCTTCGATACCATTTTACTTCGGATAAATACACTTCCTTAAATGAACATGCTTTGTAATTTTGAGGTTTAAGATATTGGAAGATAAACCTGATATTATGTTGTAATTCTTCTGCATTACTATTGTGCATTAAATATTTTAATTTAGCTCAGGACTACATACAAACATTTTAATTTTGACAGTCTTTAAAACATCTAGTATATCTTCAAGGTACTATATGAGTGACTCATGAGTAATGGTTATAAGGCAAAAAAATCGAAATTTGAATATGGCGTCAACTCAGTAGTTTCTCAACTATTTACACCTGTAGTATGAGGATATATAAGTTTACTGGTATAAATTAGTTAATTAAGTTATGCCAAACGATTCAGCATTTGTCATTGATTCCAGTTCATTTGACCTTCACTGTTTTCGAAATAATTAGCAAGCCTTTATTGTCTATCTGTTCATGTTCCATTATAATATGTAATCCGCTTGTTCTACTTTACAAGGAAACTATCCTCTTATCTTGTTAACTGGAAGGACTTGACCAGTTTGATAGGAATAACCCAATCCCCAGACACTCTCTAGTGGTTCCGTTACTCCACTCAATAACTTTATTTCCATCCTTAAAATCCTCTGGCACAAGACCGTCGGTAACTGCTACTCTGCACTGTTTCAGGTTTGAGACAACCTTCTCAACTTCTAGGAGAGTTGGTGAAAGAATATCAATGTTTAATTTAGGTTCGGGCTGGGTGTCGGACAACGGAAGCGTGACTGTAGGTCGGTTGAAATGCGCTTCAAAGTTTCCCATCTAACATTGCAGTCACTTGTATTTAGAGGTTATGATCAGGAACCCATCCTTTTTGGTGATAGTTTTGCTGACCGCTGTCCTTTCCTTACTAGTTTCTGTATTTAGCCTGAATAACTCCTATCACCTAGTACCAATGCTTTCCCCATCTCTTTCGGTTTCGTCTCGCACCACTGCTCATGATCATTCATAATCACTACATTTAACTGCTTTTGGTCCTTATAGAGATCAGAATCAGTTTCAATGAGTTCTATAGCCTCACCCAGTTCACGTAAGGTTGAAGAAACCCACTATCGCCTTCCAACCCATAGGTGTGAGTTACTGGATCTTTTCCCCGCTGTTTCTACAGCAGATTGAATTTTATGATAGGCTCCATCCAATAGGGAATTACTGACGATCTGAGATAATTACCTGAATAACTTCTCTTTAAATGAACACCAATATTCTCAAATTTTGATCAAGTAAACAGAGGCTTTATTGTGCTTCCTGAATCCTTTGAAGTACAAACGTATGGAGAGAGTTCAAACAAGAACTTCAAAACGAAGGGAAATCATCAGAAGATCCTGTCCGAAAATGGATTATAGCGACGTGATCCATCTGTGTCCACAACTATTTCTAATGATATAAATCTGTATTTCTATGGACGATTACACTTGATGTGTGGGAAATGCTTGAACTTAATTACTCACTTGGATTACATGATTATGTGGACACTTAGTGATTCGCGAAATCGTAAAAGTGCATTCTTTTTGGCCAATGACAGATCAAACATATCCGCTACTTGTAAAACAAACATAGAATATTACACGACCTTGATGCCGCCTAAAGGTTAAAAAAATGTATGAGAATGATCTAAACTCATAAACACTGCGTATGTTCTGAAAAGTCATCTTTTTGTTCGTTTCATAACATGCAGACACTTTTGCTGTTATGATAGAGTTTAATGTCCTCTCTTTTATACCATTCAGGACCACTGAAGTGGTGTAGATTTCTCGACTATAATCAATTATATGATGCCCGTAAACCGGCTTCTCTCATGTCGCATACATTATTATTATTATTATTATTTGTTCCTTGGATTCCTAGTGGAAAATACGGCTTCAGTATCACGTCTCCATTCCACTCTCTTCTCTGCAAACTTTTGAACCTGGCTCCACGACTGCCCACCAGCTCTCATTTCCTCCTCGCACGATCTCCTCCATGTCACCCCCAGCTGGGACGCCTAACTCGTCGTTTCCCATCTGGGTTCCTCTCGAGGGCCTGGCGCGTGATATCCCCGAATGGTCTTCTCAGTGCATGCCAAATCCATCCCCACTTCTTCCTGCATATTTGTAGAACGATAGGTTCTTGGTTAGTTCGTTCCCAGAGTTCCTTGTTGCTTATTCTTTCTGGCCATCTGAGCTTCAGTATCCAGCCAGCGTAGGCGGCAGTTGTTGATGAATGTCTGCAGTTTTTTGGAAATGCCTTTCGTAACGCGCCAAGTCTCTCAACCATCACACAGAAGCACTGACTTGACGTTGGTTTTGAAAATCTGCATCTTGTTCCACATGCTAAGTGCAGAAGATCTCCACACTGATTTCAGGTTAAGGAACGCCAGTCTCGCTTTTCCAATCCTGACTTTGATGACCTCGCCTGTGCCGCCTGCAGTTGAAACAGTGCTGCCTAGGTAGGTGTAGGTGAAAGAGGCTACTTCCTTTAAGTTTCTCCCGTTGATGGTGATTGGAGCTTGTTGTTGTTGGTGGTGGTGTTGGTTGGGTATCATCACCAACTCTGTCTTTTCTACGTTCACTTGAAGTCCCGTCTTCGCTGCCTCTTCTGTCAACTTGTTAGTTTTTGCCTGTAGATCTTCAAGTTTGTGCAACATTAGACACAAGTCATCGGCAAAATCCAAATCTTCTAGGATCTTTTCACCGGTCCAGCCAGCGTATCCCCCTCTTCTCTTTCGTCACAATTTGTTGCATGATCCAGTCCACTACTATCAGGAATATCATTGGTTATAGTAGGTAGCAGCCTTGTCTTACTCCTGTCTTCACTTCAAAAGCATCACTGAGCTTCCCATTGTGAACTACTTGACATGTGGCGTCTTCATGAAGTTGTTGAATGAGGTTGATAAAGGTTTGCGGTATTCCATAGTGTTGGATCTACTGCCAAATTCCCTCTGGTCCTGCTGCTTTCCCGCATTTCATTAGCTTTATGGCGTTCAGGACTTCGACTTTCGTCGAAGGGCCTGTGTTCACTGGCAGTTATGTGGCTGCAGGTGATATTTTTGGACGAAGTGCATGTGGTGGTCGATTCAAGAGCTTTTTGAAGTGGTCAGCCCATCGTTTTATTTGTTTCTATTCTTTGGTGATTAGATTTCCTTCATCATCTTTTATTGGTTTCATCTAATGTTGATCTCTTCCCTACCAGATGGTAACCTGGTTATTTGATACAATGTTGTCAGGTCTAACTTACCAGCCTACAGCCAGTTCTGCTTCACTTACCAGTGTGTCATAGAAGTGTCTTTTGTCTTTGCGTGTACTCTTCCTCACTTCTTTGTCCAGTGTTTTATACGTCGCACTCTGTTCTTCCTTTCGTTGTGCATCCTTGCACTGGATCGTCTTCTGCTTCACCATTCTCCTCTCCCTGCTCTATCAGCTTCCATGTGTCCGTCGTGATCCATTCCTTATCTCGTCTTGCTTCTTCTTCTTCATTCCTATCACAGTTATGCAGGTTTCCTTCTACATCGCTTTCAAAGAGTTCCAGTGCTCTTCTACACAGGTTTCTTCAGGGATGTTGCTCGATATCTCCCATTTTTTCCTGATGATTGACGTGTAGATGTCCTTTGTAGTCTCATCCTTCATGTCCGGCTTCTGAGTGTTGAACCTGAACTGTGGTCTATCACCAACTTCCTTGAAGGCTTTTAACTTGATTTGGAAGGTTCCTTGCACTAGACAGTGAGTGGTGTGAACCTACATCTGCTTCCCTTCTTGACTTTGTGTCAAGTAGGCTGCGTCTCCACTGTCTTCACATTGAGATGAAGTCGATCTGATTTTCAGAGTGTCATGGTGTCTGGTGAAATCCATGTCGCTTTGTGGATATCTCTGTGCTTAAACACAGTGCGTCCAATCACCAAATCGTTGAATGCGCAGAATTCTGCAAACAGTTCTCCATTCTCGTCCATCACCTCACCGAGCGCTTCTCGACCCATGGTTAATGCTCTTCATGTGTCGTCCACTCCTAGTTTGGCATTCATGTCACCCCAGCCATTAGAATTTTGATGTCACCGACTGGGGTGGGGTCTTGTCCAGTGTTGATTGCAGTTGTCTGTAGAATTCCTCCTTCTTCTCTTCATCTGCATTTGTAGGTATGATTGTGACTTTCCTTCCTTTTGAGTTGAACCGTGCTGTTATGATCCTGGAGGAGATTGGTTCGCACTATATGACAGCCTTCGATGCTCTTGGTGACATCATGATAGCCACTCCAAAACTCAGTGTGCTCGTGGTTGTCGTTTGGGTGACCGAAGTAGATTATTGACTCTCTAGTTGACAGTTTGGTGAGTTCACTTCGATTCTACCTGCCTTCGCAGATTCTTAGCACTTCAGTGTGATACCTTCTCATCTCCTTTGAAATCTGAGAAGCCTTGGTAGGTTCAAACATTGTGCGGACATTCCATGTCCCCACGTTTACTTCTGCTTTCATCGAGAGAAGGGAAGACACATCGGCTAATTGGCTTCCCGAAGGCTTTCACCAACAGGCATCGTTTCGCCTCTCCGATTCCAGCAAGGAATATGTTTATTTTTATTTTTTATATTTTCTTTGTGCTTTGAAGTTTCTTTATCGGTTGGATTGGTTTTACGGTGTAGGGTTGCCAGCCCTATGCCCAACCTCCCCTCTTTATCCGGGCTTAGAACCGGCTAGTAACTAGTGAACCATTTAACCGGGCGTGGTTTGTCACATTCATAATATAAGGATAAAATATTTATTTACTTATTGGTTTGTTGTCGGTGAGCATCAGGCGAGCTAATGGTTCTGTGTTCACAAAGTTAGTGCTGGCCACGAGTAAAAGACCACCAGAACAGAATTGTTGGAGATGACAACGGTTGTCGGTTCCTTGATATGGAATACTGTAGATACGTCAGAGATGCTATTCCAACGGGTTTAGCTTCGTAACTGTCAGTAGAAGTTGTCTGCTTGTATGATTACATTGGAATGTTTCACTTCATTTGACAAAATTAAAAACCTTTGGTAAAACTCACCCACCACACCATCTAAACAGTTGAGACTACGAATAGACACTGGTGTATCAAGATCCTTCCTAGCTTTTACAGACCTACTTGATTGGACAGTATACATAGTACCGTTAACTGGGATCCAGTCGAGTAATATGATTTCTGCTGTAGAAGTAATGCAATAAAATCTGAAGGAACTGTCGAATCTCCGGACACGCTTAAATTGAATTTTGGATGATGCAAAGATAAGGTCATTTAAGTATTGTAAGCGCATCTCAGAAACATAACATATGTCCATGTCCCGATATTCCAAAGTCTTCGCAAGTGAAACCTGTTGTCAGATTTTGCATAGTATTCGAATGCTGAGAGCTCCAAGGCAAAATTGGTAGCTTGGTTTCAGAAGATTAATAATGGTGTTTCGCTGGCTTAAATCTTTCAAGATGGTCACAAAGTGAGTTGCTGAAGAAGCTGTAAGGGGCTTGGTGCTGGTAATAGGAACAGGTAGGGAAGGTGATGAAAGAAATGATAAAAAGAAAAGTTGGTTTCCGTATACTACTGGAAACTTGTGGCTGTTGGTATAGGTAAAAAGTGTAGCTCTCTCTTGTAGGATTTTCGCCGAAGTTCGACAGGTGCTTTGTAATTGAAACGTATTAAATCAATCAATTACCAAATACTTTTTTTAAAGATAAGATTTAAATTCCCACTAATGTAGTTAAGGTCATGAGAGATGTAATCAACTTCTATATTACACATTTGATTATTCTTCAGACGTAAAAATGTACGAGAAATGGGTAGAAACTACGTTGTAATCGGCCTAAAATGGAATATATTTAGTGGTTATTGGGATCCAGAGGTGATTATAATTTGGATAATAACTTGCAAAATTTATTGTAAGGGTTTTGATGAAGTAAGGTATGCGTGCATATTTGAATGCAAATCTATGAATTAATACTATGCAAATTATTTATTTGACTATACGCCTTAAAAGGTTGTAGATGAACTAAACTGGTCAGTTGTGCAGCATTCAAAATATGCATTTGGGTATTTCTTACGCTTTCTTTAATTGACTTTTCTCATAAAAACTGGGTGTTAGTTAACCATGTGCAAAACTGAGTTTTTTTTATACGCGAAGGACAGATAACATAACATTTACATGCCTATCATTATAGACAAATGAAAGTGTTATTTGGATGGAGGCATTCTCCTCTTCTTCTTACCCCACTGTTCTCATGACATTTTTGCACTTTTGATCCCATTTTTTTCTATTTCTTTATGTTTCATCTTGTTACCTTGATGTGCTAATGCATGTTGTCACAATTTGGACCAATGTACAGTATCGCCAGGCCCCATGTTGATACAGAAGGACTGACTGGCACAGTGATTACTGGCACAGTGGCAATGCTAAATATATCATATGCAATACACAAAGTACAATACTTTCAGATAAAGAGATTTTTCAGCTCATTTATCGACCAATAATATCACCAAGTAAAGTTTCCAGTTTCAATGAACAAAGAGGAACACTAGTAAAGTTATAAATATATCTTACAGGAAAAAGCCCTGAGACAGATGATTATCCTAACTTTTAATCCAGAGAACTGTTTCACAGGTTGATCAGTGACTATTATATGCACTTCCCAAATATGGAAAATGTGAAGTAGTCAATTAGATCTTTCTGTTTGAATACGTTTACCCCTAAGATAGAAGCGTCTAGACGCGATGGAGTCGACCTAAATCAAGAAATTTATGTTTCATTACTTTACTATAAGTTCCAACTATAGATTTTCTATAGTTTAAGTTTATTTAGGACCAGTCCATTTTGCCACTTCACTGATATACAGTCAAGTTCTTTTTGAAAGATAATGCTAATTACTGGTTCACAAACAAATGTTCATTCACATTTTGATCTTAAACAGGTCACATGTAATCTGCATTAATTACTACCGGTTCGTTCTACTTTAACACTGACCTAAAAAAAATTAGAAAAGTAGAAAACATGAGTTTAATCTATGCTTTGCACACACTACTGAAGAATATTATAAACGTTACAAGGTCAATACTGGTTGTTTGCATAAGATAATGTTAAATGTTTATTTATAAACCACGCAATAAAAGATCAATCCCATCACAAAATTCAACGATGAGATATGATACAAGCCCAAACGTTTATTGATTAATAAACAAGTAACAGTATTTGCAGTGATCACTAAGTTAGGAGAAAAAGTTAAGGTGGCAGGAGAGTAACCAATTTCACGTTGTCTATTCCTGAGCCCTTACCGGATTTGTCGACTGCTGTATGTAACACAGTCCCACAGGAGGTCAATCGCGGCCCGAGTAGCGCAGTGGTAACATCCCTGATTACAACACTGGATGACGCGCGTTCGGATCTCAGGCGCAAAATCAGTTCCGTCGAGGTTGCAGACACGCCTTGCTGACGAGTGCCAAGATGAACGAAACCTGGCTCCAGGGCTTCTTGCCAATTGCCTCCAACTAACTAACAATAAAAGTTCAAATACAGACAATAAACAGTGGATTTACATCCACCGAATAGTTCACTGATCGCCAGTCAGAGGAATCTCACATGTATTGCTATTCTAAATTAAGAGATTTTTCTACCATTTGAATTATCCGATGCTAAACGCTTTGAGATTAGTTTCTGAGTTAGGCCCTGACTACATGTTAATTTCTAAGTAAACCTAATACTTAAGTATTATGTCATGGCAAGTCAAAAGACAGTAACATTCAAAGAGATTAAGTGTCAGTTATGTTCTTGCACTTCAACAGTATTGACTAAATATCCATATTATATGTATGAGTGTAGAATTCCTACTAAAGATCTTCGAGATATCCGAAAACATTGGTTTGTGAACCTCGGTGAGACGGGTTGAAATCTATCATACTAGTGTTGATGCACTAACTCATTTTCTTTAGAATTTTAGATATCTTACTTGTTTTTAACCGCTCACTTCATAATTCACTTCCAGTTTTTTGGGCATATTTCCAATCCTGTCCATTTTTCATCTTCGTGCTGGTTCAAAGTGTGATAACAGCCCAGATGAACTTTTTTGAGGTTCTGTGTTGTTCGTCTGTCTTCAAAACAACTACCTTGTTCGTACATTGAGGAAAACATCTCACAGGACTCCATTCGTTTTGATGAAGTAACTTTGGTATTGCTGAAAGTTTTACCAGTGAACTCTAAGGTTTTGATTTTAAATATATAACATATCGAATGGCCAACTCACTAAGTTTCGATGCACAAACTAAAAGAACAGCGTACTCATGGGGGGAGATTCAATTTATGGTGATATTTGAGCAGAACCAGCCTTTAAAGTCTATGCATAATAATATGACTGTTGTCTGCTGTTACTTTTTTTCCAAGATAACAGACTTCAGCATGAGTGTAGAATTCACGGGAGAAGATATCTACCTCAGTGGAACTTTAGGTACACCAGAATATCTTGCCCCAGAGTGTGTGAACGGTTCAAGTGAAGCTTACAAAGGAAAGGTATATAAATGGCATTATATAAATAATTATCCCTAAGCAGCCAGTCGATGTATGGGCAATGGGAATGACTTTATACTGGATAATTTACAGACAAGTAAGAAACTACTTGTGTAGTTATCAGTAGCCTTTCTACAATGGTGCAGATAAATATGAAGTTTACGAATCTATCAACACCCACCCTGTCTTTATTAATAAGTAAGTTCAAACGTATTTATTATAAGTGATTACGCTTAGCAAAGTTAGTGACCTCTGTCTCCGTCATGTTCTTGAAAGGATATTTCAAAGTGATCCAGAACTCAGAATTTGCATTGCTGAACTCCAGGTATTATTTATTCCCTTAAACCATTCATATTAAATGTGTAATCCCGTTTGAAGTCTCAGTAAGAAAAATATAGGTGGATATATACAGTACACTATGCGTAATCTGACATAGTTAGGCAAAATTAAAGATCAACAAACAGCTTTTGATATTTCATTGTTAATTTCGATAATTAATCTTCATATTTGCACATCAACAGGTGAAATATTTTAAATGTGATCATCATTCAAAAACACTGGCTAAACTTTTTTTTAATTAGAATCCACGTTCAAATAAGGTTTTTTCATCTATTAAAACTTAAATAGCTGTACAAACTATAGCTCAAAACATCAAAATCTCAAAACTATACTGTACTATGAACTGGTAATATGCGCTTTATACCATATGTACTTTTACAAAATTTACGAAGATATCCGGCTGTACTTACAACTAGTAGTGAACGACTGCAAGTATTCGAAAAGTGAGTGATTATGACTAGCTATGTGAGGAAGCACATAAAATAAGATTTCTTACAGTGTGACAGCAGTAACGACAGAAACCAGTCAATTTAGCTGCAGTCGTGAAGTTAGTTTAACCATAAACTGTATAGTGTACAAAGCTTCGATGAGTAAATTTTTGAAGCCCGACCTCTCCAAGTTGAATGTGCAAATCCATCCCATGTGTTCCACCAAAAGACGCTACTAATGTGAACGGAAATCGGTCGGTAGTCAAGAAGTAATAGTTTAACTCTTATTCTGATTAATACTTGGGGGTTAACAAATGATTATTAGTCATTCATAAACTGTCTAGTAAATCCAATACAACTTCACTGTTACAGTAATGTGAGACCAGTAGATTTAAAGTAAAGTAAAAAAGGGTTTATTCAAACCAAAACGACTGTTCACCTCTTACCGTCAAAATAGGATTTATTGTTTTTCCTGCAACCTCGAAGGACTTTCCTACCAAGCGACTGGTCGTTCATACACGTAGCGCGAGAACATCAGTTATACATACTAAGCAAAAACCGAAACTAAACGACTATAAAATTGCTTATGACATAATCCACCTCTCTCGAGTCAGAAGATGGACAGCACTTATTCCCTTAATTTTATCTGCAAAGATTCCCTGGTTTGGCACAGTCTCTCTTCTCAGACTAGGAAAGTGGTGTTTTCAGTTGTCCTTACTTATGACCAACTTTGCTTCACGAACTGGTATCCATTCATCAAGTTTATCAGTGGGATTTTTGAAGTCCACATGAGAATTAAATAGTCAATTATATGGTAGTTGGATTTTTGAAAATAAGTTAATACCCAGAAAAATTGATGAAACATTTCATAAGAACTGCTTGTCCATCCAGTCAATGCTAAGTGAATCAACACCATGACCGTTTGTAATGCAGCTTATTTTCTTGAAAGAGATAGATATGGATGAAACAAAGTAATTAACTTCACCACACAACTGTATAATAGCGCCTGAAGTATCTCTCAAAATATAGAGTGGTACTAGGCAAAGGTAGCCACTCAGTTGAGTCATATCTTTTGACAAATGAATATCATACTGTAGACAAAATCTACTCGGGGAAAAAGAAAACACGAGACACAAGCAAAGATGTTTTCGTTTACTAAACGTTTGCACACCAAGCATACAAGAATATACTGGATTTGTTGGCAAGAAACTGACCTGGATTTTTACGAGACTGAAATAGGATTGAAATTTCTCGTAGAAACCGCTTTTACGGCTGATATGTCAACACTTACTAAATTTGTATCTTTTGCATATACAATTATTATTAAGATGTGAATCACCACAAAATCAGCAAGTGATATTAGCTCGGCATTAGGCTTTATGAGAACTGAATCTATAGTGGTTGTTTGGTATGCTCTGAGCATTGATATTTTGTTGTGGACGTTTCATCACCAGACTTGGTGATTATCCTCAGTATTAACTTCATTAAGAAGTGAAGCGTATCCGAATGTTACACGACAAAATATCAAAGCTCAGAGAACATAAACCTATCCTCAGCCCGAGCTAAAAATCTTTTCCATCATTTCAAGAACTTAAGAAATGACATTATCAGTTTCTTTCTTCATCATTAATAGTGTGATGCTTCAGGCGAACTAGGCGCTGACATACTTAATCCACATACATACATTAAGAAAATTCGAGTACGAATGTTACTCTCAGATATTGACTATGATCCCCACGTTTTGTGGGGATTATAGTGAGTTTTCCAACATTTTACTACTTCCCAGAAAATTAAATCTCCGACAGTTTTGGAGAAGACAAAATCAACATACTTCGAACGATCATCCCCCTCCCCCATCTTTCTAAAAGGGGCAGGAACTCTGAAAAAACTTCCATTCCCACTAAACTATGTATCGAGTGTAACATCAACTTCGAAAATGAAATCCAAGAATGGCTTCAATGTTTTCTGAAGCAACACTGACTGGAGGATGATCAACTTTTGCAGTAAATCTTCAAACTTTTCTGGTTGCTACATAGACAACATAACTGATTCCAAAGACCGATTTTTCTAAACATGTCTCTTAAACCTGATATTCCTAACCGTCTATTCACACCGTCATTTAGTGAAGAAAATGAAAAATTCAAATGCTGTTTCCAGCTGATAAACCTGTTCCAATTTCTTAGCTAGACTGATCTAATTACTTCGTGTCTGGGTTCGGGGAATCAAAATGGTTATCTAACATCAGTTTTGTGAGACGTTTTCGCCAGTGTTGGTGTTGCAACCACCAAACCATGTAATCATTTATTAAGCGTCCTGAGACTTTTACGCACTAAAACCTATTGACAGTGTCAGAATTCTAGGAGAGAAAGTCCCACCATTCTGCAGACCATTTTTGATATGACGTTAGGAGACTAGGAATGAGGTATCGATGGCTTTAACCGTTGGCAATGGTTGCAGAGTAAGAGGTTGAGTAAAGCGTAAGAGGCTTAATATAAGTATCAAGAGGCGAATGCAAAGAAGGAGACAAAACTGAGGAGGATAGGTTATGTTTGATTTAGTCTTGTGTACTACTGGAAGCTTAAAGGCGGTTGACACTCCAAAGCTCCCTACACCGTGGAAGGCTAGCTTTTCTTGAGGTACTTTCAAAAGAAAGGTTAGCGCGTGACCACAGAGACCAATGGACATCTGCTTGACGTCGGTCACATACGGCCATTTTGCAAGTGACTTATTTTGTTATTACGAATCCAACTATGAAACTAGGTAGCCAATATCGGCATGCCACAGGATCTTCGGTGTGCTATTTCGGGGGCTAACATTTTCTAGGCACCACTTTCACACAGGAAAGACAGCATTAGCGTGGCACTGCTGGTTATCTGAAGGAAGCACCTCACTGCTATCACACCCCAACCAGCCAGCCAGCAGTACGAACTCGTCCTTCCACCCGCATCATAGTGTAGTAATTTACACTAAGGTAACTGCTTTTCGTCTTACCACTATCCAACAGATCTTCCTGGAATGGTAGGACCTCGACGGAACAAGCGTCCTACCAGTACGGCTCCTTGGGTCATTGTGGCGCGCAAGCCCGACCACCACTTCAAGGTAGCGCTTATCAGTAGGGTCACAGGTATGCAGCCAATTTGCTTACATCAACACACGTAGGATAACAATTTTGTAAGGTAAACTTAGCAGGCAAGATCAGAATCCAAGTAGGTAATCCAGGAATGATAGCCATGTACATATACCATCCTTAATGTAATGTTTGAGAGTAGACCCTAACGCACCAGACAGTACTTCCACGATGCTTACGACTGAGGCCGTCTTGGGGTAAATTGGATATGATCTACCTAAAGCTGTATCACATAACCTCTGACCCAAGACTAAGTATTCACTATTCATCTCTGAAACAACTGTCCTTCAGATCTAGATGTCTAACCTGCGCAATCAAGCCCCCAGTTAGCCATACGTTTACCGAGAGTACTTATTATAGATCACGAGATTGCCGGTAGAATTCGTCTTTCCTTGGATCAAGGATAGAATTCATATCAGCATGAACAGCGATGACGAAGACAATCCATTTCTCTCGTCAGTTACTTTTTACCGTTACCACAAACTAACCTAGCAGCGCACAGAAGACAGGAATTTAGTTGGAAAGTGCAACGGACATCAACGCAATATATTCAGCAGATAAGCGTACAAAACACTTGGGGCTAGCGAACACTTAATTCGAAGGACCTCCTTAGGATGTTATACGAACATATCTGTAGCAAACCTATCCAGGCTCATAACTAAACCTCCCACCTATATTAACACAGAACAATTGAAAGATTAATTCTTAAATGATATTCAGGAAACCTAATTTAAATGTTAGTTTCTAAAATATTGAGACACTAGCTAAGTCAAGTCTATCAGCCAATAACAAGCATTTTTTTCGACTTACAGATCCCCTAGATACAATCCATTCACATAACCGTAGGTTATCTTGTTCCTTTTACATACATTGGATGCAAATACTATGATGCGAATCACCAAACATCGATTAGCACCGTATTAGTGATAAGAATGTAGTGAATATTGGTAATCCAAACTCCCCAATAATCCACAATAGTTGTCTGATTTCGCACTTACTGCCTCGTTTGATAATGTCTCATTATCTTCTAATCAGTTAACATTTTTATGTACAATCAACTCCAAAGAATCAAAAGATTCATTACAACTTGCTTTCCCCAGCCATTGGTTGAGTGTCATAAGAATCAGTAAATTCGAAATGGAAAATGAATCAGAAGTTATTTATTATTACCCTGATAACATGTACATACAGCATATGAAATGCAAGATGACTTCTGACTGGATTTTCTTTCAGGGGAGGGAAATTAAAATACAAAGGTATTTATTGACATCGGTTCACCAAACAAGTGTAAGATGAATGGTGGTTATCTGAATTTTTGAAAACAGTTCAAGCTTGTGCCTGTAGCTTTGCTTCTTGGTTTTGTTTCTGTTCTTGTTGGATTTTTCGATTTTGAATCCGATGAACTATTCGTTCGAGTATTCGACGAGCTTCACAATCGGGGAAGTTGGACATATCATAATACTGAGGCGCAATTCGAACAAGCCTACGAAATGAACAGAGTAAAATAATACTTTAAGTGAAGAATGCAACTTTCGGAATAATAAGAATAAAATGCTACGGCGCCCTAAAATTAGAATTGTTGGATGTTGAGAAATTTCGATACAAACACCGTATCTGGTGTAGTTTCTACCCACTACCGACCCTTTTCAAAAAGCAAAGTAATTTAGTTAACTCAGTGAGCTCAAGTGAGTACGTTCTTGAAATCAAACGATAAACTGCATTCGGAATCGATACACAGCAGACTGCAAATGTCATAACCAGATTTCCAGGGATACTGGTGGGCTACCGTTGGTATATAGGCTCATGCGTGCATGCCTAGTTCACTAAAAATGCAACTGCACTTGACGGCAAGGTAACAACTTCCGTTTTGGACTTGAAGGGTAGTATCACAGTAAACTTCACAAACTAAAATGTTTAAGCAGTTATCCATGAGTATCTTACTCGTTTGTAAGGTTAACTGCATATCTTAAACGGATGGCTTACTATACGCAGATTATTCAAGACACTCACTCAAATTACTTTCTATTACCGTGCAACGTAATTTCATTGGTTTCTCAGTGACAGTGACGATGGAATTTCTATGCAACAGAAGATTGACCGATCTAAACGATGTAGTATGCTAGCATTCGGCCACCCAATATAACCTACTAAATTTAGTGATTTTTTGGCTCTGCTTCAGTGACCGTATAAGGGAGTTGTGGTTTACTGGTCCAATCAATTGACTTCTAAACAGTAGAGTCACGAAGGAGAAACCCGCTCCACCTAATCAGGTGCGAGTAGCCACGTAGTACCATTAGCCACCTCACTAAAAAATAGGTGAGGCTAATCGTCCAGCACATGGACATACAAGTCAGTGATGAGTTTTCTTAGAGTTACATAAGGCAATATGATGAAAAATATCAAAGATGTGTAAAAACGTCCCTTGGTGTGTAATCCAAACTAACAACAAGATCCCCACGGTGAACATTCAGTACCCGAATATCCGTAGGAATCTTATGGCCAGTTATGAGGTACGAGAATGCATGCGCACGTAGAGTGATCTACCAAGGATGAACACTCACCATTCTTATCCGATTTCATGAAAGTCTCTGTCAACTCATCTGACTCAAAAGGGATTAACCTTGACATAGGTAACTCCTTAATATGCCTTGAGTACATAAACAGGTCCTGTTAGGTGAGGACACTGAAAAAATACAGTCTTCTGGACACCCTGAGTGGCAATTTGAAAATGTTTGAGATGCGTTTCTCCCCCATCCAAGTGGAAGTTGTTGATCCGGAAGTGGTCTGTGCCAATGCTTTATTTAACGACAAGTAGTGAAGTGGTTGAATGCACCGAACACTTCACTTACCTGGGAAGTTGGATCAGTTTTAGTGGGTCACTGTTCGACGGAATCCCTATATGAATACAAAAGGCTGGTTTGGCCTTTGCCAACTTACCCCACTTAAGCGGCTATCGAGATATCTGACTGTTCATCAAGGGCGGAGCGTACTACGTTGCAGTACGTCCTATTCTACTATATGGCTGTGAAACACATCCAGGTAAAGGCATAAGGAGGCTTCATTTGCTTGACCACCATTGTCCTCGTGGTGTAAACTAAGTATCTTGGTGGCACTACGTCAGTAAGCCACAAGCCAGGTGTAGAGTTTAAGAGAGAAAAGTCAACTGATGAGATTTCGAACCTTCATCGACCCAGGTGGCTGGGACATATATTGCACATACCTAGTCACCGCCTGCCTTATTGCACGTTAGCTGAAGTGGTCAAGGTTACACCAGAAAAAGGTTCGAGGCGGTCAGCCTACGACACAAAATCCGTCTATGCTGTCTCTAACTATTGGTTTGAGTAATGTCAAGGAAAAGTAGACCTTTCGGTTAGGGTTCGCGTGACAACTGAAATCGGTAGTTGAAGACTGAGTAATATGACTCAAAATCGATCTCAGTGGATCAGGTGTACCTACACGTTATCTTCATCTCAATTAACAGACCGAATTTCATCTTTGTTTCACTCCTTCTTACTCTCTTTTGACAGCTTGCTACAGCTCTTCCTTACCCCCTCTATCCCTTATTTTGATGCTTTCCACGTTGATATGCAGCGTGGCAACTCTTTTGCATTAGTACCAGTTCCCATCTTGGTAGTGACTTAATGAACAAATGAAATCCACGGTTCGAAGTTGCAGTCCTACGTGAATCCTGACTGAAAGGTACCGAAAAATATTTTGTTCACTTCTTGTAATTCATTTCAATTTCCACCCTTCTATAGGGTGTCAAAAAAGTGAACACCTAAAATGAGATAACACTTTTCTGATAGGCTCAAAACTGATCGAAATTACAGTAACAAGCAGATACTTCTTCCTATTTTAGTCGTTTTTGTCGTTGATATATATCATATTGAAAAACTGATTTATTTTCCCACTTTCAGATGCTCACACATAACAAATAAGCATTCAAGAAGAATATGTTCAAAATGAAAATAACCATTTTGGATTATTATATGTATGACCAGAAAAAATGGAAAAGAGCAAAATATAAGTGATAATCACTATCCCTGCATATTATCACTGCTTGATAACAGTTTGCATAATTAAACTAACTATTGAATTATTAAGAAAAATTTCGAGACCATAAACACTGATGATAAAATACGGGAAGTTAATTGATGTCGGAAAAAAACTAGTTAACATATGTATTAAAATTAAACGAAATGATAATTTGTGAACACCCTGAAAGATTGCAAAACGAGTAAGTACTTAACGATTTAAATAAAAGAAAGTACAATGTGAGGCACCTGGTTTACAAGAATAACGTGACTGCTTAAAAAACTCATTGACAGAAAACGTACCAATCTGGTTTAACCTCAGTCACTGTGCGTATGTAGTTTTTTGTCGTAAGGACGAACTCATTGTATAACACCCACTCTGGTTTGTGATCTATTACAGTTGAGGGATGAAGCTGAACAACCTGATTGTCTTTCACCGTCAAATAATGACCAGTACGTTCAAGATGGGCTACCTAGGACAGAATTTCAATGAACACAAATCTCAGTGTAGGCTGGTTAGATCTGATATATGCGGAAAACTAAAACATAGAAATGCAACTGTTACGGAGAATGTGCAAGGAAAATATTGTTAGACGACTGATAATATGTGAACAGTAGCTCTTTGTGTAGACGTGAAAAGTAATGATAATTCTTTTGTTCAACATAGTGAATACCAAGAGCTCGCGAGAATTCAAACCACATGATAAGGAAAACTAACTAGTAGAGGCAATACTGCTGCATCGATGCAATAAGAGAGAAAAACAATACGCTCGATGTTAAGAGGGAAGCCTAAGTTTAGAGAAGTTGAGTACAAAAAAACACTTTGTCGATACGTATACTTATTAAATGAGACATGTGCTACTTCTCCCTGATCTTATACCCTTTGCAATCTACAAACTAATTAATCAGTGGTTTAGGCAGCCAGATAGTATCTCATTAGCCTTCACACAATGAGTGTGGCTCATTACCTACTCGCAATTACATTATGAGAAGCCTTTAATAACAACCACTTACTGATGGTGGTTTGGTGACATCTTCATAAAAACTTCTTGATGAAGTTAGTTCTGAAGATGTCACCCAGCCTGATGATGAAACCTTCATGACAAAATATCAAAGCTCACAGAACATCAAACCACCATCATCCTCATCCCGAGCCACAAATCTTTTCCCATCACTTCACAACCATTTACTAGAATAAGTCAGACAAACCTGAAAGTACTTTCATGTGACTTGGTATGAAACTAAAAGCCAGAAACTAGAAATCGAAAGCCCTGATAGGTATTAAAAGTCTCCTTAAACACTAAAGTACTAAAACTAACCAAATTTTGGAAAAGGTTTTTCAAAAACTAACGATGAATACAAGATAAATTGCACATTCAGCAAAACACGAAGTCATTGAGATGATGAAAGTATATAATGAGCGAAGTGAATCAGACAACTGTTTTTCTAATACCTGCATGAAAAATCCAGACACCAAAGCCTTCCGAATGTTTATATAATAGTCACGAGAAGTAAAGTCAGTACTTGAACGACGGAGAGAAAATCGATCCATAATGCGTGACAACTGAACTCGCACATTATCAGCAGACTTAAGTGACCGGAAATTGATAAAATTGTCGTAACACCATTGTGGGTCCTCATGATCTAAGATAAAAAGTAAATTAATTGGTAAAAGTAACATTAAAAAAATAAACATTTGCAATAACAATACTCGTCACCTTACATAGATAATAGTAAAGACATAAGGCTTTTACAAGCAAATAAAAAACGCTTTACGCAAGTAACTGACTGGCACCATGCAGCAAATAATCTAAGTGCAATTTGCACAAAGAACTTTGTCTCACTTATAGTATATCAAAAAGATCTGGTGTAACTATATCGTATGCGTAATTGTTACAGACCAACGTGGAGTGGTACAAAGCTTCAAGAAACAGACAGACTTCGATTCATAACTGTTTTATGATATTACAGTATCAACAATCTCATAAGTTCTGGCTTCCAATAATTCCCGCTCGATGATAACTGTTTCTGAACAACTGCCCATTACTTTATACATTTCTGAAAATCGTATGGGTATCTGATCTATAACCATTGGATCAAATAATCAAACCTACTCTATTTACCTCGGTCTAGAAGACTAGGTAATACTGTTACAGCCAATTCACATAAGGTCTAGTTAATTTCAAAAGGCTACGGAATTGCCTATCACACACCACCCATTTTTGACTTACGAATCTCAATTCGAAAAGTCTTCTCTTAAAGATCATACACGAGAAAGGTACATTAACATCCTAATAATGTCGATAACTTTATGCCAGTTAAAAGTTAATTTCAGTTTCAGGTTTTTAAAAGCAACGAAATAAAAATAAGCGAGTTCATATGAACAAATTTAAGACTTACTCTGCTTGAATGCATGGTAAACATTTAACATAGTCAAGTGGTCACCATCAATGTGAGCAAAACGCATCTTCGCCTCATCTGCGGTCTTCTTAGCATCAGCAGGACGCACAAAACACTGTGGTACTGAAATTGATGGAAAATAACGAAAGAAAAGACAAAAAATTCGTAACAATGGTCGATAACCATTATTACTGCGAAAATTTTGATCGTGTAATTTTAAGAAACGCTGAGTTATAAGTGGAAATTAAATGTAACGAACATTATGCACAGACTCAGTAGGTCAGTTCATGGATACAGCCGAACTGAAAACTCATTTGTAAAATGAATATGTAATGCGATTGGTTAGCTTAGGGACTCGACTGTTAAACGCTGGATCATCAGCTCGAACACTACACCTTCTAATGAACGGCAAACTAAGAGGTATTAATGGCCCTTAAGATATGGTTTATAGTCTAGAATGAGAATCTTTACGTAGTTGCTTAACTGTATCCACCTTTTTATTTATTCTGAATCCAAAAGCTTAGTAATTAATTATGACAACAATAAGCAGTTCACTGCGATTTTAGATAACAATGCTCTTGCCTGATGTATATGGCGAAGTAACATGCTAAATAACGGCCATGCTTATTGAGCACACGAAATCCAATTATCGTAAAATAACAAATCCGAGTGAAATATCTTCGCCGTGACATTTCGAGAACGTTTGGAAAACAGATGAGGGACTGAAACATACTCGGAGCTGCTTCTCTTATTCATTCCTTATGTTTACGAATTCAAGAACCTTCTTAAACATTGATAGTATTTCAAGTTTTCTATGGTGAGTGATTTGATCAACAACCAAGTTTTTTCCACTAAGTTTACAATGCTTGTTGTCAAGATAATTATAAACGAATATGGGGCTGAAACTATGGAACCGTGGATGCTTTGCCTAGCATAGCTTCTAAAAAACACTTATCAACATAAGATTTAAACTGACCTGACAACATGGAAGTGATGCTTAAAATTTCGTTTGAGCAATTATAATCACATGAAGCAATAACCATTTTTGCTAGCTGTGGATCAAGTGGGAACTCCGCCATCATACTTCCCAGATCCGTTAAATTACCATCATCATCAAGGGCTGCCAAATAATTCAATAACTCTAGGGCACGCATCAGGGTTTCTGGAGCTAATGTTTAATAAAAACTTGTGATTAGAGAACAAATCCCAAAACTTTTAAAAAATGATTAATTTTGTAGCAGACTAAGACAAACTAATGGAGCCTAACACCAATCGATAAATAGAATATTTTACAGGGATAGAGATATACATATACCCCCTGAAAAACACCACAACTCAGGTAGTAATTTCCAGGGAAAGCTGACTTGTAATATAATGTGCGCAGAGCATCATATGAATACTGAAGCAAGAATAAAGAACAGTACCAACAGTGAATAACATAACAAATAACGTGTGGATATTCATAACAAATGTGGTGGGGCTCGCACATGAATAGGTTATAAATGACAGAGTAAGGTGTGGACAGATACACAAGGTAGCTTTTATGCATATGACCCAGGCAGTGTTTTGTACAGATCCGTATAACACGGTTCAAAACTAGATCACTCAAGTACGTTGTTTCAACATATACGACTCGCAATGCATCGTCAAAATGCATAGAGCATGAATCGAAATGCATCGCTATGCTACTTAAAAAAACATCCCCGAACATGCAATCATTCATACTACGTGAACTTTATCGAAACTACATCTCATAAAAAACATGCGTGTATCATCTGAGCCGTTGCTCAGTGGCCTAGAATCAAACTGCAAATCAGGAAGTCACGTGATAGTATATTACTTTAGAAAGCAGAGGTCCAGGTATAAAGTCAGCACATAAGGACTATACGAGGTTGTTGAATTTTATTATTATTATTATTATTATTATTATTATTATTATTATGTTACACATACTCTAGACTGTAACATGCGCCAATCATAGAATTTTTTAGGTAAACTTATAGAGAAACTACCCACAGTGATTAAAGACGTATCACTGCAGCTACACGGTCTTTTTCATCACCAAGAGCATAGACGAATGATTTCGTTTTGTGAAGTTTACCACCTACCGCACAATTTAACTGCCTGATTTTAAAAATCAACGGAAATGGGGTCACATAAAAACTAAATCTATGAGATGATTTAACAATTACCATCTTAACCCTCAACACTACATACTTGCTTTGAATAAGTTTCACTTGAAGGAAGGCACTGGTGTACACTAGCTTCTTGACAAATCCAACTAATCAAAAAAAGTATGGGCTGTTTTCCCAGAATGTCAAACGCACAGGGAATATTTCATTAGGATAACAAAATAAGCGTTATTACTTGATGCAGATATCTGTTAGCAGAAAAATGGCTTCATGGTGGCTCATTCGCAGTAAACTAAACAGTGGTCATAAATTTTGAGAGAGAAAATCTAGTAGACAAAGATGAAAGACATCAACAACATTCAGCATGTTAACAGTTAAAACGTTTACACTATTTGTGTAAGTTGACCGCTTTTCAGATTAAAAATAAACGCTTTACTTGCGTTAAACTAAGATTGATATTCAACTTTGAGGCTACTAATCCTAGAAATGAAATGTCTTTTCATACAATTACCTAATCATATTACTCACGACGCACTAGAAATAAAGGTATAAAGGAGATGAAGAGATCGCAGTTCATAAAACTAGGAATGTTTAGCAATTTCAAATAACGCATTTACACTTTATACACACCAGGAGGATCCATAAAGTCAAAATGCACCAAGTCATCAATGCCTAGCTTCTTGAGTTGGAGGACTACAGTGCCTAGATTTGACCGCAGGATTTCTGGATATGTGTTCTCCTGCATTTCATTTGTATATGCCTTTTCTGTGTACAATCGGAAACATTTTCCAGGTCTTGTACGGCCAGCTCTACCAGCACGCTGTTGTGCGGACGCTTTGCTGATCGCAGTAACCAAAAGTGATTCAACACGAATACGAGGGTTGTAAACTTTCTGCTTCGCGAAACCTGGGTCAATAACGAAAACCACACCATCGATCGTTAGAGACGTTTCTGCGATATTTGTGGATACCACAACCTGTGAAGAAAAGTAGTGCAGTAAACATAGTGAGATCACTGGAGGATAAACCTGACAAATCAAATTATGCCAAATGTTAATGTCTCTGCAGTAAATATTTATGACTATCTTAAATCGCGTGTAAAGAAATATAATGAAAGCAATTGTAACACAGATTTGTAATCAACTGAACTACCTATACGACCGATCTGTTTATACCATCGAATACAAAACTCCAAAGGAAAAAATAAAATAATCGGAACAGAAATCTAGTGCAGACACATTTGGAAATGCTGGTTGTAACAACAAATACTTGAAAACTACATTTAAGAGTAGAGTATTTGACCACGTTGACTTTTACATGGGCAGTCAGCACCAGTGACAGTATAATTCCTAAGAGGAATTTTCCTAGTAGATGCAACAGGAATATTATGGAAATCTTGTCTATCATTCACTAAAATCTATTTAGATAAAAAGCAGTGGCATGAATACGGTGCAAGCACTTTTATCGATTATAATAGCAACATGGCGCACGAATATTTTGAATGGCCAAATATAGTTTCTTGTAAGTTCTAGATTACAATCAGCGAAAACGCAGTTTGAAACAAAACTTTAACAATGATGACTTCGCCTTACGGAATGAAATTGAAACCAAATAAAAAGTCATGAGAAACCTATTTTACAACGAAGACTGACATACCAAGCACTTAATTTTATAAAAAACGATTGTTTCTCCATCCCATTTCGAACAAAACTGAAATGATTACACATTATACTTTTTCGAGCAAGTACATGAACGGAATTGCTTTTAGTTTTTCTCCTTAGGACTGAAATCGTGCGATTCAGAGCAATTTGAAGAAAACAAATCAACAGATCAAGAATGTTCTCACCATATAAACATCTTAAAAAAAGAAACCAGTTGGTTGGGTCTTGAGATGTTTCAATTTACCTAGGAAGGCTTCCACCCTCACCCCTGGATGTACCAGTCTAAAAGAATTACCATGAATTATATGAAGCAAACAAAGTTTCAGAGTGAAACAATTATCTACCACATTGCACAAGTTGTTCTGAATTACAATTGCTTTCCTGTCATGCTTTTATCATTGTTTTCAGTGATAAAGCAAACAATCTCAAAAGTTAATCCTCTTATTGATAATGTCCTGAGGATAAGTGATAAAATACGAAAAACGTAAGGCCTCAAGGAACTGTGGACTAATGGCTTTTATACAGTAGGTCCAGACAGTCAAGTCAGAACCTAACGTGTATGCTTTTATTTTGATAAAATTACAGTACATAGTAATAAGAAAATCATAGCCGCGAAACAAAAAACAAAATCACAAATTTCAACATCTATCTTATGATATACAGGCGTATGTTAGGTGTATCAATGAAAATTTACTTAATAAAGCTTTTCTTTTCTGCGCAAAATATAGTACTATCTCGTGTACCTCGTCCCCTTATTTGTTTCGGTCTACATATTAGCAGTGAGTCAGAATTTACCGAACACAATAGATACAGCTCATGTACAATTTTGTTTATAAGCTTCCATGTTAAACCTGATTATATTTGTATTATATCATTATTGTTGTATTATTTTGGCCCTAACGATCCAGCATTCCGAAATATAAGTGAAAATGTTTTGTGGGACTAAAAATTTGCATCGTTTTTTAAAAATACTCGCAATTTGGAAGTTTAACCACATTAAAGTGCTGATAGTTTCTACAGAGCTAGTAGTCTTTTCTTTTAGACACATCAGAGGGGGTTACGACTGCGGGATTAACAAATGTCATTCTAGATGAAGAGATAGGTAGACTGCTTGCTACATGGAACACTATAACTCGCTTATCCCCGTATATCACCAACCTCTATCTAGTTAAACCAAAACCAAATCACTAAACATTGTCCTGCTAACAACTTGTGTTAATGGATTAAAACAGTAAGCATCAAGTTATGTCCAATTTACCTGAGTTCCAGTTTGCCAAAATGGAGCATTTACTAATACTACTTTGTTGTAGTACCTGAAAAGATGAATCAATCCTTACTTGTATTTTGTTTTTGAGTTTCCTCAAAAGGATTGTTTTATCCTACCGTTTGTACGTTTTTAGTTGGAAACAGCTCCAAATGGCGGGAAGGAAATGCAATTCCTAAAAATCACTGCCAAAAAATTAATACTCTTAATTCTTAGACCTATTTCTACAACTAATGAAGTCAAGTTGGTACAAATACCTACTCGAAACTTCTGTACATATGTAGAAGAATCTATAATTCTGTATATTTCAGCATTTTAAATTTGGATATTACTCTTGATTTGCAATGACTAATGAGGACTTGAATTTTTGTTATACCTCATTACACCTCGTTATTTGTAATTTTGCTTCAGCTACATTGATTCATACGCCATATTCCCAAGATAAAGAACAAGGGGAGTTGAAGACTGCCTAAAATTGTTACGGTCACTAGCCTTAACTGCTATCCTCCGCATTTTTGAGTGTACGAACAGCATTTGAGTTCTTGCATGCCTATGAGTGTGTATTATTTATCGCATATGAAAAGAATATTTTCGATAATTTTTTGGATGTACGCCGATGGTCGTAAACTAACAGCTGAGGATTAATGGCCTAGGCAACTGACTTCCTATCAGCGCGTAGTGGGTTCGAGCCCACTTCCATCTTTAACCCTCAAACGATGAGTGCGGCTTATAGCCTAATGCATGAAATTACACGTGATTGCTCAGAGAGTCCCCTCAGACAGTGAAATTGACCTAATCGTTTTGTTTGTTGACCAGCCTGAAGGTTCGCCCTTAAAACTGAGCTGTTGCAAGCAACAAATTCATCCTTATATATGGGACATCTTGAGTACCCTTTTCCCAAGCTGTAGTTCACCACAGCTTCGTCTATCATGACAGCAAATTAGTGATTTTTATCGCTGCTCATTGCTGATACTTCAAGCAATTTCACGTGTTCGTAAACCATCCATCATGTACATCCATAGAAATTAGTAAAACTAGTTTAGGTGATTACTATGACAATGAGCACTACCCTGCTCAAAATTGTTTCGGTAGTAAACTAACCACTTTACACTGACACTTCGAAATTCTTAGTAGACAACCACATTTAAAAGCTAAATTACTGACTCTTACATTAGTAGTGAAACGAAGATAAATAGAGACAGATAAATCAACGTAGAACCTCGCACACAGGTGCGTCGGTTCAATTTGGCAGAACTCATAGCAGCATACAAAGAACAGGTGGATGAAAAACATGATATTAAATTACACAAGCGTATGAGGAAAGCGAATAAGTAGATGAAAGTTAATGAAGATATTCAAGACTTCGAAGATGAAAAGTATATATATATATATATATATATATATATATATATATATATATATATATATATATATACTGTGACCGATTTTGAACCATATCATCAAGTCTCCAACCAGTGATTCGCATTGTCTCGAGGACTCCAGTCAAGCAATCTACACCTCCCTACACGACTCAGACCAATAGTCAACGACTTATGGGCTGTCATGTCTTGGTCTGACCATCCTTGATCTTCTTTAAATCCAATCATACCTCGGTTAACACCGCACGTCGAGGTAGTTAGTCGCTAAGCATGAACAACATGTTTTCAAGTCACCTCAGATGGTGAAGGTTCATAACTTCACCCAATGACTTTCCTTTTTTGCCTAGTTGGACCAAATCGAAATCCACTCAGCAAGCAGTAGACCACATTTGTTGTGTGAGGACCAATGATACTACCTGGCAGCTCAGATTTCAGTAGATAGCGCTGGATTTAAATTCGTGACCTACCAGGCAGAAGTCAAGTATCTAACCTCAACACTGTACACACGGTGATTCTAGAATAAACGAGAAACGTTAACAAGATACTAATCATCAGAAACTTGAAATCTCTTCGAATTTCTTCCCAAAGGTAGTTTCAGAGCCATATAGTAGGAAACTACGAAAATTATGAAAGTCGAGAATGCATGATGTCAACTGGTGCGAAATGATTGACTCAGGATTTGAATGTACGCTGATATAAGCTGCATACACCAGAAAGCTATAAACCATCGAAAATATATCGGTTACTTCCCGGAAGTTGATGTATGCAGTGACAATCCAACGGATACACTGCATAGGTACGCGCATACGATGAGAATTAAAATGCTTCAGCATACAATAATGTAAGATAAAAATTTAATTTGACCTTTTAAAAATGGCTAACCTTTCGACCAATAGCACCACTTGCACGCTTCGGCGGAGGAGGATCAAATATTCTTTGCTGAAGGTTTGGTGGGAGGGTTGAGTAAAGAGGAATGCAACGCAATTCGCCAACATCTGGACCTAGACCATCTACTTCCCTCTGAATACGTTTACATGCTTCTTCAATTTCTTCTTGACCCGTCAAAAACAGTAGTATATCACCTTCAATCTCCTCGCACATATGAATTTGGATTACGGTACGGATAGCAGCTTCAAGATAATCGCGTTCTGGTTCTGGTGTGTAAAAAATCTCCACTGGATGTGTTCTACCCGGCACGGTCATAAGAGGAGCTTTGTGAAAGTAGTCCTGGGTCATTTCGAAAAGGGAAGAAGTAGATGGCTTCATCCAACTCCAAATAAAATGTGATACAACTAGGATACATTTAACTACATAAAGATCTACTTGGCAAAGGGATATGAACTATGTACTAACTTGAAATTTGCCTGCATCTAGAGTTGCGCTCATAACAACTATTTTCAAATCTAGTCTCTGTTTGGTGATTTCTTTGAGTAGACCCATCAGAATATCTGTGGCCAACGTTCTTTCATGGGCTTCATCCAAAAGAATAACTCCGTATGCTTCAAGTAAGGGGTCAGACATGCCTTCACGCAAAAGCATACCATCAGTCATGTACCTAGAAAGTTCGTAAACAATAAAATAACAAAAGAAAATCTTACTTCAATACAGTTCTTGAAGATGTGCAGTCCTCGAATCGAATACTATATCCAACTTCTTGCCCCAACTCAACATCCATTTCTTCTGACACACGCTGAGCAACAGACATGGCAGCTACTCTTCTAGGTTGTGTGCAGGCCACTGCCTTTTTGGTAGGATACCGTCCAGTTACCCACTCCAAGCACCATTGTGGAATCTGTGTTGTCTTTCCGGAGCCAGTCTCACCAACTAGCACGGTAACCTGATTCTCCGACAACGTTTGGAAGAAATTTTCTTTGTATTCCCAAACAGGTAACTTGACACGCTTTCGGAAAAGCTCAAAGTATCTGGGACTGAATGCTTTGCCTACAATTAGTGAATTAACAAGAATGTAGGTAGAACATAATAACAATCTGATAGACCACTTAGGACTACGCAAGTGTACCGAGGCACTTTTCTTGCATTTGAGGCACTAACCCAAACTGAATTACAGAGCGGATAAAAGCTGTGTGAGAAATTTAAAACTTGAGAAAGGCGAAATTCTTCCGTATAAATGGGTGGAATTAACTTGATGAGTGACTGTAGTGATACTGGTTGGCAGCAACGCGCAAACTAGTTCATCCCATGTAGACGTCCCCAAGAGTACGATATGAAAGTAGTGCATTTAAAAGTGATTCCCTAGCACTTGTATTGCATTGTTTTGAAAATTGACCAAAGTAAGCAAAAGATTGTAAGGTGAAAAAAAGCGCTCCATCTACTTTAGACTTGCAAACCATCTTCTTGGTTACTATGTATTAATACGCAGCATTATTAATGAAAGAATTTACGTGTATTTGTTTAAAGAGAAACACCTTTCAAAATTGCATAATCTAAATCTAAAGTCTGATGAGTATGAAACGATTGGGTTACAATAAGCTGGCAGAAGATTGGGCAAAGAACCAGTTATTCAAGTTTATTGATAAGCTAGAAAGGCAACGGTTACATTGCCTTTCTCACATGATCTTTGTTTGAATCACTGAATAATCATTTACTGCAAGAAAAATTGTGCACGCTATGCAATTCAACAACCCAGTAAAGATTTGTGTACAAGACAATCACCCACATCCATCGCACAGGGGCAAATGACCTAAACCTAGATAAGTAAAACGGGGGCTTTTAACATGACATTAGTTGAAGATCAACTGTGGGGGTCCAGTGAACTTAATACACAATTACGATCTGAAAACATTGCTAATGACGTCATCAACAGGGAGCATCCTTGAACGTCGTCAATAAGGGGCTGTCATTTAATATGACGATCATTTTACTCTACGCAGCATATAGTGTGACAAAATCGTGTACTGGATGACATTTCGTGCACAATTTATTCCTCTAAACCTGCCAAGGGGATTATGTTTATGAGCAGTAAATTATGACGTGAATGTTACCCAGAAAATAACACTACTTCACTGTGATTATTATTTTACTATTATCATTATTTTTTTAAAAACATGGTTGGACAACAGAGCCAAAAAATAGGCCACATAAAATAATACTTTTGAAGACAAAGAGAAGGGAAGGCGATAATAAGAAAAACAATAAGAATAGAATGAATAGGACGCCAATCAAGCAGGATATATTCAAAATAAAACATTCATTACTTTTTAGAACCAGAAGATAGAAAGAAGCTACAGCATGACTGCTACTGGTCTCCATTCTGAGCCATATCTGATAACGTCTCAACCCACTGAGTTGCGTGATCTCTCTTGGACGCCTTCTAGGGAGTCCAGATGCACTAACGAATGCCAACCCGATACAACTAGCCTTCATCCCACGGCACCACGTCACACACTGAACACTCTTCTGCTTCTTCCATCCAGTCCAAAGGCCAGAAAACAATGAACGGTGCGGAAGCCGTCGGGATGACACGTGTAATACATGTCCAAGCCACCAAAGCCGATGTTTGCAGATAACTTCACCACTTACTGAATGACTATCTCCACCATCCCCAAACACACATTGTCTTACCTCAGAATTACTTACGTGGTGTTGCCACTGGATACGAGCAATCCTACGGAGACAACGATGATCAAAGACAGAGTCGTCGCATATCCTTAGCTCAGAGAGGACGGGTTTTAAGGGTGTAGAGCAGAAGCAGTCGCACCGAAGCTTTGTAAATCCGAGCTTTTACGGTCATACTAACGTCGCGACGGCGCCGAAAATGGCCTAGATTGGTGTATTTTGGTGGCTTTCAACATGCGGTTACAAATATCATCCACACCACTACCCGCACTCACACTACCCAGATACATGAACTTTTGGATCGCTTCCAACAGCTCACCAGCGAGGGCGAGCGCAGGCACAGGCTATTGTCAATCTTGTAAAAGTACTTACGGGCACTAGTCGCTAACTGATTCAGTACGGTTTGAGTAGACTGTATGCTATCACACAATAAGACGACATCGTCCGCATATTCAAGGCTGAATATAGCCGTTCTTTGGGTAGTAGATATACACCACTATCATGCACCTCCTTCAGAGCTGTTTCAAGAGTGTCACAGATCCCAAAGTCAAAGAGGAATGGGGAAATCACGCAACCCTGCCTAATCCCACTACGTTTTTGGAACAATGAAGACAAGTGGTTTTCGTATGCCTCCACTTTACCTGAGGTGTTTTTATGTAGGGCTTTCAGGATATCAATAAATTTCTCGGGCACACCTCAAACAGACTATTCCAGAGTACGGCTCCACTCAAGTAATCGAAGGCAGCCCGTGTCAAGAAACGCAACGGTATAGACAACAGATTTTTAGTGGGATCATACTTTACCAGAGCCAAAATCTGACTGATACAAAGCTGAAGTTAAGATGTTAGGAATAATGATCCAGCATTTCCTGGTCACTGTGAGAGATATTACTCTACTCTATCGAACTTTTCTAATTCACATGGCCACTTTATAGCGAAAGGATAAACTAATTATGTGCAGCGCCAAAAAGCAATATGGGAAACGTGGTTAGAAAAATCCGAAGACTGGAAACTACCCAAGAGAAATGCACTACACAACGTACAATATAGTATAGTTAGGTGTAGATCTATTTTGTCGCACTCAGTATTAACGGCAAAAGGGGTGAAACAACACTTTATTGGCTAGTATAAGCAAATAAGCATAATTCAAAAGAGCACAAAACTAACCGTTATAAGGATTTGTCTGCAGTGCGAACGGAGATGCGTTAGATGCATTTTGTTTAAATTTTCCTTGATTGTCTGGAGAACGTGAGCGCTCACGTGAGTGGTTATCCGGTCCATCAGAGAACCTGTAAGGGTCAATAATAATAAAAACCACAAAGTACGTAACTTCACTACGTAAGTTAAACTTCATATGTCCAACCAAGAGGCTTTGTGATGAACCTCGACGAAATGTACGTTCGGTCCGGTCATCTGCCCATATACTGCAGCAGCATTTAATTCTCTTTTGATCACAGTCAATTGGTTTTTGTTATCCTGGTTTTTCTTTTTTTTTCCTATACTAAATCTGCACTATTTTTGAATTTACTCGTCACTCCAACGGATACTAACTAGTCGAGTTCTCAAAATAGCCCTCTGGATGTCCTAAATCTGTCTCAAACTAGGATTTCCTCGACCTGTGTGAACAGGACAAGCTTCATCACCAAAACTCCAGGGATCCCGAGTCACAGGAAAATAGAATACTGACGTAGGAACTGTTATTAATGTAAAATACTTTCTACGCTGCATATGAGCACACCAAGATAAAAGAATGAGAAGGGAAAAAGTATTCAGTGGTAGTTGTGAAAAGAAAGCAAAAAGGGGTGGAATAAAGACGAAATTCGGTCTTACAAGATAAAGATAACGTGCGGACGCTTCTGAGCAAATGAGATCGATTCTGAGTCGTACCATCGTCTCCAGTTGCCAATCGCGGTTATCGCGCAGACCTCAACCAAGCTCTACTTTTCGTCGACGATACTCAAACCAGGAGTCAGACTTCATATAATGATGCTCTGCAATCTCATATCATTCACTTGCCACGGCTGTTACAGCTCTGTAATAAAATAGGATAGACTGTAGTGCAATATACTCGACCTCTATGAGGTAGTTGGATATTCTGACAGCGCCAGAAAAACGTAGAGGTTGGAAAATGTCAGATGGACCTTTGTATCCCAGCTGAGATTTCGACAACTAGCTCAATCACACTGGTAAAACTCAAGTGAAGTGATTAGAGCTTTCTACCACTTTATTTACTGTGCTTAACGTAGTTGATGCAGACCAGTCATGAAGCACTACTTTACGTGTGACAGGTGCATAACCCATGCCATACTTCTGCTCAAAGTGTTTATAAGACGCTGCATTTTGTCGTCTTCACTAGACGGGACTAATGTGAAAGTACTCTAAGTCAAACCAGGTACGCATCTGGGAAGTTGGAAACATCCAGTTATATCCATTTTTACATGTATAACAAAATTAACTAAGACTGGTGAGTGCATCCTTGGCTGATACCACTTCACCAACACCGTAAACCCTTTCATGGATGAGTGAAATCTACGGCCTTGATTACTATGAAATGCTTGTTCGTCACTGCCATCCAGACATTGCCACAACACCTTTTAATGGCCAGAGTCGAATACTAAGTTAAAAATGAAAACAAACGTCAGTCACTAGCAAGCATTTCTGTTTTAAAACAGAAGTGCAATCCATACTTTAATAAATGATCATGTACGTCTTAAAGACACCGAAAAGCATGATGAAATTGCACCAGAAAAGTATCTTACAGATAACTACATATTCACATCTGACCTATAATCAAATGTGAGGAAACTTTCCTACGGTGAAGTCGCTTTATTTAACTGAAAGAATAACTCAAGAGCTAAAAACCAAGCTTGTTTTGCTGGACCATCACCCTATTATTGCCTTAAAGCAACTTATTATTTACTTGAGACACCCAGGCTGGGAAAAGGCCCGAGACCAAACTAAAACATGGCGCCAATGTATGAAGCCTCTGACTGTTGGTTTGAGCCATGTGGGGCGATGCAGACTAGGTGGTTGGGGTCCGCGGGACAAGAGGAACCAGTGGTTGGAGACTCTAGGGATATGGCTCAGAACCGAAGTCAGTGGCGCAGATGTATACACATATCATCCTCATCTTAACGACGCTGTATCGAATCTCACCATTTCGTCATTTTTCCTTTCTTTCTTCTCGTACTTTATATTTCTTTTGACTGCATTCACTTATCTTCATCCCTCACCTCACTACCTTTCTATTTGATGTACTGATATGAGCTGTGGCAACTCGGACCCTTACGCAGTAACGCCTGGTCCTATGTTGATATTTATTATTATGATGATGATAAGACACCTGATAAACTAGTCAGTTTTCACAATGACTTCGAAAACACATACAGTACTGAGTTCAACTGTTGTAAAATGACCACAATCGAAAAACTAGGTGTCTATAAGTAGTAAACCACCAATCCTAACGAAGTTTACAGCAACTAAGTTATTAAAAACGGTACGTTAATTCAGAAACTACACACTTTGCGAACGAAAAGTCTTAAAACGAACTTATACGAATCATTGGATGATTCGTCTTTAAAATTTAGCACTGAATACAGTGTATGCTGGGAACTCCAAGAAAACAATGTGCAAGTCCCTGAAAACATTACCGAATAAGGATAAGCGATGATGACAACTAACAATGCCGTAATACCATCCGTCAATGACACCATGTCACCTAAACAACTGATCAACAGCTATAAATGGGTAATCAACTATTACATACAACGATCAAGATAGGAACATGGATACGCATGGATAACCTGATACTACGAGCAAACAAAAGGCGAATACCTCGAGTCCCTGACCGGAACAATGAATAACTATTCAAGGGTATCCAATAATCACATCACGGAACGTCATAGAGACAACTCTTGGATGGAAAGTCGGATTTACAAATCCAAAGAACAGGATGGTTTACACAATCATATTCCACGGGGATTCCCCAGTTCCTAGTAGGGATATTGATGAGGACCTTAACCAGCTGAGACACATATAGTTACTGAAGTAGTCCGTTTATTTGCCCCAAGATTTTTGGAGACAACCACGAAAACTAACAAAACTTGTATCCAGCCCTGTGATTTACTTCAGGAATTCTGAACAGTGACTATAGGACTACCAACGCAGCAAAACGACGAAACCCAGGCATGTGAGAACATTATCCATTGCCATTAGTAAGACTAGAAAACGACACGTCCTGACTGTTTGTTGAGGTTCCTTCGGTCAGTCGTCATCCATATTCTTTGTATTTATATCCCTTGCAGTTCCGCCGCAAGGCATAGTCCCGTGTAAAACTGTATTTAAATGAAGTGTTTTTAATCCTCTCACTACCTCCATGTAAGATGTACTAAAAATTTGTTAAGTGGATATGAGGGTTATAGTTGATTGGTCAGTTAACATGTCAAATTTAAATCCGATTCCAAATTTTGGCAAGGAGGGACAAAAGGCCATGAGGAGACATTTTATTGCGAGGTAGAACGAAGGGCTATACAACATTTTTATGGCTTTGCGCCTCGCTGTTTCAGTTAGTCCTATAAGACAGTAGGTAAAACTACCACAATTAGGTTTGCAGTTACTCTGATAGCTAATAACAAGCGGTTATGTGAGTTATACAGAAAATGCACCTAACAGTTACCTTGACCTTCTTGGTTTTGATTCCCCGATGTCAATCCTATGCCTGGAAGACATCACCCAGCGAAAACACTGAAATCGCGCTATGTGCCGTACCAACATTAAAACAAAAAGGAAGCGAAATGGAGAGGTTATTCAATACTTTACAACCTTGAGATGGAAATTTTCCGTCTCCAGTCACATAATTATTACTAAATCCCCTGCTGTTTGCTGTTTCTGGCATCTCAGCTGTTTATACATGCGAAGTGATTTATATATGATTTACTTTGGGATGTTTCTTTTGATTCCTCTCTATAATAGTGACAAGAAGCTACAAAGTTGATATAGAAAATGAAAGTCACATTTTTCGAAGTAAGATGACCCCACTCACACAGTGTTCAAATCACAAAGGACTACTCGGCTTTGAAACAAGTAGGGTGATACACCAACGAAATATTAATGTAAGCTTCTTTGGTAGAAGAGGATCTTGAACCCTTAGTGCTTCATAATCTAAAAACTTTCGCCGCGATCAAATGCATCCCAAGCAAATCAGGCAAGTACAGGTCAGTGAAAACTCTTTGAATAATTCAATCTTTCCCATCTTCATATCGTTTCTCCTAGAATTCATGACCATGGTCCATCTTCGCTACGAAAAGTTGTTAACCATTTAGAACGCATCAAAACGTTCCGTATGAAATCATTTGGAGGAATAAGATATGGATCATATTATGAACGCCTGCAGCAGCTGATCTATACCCCATGGCATATGGCTGACTCATAAGTAACTTGGTGAACAGGGTTTAAAAACCTGAGATCGGCCATTTAGTCAATTTCCTACCTATTCTCCACATTCACAATCAAAACTGGAGCTAGAAAGCAGTAGAATGGGCATTAAGTGAAAGCATTAACCCATAGGAGTCACTAATGTTTGGGATACGCCCTTACTAAATGCTGTTTGTGCCCCACCATGGGGGCCCATCGAGCGAAACTCAAGTGCCCGCTAAGAGTGACTATGTGAGCCCACAGACCAAGGTATTATATGGTCGGTTTCTTTTTTTGGAAAGTGAGGGGCCTCGACGTTCAGTTGAGCCTTAAGCATGTTTTGTGCTTGCATATCAAATGCCATCGTTTTATTTCACACACCGATGTAGTGTCAAACAGAAACACTGTCAAGTTGTTCAAAGTCAATCACACACAGACCTGAGTCGCTTTCAGTTTGAGCGGTGTATGATACGTTCTTGCTGTTGTTCTCGCTAAAAAATGTTTTCCTTTTCTTTTTCGTACCAGGGTCATCGCTTTTTAAAAGTTCTATTCCCTCGTGTTTCAAGTCCAAATTAAACCATTGTGAGATGGCTACGCGTGTGATCCATACAAGGAACGCGTAAGAAGGCGTGGTGCAGCTTACCGGCACCAAAATGCAACTAGGGCTAAAATAAATAGATCAAATTAACTAAGCAAACCTCTAGCTCGCTTCCAGATGCTTAGGGTGTCTTGGGTCTTGTTTTAACAACCATGCATCCGAGCAGGCTTGGGCGCCATTTCGCGCTCCCTTTGTGCTGGTTAGCGCGCACGCACTCAGGGTTCCTAGCTCAACCACACCAGCCAGACAGGTTGAATAAACTTTTCCCCCATTAATCAGTGTCACATTTATTCTAATTAGATGTATTGCTTCTCCGAATACATTTCTGAATACCAGTCCTTTTGGTTTGTGTTTCGCAATCACTGCTTACACGTTAGGTAAGGTGTCGGTTAAGTAGGTACTAGAGGACATTAATTTCAGTAGGGTTGGTCAAGCGGCACGGAATATTAGCACAGTGATCATCCCCTACAACTGGTGAGCCCAAGTATCATCTCTTACCGTGTCAGGCAATTTTTTTTCACCCTGCGTTGATTCATTTTTATTTTCAGCATGGTTTTTTCGTTTTTGTATCGCATTCCCCGTCGGTTTTTAGATTATTTTGTTGTTCTCAACGTTGTGCCTCCTTGTAGCCATCCCCAAGGGCTGATAACAACGACTGTACTGCGTAGATGGTCAAAACTCTCCAGCTTCCCACCTTCTGGGCCCATAGACCACCCGTATGGTTCTCCCAGGCGGAAGCTCGATTTTCCTTGAGGCATATTCACTCACAGGGAACTAAAGCTGATTTAGCCATCGTCAGCTTGCCCGAAAATGCGATCAAAGATTCTTATAACGTGTTAGCTGACCAAGTACCGAGTCTGCGCGGTTGCCTCAACGCCGCCCTCACCAAACGCATTACACTTACTGACCAGCAGAAAGTGCAGGAACTTTTCAGGGCTGTGCTTCTCAGTGATCGTAAGCCAAAGAAACTGCTTCATCAGGTGAAGCGGCTGGTGGCAGACCTAAATACCGATGGTGCACTGATTTTGCAGAGATTGCCGCAGACGGTTTCTGGGATCCCCGGCATCCTTTCATAAGAGCCCCTTGATAGAGCTGGCAGAAGCAGCTGACAAAGCTGTAGACGCTACCTAGCCCAACACTAGTATTTCGGCTGCATTGTCTACTGCCACTGACTAGCCCACAAACTCCTACCTCCCCCCCTCAACAGGTGAGCTGACAAGTTTCGATGGTGTTGCTCACATCACGGAACTGTAAGAGGAATTGTGCAGTGCCAGGAAAGAAATGTGGTCTAGTATTTCCTACTACTGTCACGCGTCTCGCTGGCGTACCAGATCTGCCTCCCGTACCGGTAACAGACGTTCTAGATCGCGACAGTCCCAATCCATAAACGTTATGGTACCAGTGCCAAAAGGTGCACTTGACTTCGCACTTTCGAGGCTAAACACCTGAGCCAGCACGTGACGGCTACTAACGTCCCCCGCGAACCACTTCCTTGTCGCCTCTTTTTCATCAGAGATCGACGTTCTGGGATACACTTCCTGGTTGACGCTTAGGTGGAAGCTAGCGTCATCCCTCCTACAAGGGAGGAGCGTCTGCAGCCAACGTCTCTGCAAATTCGTGCCGCCAACGGTTCACCCATCACAACATATGGTCGACGATTCCTCGACCTCTACCTTGGACTGCGCCGTTCTTTCCGTTGGGTTTTCACAGTGGTGGACGTGGCCACCCGTACTGTTGGTATGGATCTCCTACAGTACTATCAGCCGCTGGTAGATGCTGGCAAGCGTAAGTCGGTTGATTCTATCACAAGACTCTCTGTCTCCGGTATTGTCACACAGACGCCACCCCTCGGTCCAGTATACTCCACGATGGACACTTCTTGCCCTTTCGCGTTCACTATTTAATCCTTTCCGGATATCTTCGAGCCAAGTCGTCGTGTACCTTGCGTGACTTTGAACGTTTCGCATCACATAACGACCGACCAGTGTTTGCTTAACCATGGCGATTATCCTCGGAACAACTGCGTGCTATCACGGCCGAGTTTGGGCACATGTTTGCAACGGGAATAATCAGACCATCCAACAGCCCATAGTCTTCATACTTGGATGTGACACCAAAAACCAACGGCAAGGACTGAGGACCTTGTGGTGACTACCGAAGGCTCAATGCTAAAATGATTCCAGGTCGCTACTCAATCCCCCATGCACGCGATTTGACTGAATCTTTAAAAGGCTCACCTGTCTTCGGTAAACTTGACCTGACACGACCCTGTAATATGATCCCAGTTCATCCTGACGATGTCCTCGGGACAGTGGTCATTAAACCTTTCTGTCTGGTTGAGTTTCTTCCCATGCCCTTTGGCCTCCGCAATGCCGCACAAGCTTTCCAGCGCTTTATTCACGGTGTCTTACGTGAACTAGACTTCGCCTGTGCTTTTTTGGACGACATTCTAAAAGCTGGTCCAGACGAAGATACTCATTGTCGCCCCTTAAAACAGGTTTTAGCCAGACTATCGGAGGATTCAATGACAGTCAACCTGGCCAAATGTCAGATTGGCGTTCGTTCACTGGGACATGTTATCGACAAATATGCCATCAACCCACTACCCGAAAAAGTGCAGGCCATTATAAATTTTCAGGTTACAGTGTCATATAAAGCGCTGAGTACATTCCTAGGGATGGTGAGCTTTTATCGTCTTTTCGTACTCCAGCGTGCTCACACTTCAACTGTACTGGCCGACCCGCTGAAGAATAGGTCTAAGACCTTCAGCACGACTCTGAGGCATTAGAAGCATTTCTCAAGATGAAAACCACACTAGCAGACGCCATAATGTTGGTCCACCAGGATGTGAACCCACCTCATAACAGTGAGGTTGAGACGACCATTGGAGCTGTGCTGCTCCAACTTTCGGATCACACTCAGATCTCGCATACATTCCTCTCCCGGAGGCTATCCGCCTGCGAAAAGCGGCACGGCAATTTTGGCCGGGAATTGCTCTCCACATGTGCCTCCGCTGAGCATTTTCGTCATTTTGTGGAAGGTCGTGACTTCGTTATACTTACCGACCACAAACCTTTGACTTACACTTTGCACGCCACCAACGATAGATGTCCGCCGCCTGAATTACGTCATCTAGACTACATTTCGCGATTCGCGTCGGACATCTGTCACATTCACGGGGCGAGTAGCCCTGTCTCAGACGCACTGTCTCACATTTGCACCGCCGCTTTGATCAGGCGGTTGACTTACGGAAGACTGCTGAACCGCAGGGTTCGGACGAGGGGTGGAAAAACTCCATCACTCAACCTCCTTGAAGATACGGCGTCTACCGATCTTGACCAGTGAAAGGATAATCCTGTGCGACATATCCATAGACACACTCACGTCAGTTGTTCCCTTACCCCTGTGTAAGCACGTTTTCGACGCCTTGCACGGTCTTTTGCATCCTGGTGTACGTGCAAAGGCAAACTGATATCCGCTGCGTTTGTATGGCCGGGCAATAACCGCGATTTTCGAAACGACACGGTCATTTGCTCAACGCCGACGTCCCAAGGCGAATCGTCATAACATTCCACTACTTGGAACTTTCGGCAAACCGGATTCATGGTTCGTTCATGCCCATTCAGACGTTGTTGGCGCACTTCCATCCCCCTGTGGTCATTGCTACCTACTCATATGTATCGATAGGTTCACGCGCCGGCCGGGAGCCATCCCATTGTCTGACATTACTGCTGAAGCAGTCAGCCGAGTT